TGATTCAGTAGATTAAAAGTTGTCTGATCTATTTTATTTGTTCGATGTGAAAGTCGCCTTCCTATACTATATTTCTCATAATGGACAGTGGAAAATACTAATTTTCAAATACTATTTGAAACCATTCTGTTTCCTGAATGTACGTTACGTATAGCACTGTGTATTTTTCATGAATTGATCCAATACATGAATAGGTATTCTCTAGTGTGGGTAACATTGTGATATGGTACCCCTCTGAAGGTGATGTATAAAACCGGTTAGTGGTTAGTGGGTCGACGATAATAGCCCTTGCATTCCGGCTCTGGCTATATTATTGGCGACCAGACCCTTTTTCTTCTAATTGCTCAGTAACAACGTTATTGTCTTGTTAAAAGGTCGGTTCATACTCTGTGAAGTTACGGCAATTCACTTTGTGAAGTTACGGCAATCATTAACGCCAGCGCTAAAAATTCTGGGGAAAAAAAGAGTGAACCACATTTAACTCTGGGCAATTTTGAGTCAAATGGTTTCGATGTCAACATTTCAAAATTTGCTTTCACATGAAGTATGAACCGATCGTTAGAGCTCAGCCCAGTCACTAAGGCGTGCATTCCGTAATGTGGATTCAAGTAAAAGACTTTAATTGTATACCATTCACGAAATGGACCCTGTAGTAATATGTGCATATTGATGTGTCCAAATAATTGCAGTGAGTATTAATTACACTTACCGTTTTAGTGATTGCATTTTAGTAATGTTTTTACATGCTGTTGTTTCTGAACACTCTTTGTAATAAAATTAGAGAAACATGAATTACATGTATGTTTAATTGTTTTGTTATCGTTTTCAGAAACATTTCTCCATAAATGCCCAGTAGGCTGCAGGAAGTTGGCCACCATGTTGCAGCAACATGTCCATTAAGTTGTAGTAACGTGTCCACAAAGTTGCAGCAACGTGCCTTTAAAGTTGCAGAAACGTCCCATTTAGCTGCAATAACGTGCCCGCAAAGTTGCAGCAATGTCCTCATAAAGTTGCAGTAACGTCCCCATAAAGTTGCAGTAACGTGCCCATAAAGTTGCTTAAACGTGTCCAATACGTTGCTTTAACGTGTACAATAAGTTGCATCAACGTGTCCAGTAAGTTGCAGTGACGTCCCAAATTAGGTTGCAGTAACGTGCTAATCAAGTGGTAATCATGTCGCCAAAAGGTTGTAGGAACGTGCGTAAAAGTTGCTGTTATGTGTCAATTTGGTCGCAAATAACGTGGCGTCAAGGTGGTAATCATGTGCAATCACGACCAAAAAAAGTTGTTATGTATGTTGCGTTTACGTTGTGGAAACGTCATTGTAACGTTGCGTAATAACGTTGTAGCAACGCGCACGCGAGTCAACATTTTTACGTTGCCGCAACGTCATTTTCCTCACGTGGCAACAACGAAAACCTGACCTTTTTGCAACGTTGTCACAACGTAAATGTGTTAGCTATGCCTCACTTTTCCGCTTATCTTTGGAACAAGTTTAAACATATTTATGATACTAACAATCAATTACAAAAACTCTTTTGGCATAGAATTTGATCTTTTCTCTCGAACTTAAAAACAACATCTCACAATACCACATACTGTTTGCATGTTAAAACAAAAACAAAGTGTCAATGTGACTACCCAAAATCCATGATTTTAGCCAAAAAAAACATGTCTTTTGACCAAAAAAAGGTTTTTTTGACCCACAAAATCACCCTTAACTATATTCCATCCCCATGACATACCACTCAAATGAAAGAGCTTGCTGTCCCCTTTAATTTGATACCACATTTGTTGTTGTAATGCTTGTAGTTCTGAAGATTATTATCAATTTATATTTTTTCATGTAATAATTAGCTGATGACGTCATAATGACGTCATACATGCCTTCCCATCATCCAATTCTTTGCGTCCGTTTTTTTTTCTCGAAAAGTTATACCATGGAGATGCTTTGGTGAAAAAAATTGTGCTTTTGTCCACTGTGTCACGGCGATTTTTTTCACTAAGGTACCTCACTAATATGTCAAGCAATATTCACTCTTGTCTACTTATTTCACCATGTTGTATCCTATGGACTTGGATATACGTAGTTAACCTTTTTACCACGCCCAATGGTCACTGTTAGAGAGTGATGCTTGTCCGATGTGCCTCTTATATTCTGTTGCGCCTGCGTCTGCCCTTATAAAAATGAATATATTGAGATCAGAGGTCTTTGGGGTCTGACTTCATGACATATGCTGTAGACACATTATTAAAACACACTCCTTTTGCACTATGGACTTCGGTCATGAAAAAAGTGGCATTTGGAAGATTAAACATGATAAATAACGGCAATCAGAGTATACAAATTTCAGTGACCTCGCAAGGGTCATCATATATGAAATGTCTTTATATCTGAAACTTCATATTATGGCAAGAATACCAAAAATGTAGATATGGGTAATGAAAAAAAGTGGTGTTTTGAATAGTTAATCCTCTTATTTCCTATTAAAAGGATACGCAAGAAAGGCCATCAGAGGTCAGATATGAAATTTCCTACATATGAAATTCATTTCATAGCGTGAGCCACTTAACATAATGACTTGGGTCTTAAAAAGTTGGGGTTTAAAGGTTAAATCGCATAAATAACAATAAATAGAGTTAGTGCAATTAATACAAAGGTCAATGACCCCTTAAAGGTCACCAGGGCCAGGGGTAGATATGATATGCCTCCAATATCTGAATTTCTCGGTTATAAGTGGTTTGGAACATGTTAATTGATATTTTACAATGTGCACTCCACATATTGTTTCCACAAATAAGAAATAAAGGGGAATGTTTCCCCAATGTAAACTATAGACCGCTTGCAGACGCGATCGATAATTGACGCGCGAAGGTGCACGACGCTATGTTATGGGACAAAATGTGCATGGATAGATATACGCCTGTCCCACAACATGGCGTCGCGCGCCTTCGCGCGTCGATTATCGAACGCATCTGCAAGCGGTCTATACCAAAATGAGGGCGATCGCGATGCATCGTTGTCATTGCGTACCGGTCTCGCCTCCAATGGGCGCGTGCGCGTTCCTCCATTAACCTTGGCCGTGGGGAATACGTAAACGGCAACGCTGACTGGCTATTTAGAGCGTACTGCGCGCGTATTTCGAAGTCCGCGACATAGATATAGAATAAAAAGACTAGATCGGCAGCGCGTCCACACGCGCCCATTCACTGTGCGATAAATCTCCGCCATTTTTGTTGTCTCTCGTGGACGCGCAACAAATCAACGTAAAGTAATGGAGCTAAATGTATCTTTCCTCCAGCACGTGACCTAGCTCAACGCGCGCCAAGCTAGAAATGCGCACCGAGTATTTACTCGATGCGTACACGCACGCTTACACGTTGGCGTGCCGCTTTTCATTTTGGCTATGGGATAATCAGTTTATTTTTTGCAAAATAAAATCTGTTTTAAGACAATTAAAGCTAAGTAGGCCCTAGTCATAATCATAAGCATTCATGTTCAAGAGATACTGATTGCATAAACAACAAGAGTAGATTGGTGTTTCAACGTTATGGGAACGGTGTCATCTTATCTATGCTCTTGTGTTTTTATTAGCAGTGAAGGTCTCAAGTACAGTAACAGAAATAAACCGTCGCATTGTGCCCGTCAACGGCGTTGCGTTCGTCACGTCTAGCGCGCAATTTGTATCTTTCCTCCAGCACGTGACCCTCCATGCAAGTCCGCGCGTGTGGACGCGCTGCCGATTTAGTCTTTTTATAGACCGCTTGCAGACGCGTTCGATAATCGACGCGCGAAGGTGCGCGACGCCATGTTGTGGGACAAGCGCATATCTATCCATGCACATTTTGTCCCACAACATGGCGTCGCGCACCTTCGCGCGTCAATTATCGAACGCGTCTGCAAGCGGTCTATTCTATATCTATGGTCTGCAACATGGTAAACGTACGAATTTGATTCAAGACTGCGCGATGCCTTTTTGATTTGGATTCCGGAAGCCCAGTTTCACGCCCCCAAAAACATGCATTCTGGGTAAAGAAATGAAGAAAAAAAATAGTGTGTCACTTATTCAATACTTGAAACTGAATGATTTACATGTGATTGATTTGTGTTGTAAAGGGACGACAGAGGTCCGCATATCAATACAAATCCTTATAACGCCACGTCAAAATCTCATCATGCTCTTGTTTTAAAGGATCGATTCTCCAAAACAAACCTCTAAGCACCGTGTCGCGCGTTAAATAATGACTTGCATTATTCATGCCGACTTCCTATATTTATCTGTTGTGTCAAATTTGAAAGCATTTGAACTTAAAACACACTCAGAACAGAAGTTATGGAAAAATACTATTGACCCAAAATGGCCAAAGTAATGAGAAAAAAATGCCGTCATAACGTTAATGTGCAATTTTGGCCAATGTGAACAACCAGATTCAGATTCAGCACTATTGAATTAGGAAAGTTGACCTTATTGCAAGTTGACCTTATTGCAAGCTTATTGCAAGTTTAAGACGAACCTCAACTTCTAGACCTTATAAAACAGATTTTGGCCCATGGCCTATATTGGGGAACATATAGGTACTGTACTGGGGAACGTATAAGTATACACCCGTTTTACCCACTGTACTGTGCGTGTTTCTCATAACAACGATGGTTTTTCTGCTGATGCATTTCAATTTGTGTTTCATGTTGAAAGAAAACACCATACCTTTCTTTCTATGTCTGCAACCCTCCGAAAGGGCTTTTAATTTAGTCTTCGTCTCTTCCTTCTAGCGTACAACTCGTGTATGGTCCCCACACCTCAAAAAGAATGTACGAGTATTCATGTATCCTGCACCAATATCCTCGATCGCCATTGGTCAGCTATCATTGAATATTCATTCAAGTATGTAGATGAAATGAGAATTTTAGGTAGCTGTTTAAGATATATATATATATACGGGTCATTATTAACAAAATATGTGAAATGTAGATTTTTTTATTCCACTTTTTGTTGTTTCAGGAGAAATAAACATGGCGTTCAGAATGATGAGTTCGACCTTAGGCAAGTTTCTTTCACGCATCGGAAGCACGACATCCCTTGCCAGAAGCATCGTGCGTGTCTCAACTGCGGGTCCTGGTGGGATGAATCCAACATCACTGGGTGTAGCTTCTTACACAAGTCGCTCAGTTTTGCCCATTTTCAGTTTGTTTTCACGTGCGTGTTCAACGCAGTCTACCACTGCGTCCTTCGCCCCGACTACACTCAAGAGATATGAGGTGTTGCTTGACGACTCTCCTTTACATGATGTGAAGATGGACGATGTCAAAGTGGACATCGACAACAAGCAGCTCCTGGTGTCCTGGGCAAACGGAGAAACCCAGCTCTATCCCTTCGTCTGGCTACGCGACAACTGCCGCTGCCGCGAGTGTTTCCACCCCGAAGCCTTAAATCGCTTGACACAACTTCACCAGATCGACGTGGATGTCGTGGCTAAATCAGTCGACATTTCACCCGACGGTGAGACCCTGACAATCCAATGGGGAGGGGATGGTCACCAAAGCCAATTCCCGTCTCACTGGCTGCTCCTGTATCGCTTCGAGGATTCAGCTGAAGACCGGCTTCTCAATCCCAAACTTCAGTTTTGGGGGTCTGACTTCCGGAGATTTGATTTTGGTGATCTGCTTGTGGATGATGGGGCCCTCTACGCCTGGCTGACTGAGCTGGTGACTCTAGGCGTCGCGGTAGTGAAGGACGCTCCACGTGAACTCGGCCAGCTGCACAAACTTGCTGAAAGAGTAGCTTTCCTCAGTCCAACAGTTTACGGGTAAGTGTTTTTATACTTCATTTCATTCAAGGGACCATGAGAAATGATGCGGCCTACGGGAGCTGGAGACGTGCACACCTCAGGAAAAAAATTGCCAATTACAATTACCATTTTGTGTGGTTATTTTATCAGGCACACTACTGGTAATCATGTAATAGACTGTGGCTCTCCACAGTCTATTACATAAATTACGAACAGATCCTTGATTTTGACCTCTAGATTTTGACCAATCAGCGGGCGCTTTCTATGTTGGGTCTCCGGTCCTTCACCTTTGTCGCGTCTAGATATGGATAAAAAAAAATAACCCCGCGCTTGATACAGCAACAAAGGCTTTGGTACATTGTCACGCTTTCCGCTCCGTACACAAGTACCCCCTCACCGGCAAAGAAAGTGCAGTTGGGGGTGACCGAAGGACGCCATCTTGCCTGACTGCAATATTTTGTAGCGAAGCCTGGCCACAGCGGAAATCTGCAATTTTCTTTCCCAGTCGCGTACTCACTGATTGTCAGTCTATGCAAATTTGTTAGAAAAACACATTTTTTTGGAAGTCAGGACTAACAAACATTGAACCAATTGCATTTGCACTTGCATTCTATAAATGTTGCCTATCCCTCTTTCCCCCAAAATGTGGTATAGACAGACTTTTGAAGTAAAATCGGATCTGGATCCTCTTCACAGTGCCTACACGACCGTTCCCTTGGCAATGCATACGGACATTGCTTATTACATGCGTGAAACAGGGGTGAGTCTACGTTTTTCAATCTGAGGCAATCAGGATTTTTTCAAAAGGGGTTGTACGAACTTGTACAGAATACATGTATTTCATTTTTTTTTTTGGTGGGGGCATTGAGGTGTTGAAGTCAATACACATTTTGTGAGATATGCAGAGTTGTTACGGCTACTCGAGTCCGACTCGAGTCACAATTTTTTGGTGACTCGACTCAAGTCCCTATGGGTAAATGACTCGACTCGAGTCACTGCAAGCAAATGACTCCCTCATCAGGAGACTCAACTCGACTTGAGCAAAGGCAAATAAGACTCGAGTCCCAAAAATAATAGCAAAACTTTGCGAAAGGTATTTGCAGTGACTTACGGTGCAAAATGTATGTTCAAGTATGTACGGCACAGCGGCCGTTTGTTGTATACAAACATACAACGTGTCACAGACTCCCACCTGGTGGTTCTGGAACCAGACTATCCCCAACCGGTCAATGGCTTTGGGAAATTTCTTATTGAGCTCTTGGATTCAAACGACGGCTAAGTTTATGCCCTCCTTTTAAAAAAATAAATAGCTACATGCCCACTTTTAATTCGGGCAGTTCGCTATGCAGTGCACCACGAAGAGTTTGCCATGGAGAGTCCATTTTCTAGTTTACGGTCGACAAAACATGGCCCATTTGAATGAGTGTCAGTAGACAACTTGAACTAATTTGTTATGGATTGGGGCAAAGCGTTCTGTCGCATCACAAAAAACCTCATTGATAAAAACAAAACAAAAGAGCAAACAGATACTCAAAGCATACCTCTTCGAAACTACTGACTGGAAAAACGAACAATTTCAAATGTCCCGCGCTGTGAATTTGTCGACCATCTCCCACAATGCACTGGGAAAAATGAACTTTTCGTGGCAAACTCTTGGTGGCGCACTGCATTGTGAATCGCCCGAATCCAGAAACAATTTTGTATAATGCAATGAGGTTTTGATGTTTTTTAGCGATCGGCGATAACAATTCTAGACCCGAAGCCAAACATTATCCTATAAATAAGACCGAGGTTTCACTTCTTGTTAACTGTTAGTGCTACAAATGACTTTCTCTCTTGTCTTTGTAATGTTCAAATATTTTGTGACTAGAATTGACTGGAGCTAAATATTTGACTCGACTCGACTCGACTACACACTGTGACTCGGCTCGACTCGACTCGACCTTCTTGACCGTTCTTGACTCGACTCGATTCGAGTCGCTTCTTCTTAATGACTCGACTCAAGTTACAAAAATCAGTGACTAGTTACAACTCTGGAGATATGCAATGTTGCAATATATAATAACGTTATTCCATGAAGGATTTGCACTCAATGCTAAGCCGTCCCAAACAATCTTCATTATTGACAACAATAATTGATGTTACCGAAGCACTTTCTTCCCCACCATGCCCACGGAATCGCAATGTTTGTACATGTGGGTTTGATCAAGTTTCCGCAGTAGCTAGCTGTTAATGTGACACTGTGACAAAAAAATGACAATAGGAAATCAGTTGAACCTGTGGGATTGAGGCAAAAGTGTATGACATTTATGGCTTTTCGGTGTAAACTACAATCCTGGCCAAATCTCGCTGGGCATCCAACCCCCCGGCCCCCGTTCAATGTTGTCTCTCATTGCGCGGTGTGTGCTCCATCAGCTGGAGAAAACAACATTGACCGGGGAGCGGGGGACTGGGTGACCGTGGCAGGCTCAGGAAGTGTCCCAACCATTTTGGCCGGGATTGCTTCCTTTTTGCAAACTCTGCTGTCCTATTTCAAAGATCGTGATGCTACACTGCATACAAGAGGCCGAGGGAACGGGTGGGGAGAGTCTCATCTGCGATGGTTTCAAAGTTGCCTTGGACCTTAAACGGGCCGATCCGGAGGCATTTCATCTCCTCTCCAAATACCAGTTCGAATTCTTCGACACTGGGAAGGAACGCCATGGTGAATTTCACACTCACGCTCGACACAAAACCATCAGGTAAGAAGGAAAAGAAACCAGTTGTTGAATATTATTTTGCTCAACTTTTTGCCCAACATTGGTCAAATGTCAATGAGAAGGTATTCACTAAGACTCCTTTCCATTGCTATTCGCAATAATATGCCACATACTCAAAACGGGAGGTAGTTAAGCAGCCACAACAGACTAGCCTATAGACCTCTAAATCGACTCTCATGTAGACCCCAGTGATAATGACGCGTACTTCCAAAACTTAGTAAAAATACTCACAACTCTTTAAGGCGTTTGGGTCGAACATCAAACTAAGGCTTACAAACATTAGGTAATTGGCCCAGTACCGACCAGTATCGGGCTTGTACAGGCAGTAATAGGGCCACTATTGGGCCAGTTACCTAATGTTTGTTGGGATATATCATTTTCCGTTTTTTTTTGGGGGGGGGGGGGTTAACCGATGACCTTTTGGAGAAAAATCCATTCCAAAGATGATCACCCCTAAAAGCAGTGCTGAGGCCCATCGCCATTTTAAAAATGGACGCTTACGCTCCACTTGCAAAATGAAGCCATTTTAGGGCCTAATTTCATCCAAAATTTTACAGAAACACGAGCTCGCACTGTGCTCGAGCTACCCGGCTTCCACCCTTCTTTTTTTAATTCTTAAATTCAGGCAATCACAACACGCTTGGATACTGCTTCTACACGGACTTGTGTATCCAGCCTTCCACTTCCCCCAAAACTTAATTTAAGTTCAAAATAAGTCTTACATCATTTCATGTGATGTCTGTTTGTTATTTCACATATATCTAAGGCTTGACGACCGTGGTGAAATTGAGGCCATCACCTTCAGCGATCACAGCCGAGGACCTATGCTTCGAGTTCCCGTTGACAAGGTCCTGCCGATGTACCGGGCCCTCAGCAAGTTTGACAACATGCTCCTTGCACCGGAAAACTGCCTCAAGTACAAAATTAAAGAAGGTGGGTCAGAGGTCAGCAATGATGCCCTTTACACATCAACACTTTTAGAATTAGATACTGTATACTGTGCTCTTGGTACCATCTCACTCTTCTGACTGACTGACTGACTAACTAAAAACTTGTGAATTAGACTACCAAATGGCAATCTCACTGACCGATCACTTGTGACTTTAACTGGTATTACAATATGATGCTTCAAATTAGGTTTTGCCCTTCACCGATGTTTTTAAACACTGTATACTCAGTGTGTTACCTCCCGAGTGAAAGTTGGAAAAATCACTCGGGTGGGACACCCGAGTGATATTTATGCGGTACCCGCTGCTTTAGTTTATGCGGTACCCGCTGCTATGTACATCAGATTCGAACCGGCCAACCGATCCCAGCTCGGTGGTCGAGTGGTAAGACATCTGCACTAGAAAGCGGAGGTCGTGGGTTCGAGTCCCACCCGAGTGATTTTTTTCCAACTTTCACTCGGGAGGTAACACACTGAGTATACAGTGTTTAAAAACGTCGGTGAAGGGCAAAACCTAATTTGATTCATATCACCCCGACGCAAAATTCCATCTTATAATAATATGATGCTTGTCTAGCCCAGGTGGACTCCCTTACCTCCCTACGTTACGTAATGCATTGAAGACGTCGTCCAATTCCTGGGCTAGATGCTTGTCTATTCATTTTTTGATGTAGGATTTAATACATGTCACCTCATGAGCATTAGTCAGGAGCCGCTTGATTCGTGTTTTTTTAATGATACCTGTGTGGGAAAGGGAAAGTCTCCATGAGAAATAACCAAAGTGGATTTTTCAGTTCCATCAATCACGACAGCTTATTCTACGATTTTTCTTTTATTTATCCACAATACATAGGTCCTAGCTCTATGATAATACACTGAGCCAATGATCAAGGTTTCTTTCGTACATGTGCCAACTCTTAACAATGCATTTTTTTTTTGGAAAACACGTCACGAAATTCCTATAGGCCAATATAGACGGCTAGCCTTCAGCATCACGTGGGCTTTCCCACAATTCATTGCTCACATGAAATTTCAATTTGGTTTCCTGATTGAATAGAGTTTTGTGCACTCTGGGACCAGTTGACTATGCTCGCCTTCAAGTTGTCTTGGAACAATGAGCAGGTGTGAATATTATTGGATGTATGCGCAATAATACTTGCAGTTATTTCTCATTTTGTGTCAATTGTGACATCGTATTTAAAGGCAACATGCAGTGGAAATTCAGCTCACCTTGTTTTTATGCTCATTACTATGTGTTGCAACAATCCATACAAGATCTTAATACTCATTTGCATTGGAAGTGACAAGAAAGTGGTAATTTTTCAAATATTTGCAAATCCTTTCATCAATACATGTAAGAGGGCGCTATTTTGATTTTGTCACACAAGGAACTCCTTGTCGAAACTGCATATGAACAGTACAAAAATTAGTTCTTCAAAATTTCCTACAATAAAAAGTTTTGAAGAAATATTTGCCACTACTTTTGTCCAAACAAGCTGTTTAACATGACAAACAGGTAAAAAGTGGAACCTACTCCAAGAAAATGAAGAAAAGTGTGACATATATTTGTACAAAGTTTTGGAGACACTACTGTCTGCCTTGAATGACATCACGCTTTGGCTCATGAATATGGAAATTTTTATAAGCATAAAAACTAAAATGCTGAAATTTCTCCCTTTTACTGCTACAAAGGAGGTGGAAAGTCATAGTTACATGGCAAGAGAGCTGTTTTCAAAGTATTCAAGTCATACAAATCCTATTACATGTTCCCTTTGAGTGATCGTAACTCATGAACAGAAGTTGAAGGGTTCGAAGCCAGCCGCTTGCATCAAAGCTGGGAGTAAAAATGCGATGGAATTCGGGCGATTCACAATGCAGTGCGCCATCAAGAGTTGCCATGGAGAGTCAACTTTTCAAGTTTACGGTCGACAAAATATGGCCCATTTGAATGAGTGTCAGTAGACACTTGAGCTAATATGTTAAAGATTGGGGCAACGCGATCTGCCGCCTTACCAAAAATCACCATATAGATACAAAGAAAAGAAAAGGCCATACATATACTCGAATCATACGCTTACGAAACTACTGACCGAAAAAAACGAGCAATTTTAAATGTCCCGCACTGCGAATTTGTCGACCTTCTCCCACAATGCACTGGGAAAAATGAACAAACTATGGCAAACTATTGGTGGCGCTCTGCATTGTGAATCGCCCGAATTGCTTCCCCTTAAAGGATGTGCCGAGGGGAATAGAAATATTTTCAATTTCATGTCAAGGAAGTCAGGGATAAGCACTGACCAAACCAGCAATTTTTTAATAATTAATTTCCTGTTGAAATCATAGGTTAACTACTGGTTACTGTCTAAGGTTTCAAGTTCATGTCCTCTCTTGTTTTACTTTGCAACTGCACACAGGAGAAATCATGACTCTCAACAACCGCCGCGCCCTCCACGGCCGAAGCGGCTTCCAGGTGACTGAGGCTAGTAGCCGCCATCTTGAAATAGGCTACGTGGAGTGGGACGAGGCCAACTCTCGTATCCGTGTTCTTGCGAAGAATCTTCCAAATCGACCGTGAACGAAGTATCCATAAAAACGTCGGTGAAGGGCAAAACCTAATTTGATTCATATCACCCCGACGCAAAATTCCATCTTATAATAATATGATGCTTGTCTAGCCCAGGTGGACTCCCTTACCTCCCTACATTACGTAATGCATTGAAGACGTCGTCCAATTCCTGGGCTAGATGCTTGTCTATTCATTTTTTGATGTAGGATTTAATACATGTCACCTCATGAGCATTAGTCAGGAGCCGCTTGATTCGTGTTTTTTTAATGATACCTGTGTGGGAAAGGGAAAGTCTCCATGAGAAATAACCAAAGTGGATTTTTCAGTTCCATCAATCACGACAGCTTATTCTACGATTTTTCTTTTATTTATCCACAATACATAGGTCCTAGCTCTATGATAATACACTGAGCCAATGATCAAGGTTTCTTTCGTACATGTGCCAACTCTTAACAATGCATTTTTTTTTGGAAAGCACGTCACGAAATTCCTATAGGCCAATATAGACGGCTAGCCTTCAGCATCACGTGGGCTTTCCCACAATTCATTGCTCACATGAAATTTCAATTTGGTTTCCTGATTGAATAGAGTTTTGTGCACTCTGGGACCAGTTGACTATGCTCGCCTTCAAGCTGTCTTGGAACAATGAGCAGGTGTGAATATTATTGGATGTATGCGCAATAATACTTGCAGTTATTTCTCATTTTGTGTCAATTGGGACCTCGTATTGAAAGGAAACATGCAGTGGAAATTCAGCTCAACTTGTTTTTATACTCATTACTATGTGTTGCAACGATACATACAAGACTTAGTACTTGTTTTCATTGGAAGTGACAAGAAAGTGGTAATTTTTCAAATATTAGCAAATCCTTTCATCAATACATGTAAGAGGGCGCTATTTTGCTTTTGTCACACAAGGAACTCTTTGTCAAAATTGCATATGAACAGTACAAAAATTAGTCCTTCAAAATTTCCTACAATAAAAAGTTGTGAAGAAATATTTGCCACTACTATTGTCCAAACAAGCTGTTTAACATGACAAACAGGTAAAAAGTAGAACTTACTCCAAGAAAATGAAGAAAAGTGTGACATATATTTGTACAAAGTTTTGGAGACACAACTGTTCTGCCTTGAATGACATCACGCTTTGGCTCATGAATATGGAAATTTTTATAAGCATAAAAACTAAAATGCTGAAATTTCTCCCTTTTACTGCTACAAAGGAGGTGGAAAGTCATAGTTACATGGCAAGAGAGCTGTTTTCAAAGTATTCAAGTCATACAAATCCTATTACATGTTCCCTTTGAGTGCTCGTAACTCATGAACAGAAGTTCAAGGGTTCGAAGCCAGCCGCTTGCATCAAAGCTGGGAGTAAAAATGCGATGGAATTCGGGCGATTCACAATGCAGTGCGCCATCAAGAGTTGCCACGGAGAGTCAACTTTTCAAGTTTACGGTCGACAAAATATGGCCCATTTGAATGAGTGTCAGTAGACACTTAAGCTAATATGTTAAAGATTGGGGCAACGCGTTCTGCCGCCTTACCAAAAATCACCATATTGATACAAAGAAAAGAAAAGGCCATACATATACTCGAATCATACGCTTACGAAACTACTGACCGAAGAAAACGAGCAATTTCAAATGTCCCGCACTGCGAATTCGTCGACCTTCTCCCACAATGCACTGGGAAAAATGAACAAACTATGGCAAACTATTGGTGGCGCTCTGCATTGTGAATCGCCCGAATTGCTTCCCCTCAAAGGTTGTGTCGAGGGGAATAGAAATAATTTCAATTTCATGTCAAGGAAATCAGGGATAAGCACCGACCAAACCAGCAACTTTTTAATAATTAATTTCCTGTTGAAATGACCTAACTAGGTTAACTACTGGTTACTGTCCAAGGTTTCAAGTTCATGTCCTCTCTTGTTTTACTTTGCAACTGCACACAGGAGAAATCATGACTCTCAACAACCGCCGCGCCCTCCACGGCCGAAGCGGCTTCCAGGTGACTGAGGCTAGTAGCCGCCATCTTGAAATTGGTTACGTGGAGTGGGACGAGGCCAACTCTCGTATCCGTGTTCTTGCGAAGAGTCTTCCAAATCAACCGTGAACGAAGTATCCATGTGGAGGCCTATATATGTAAAGGCTTACTTTTTTATAATACGAATATAAGACCTATCCTGTCCCTTCTAGTTAGCATTAGAAATAACATCATCAGTGTTTCAACCCCTTTTTCACGAAAATTTGCCACTGTGATGAACATCTGAAGATGCTCTTCAAAAAAGGGTCAAATGTCACGCACTTTGAGCTCATAAGAGGTCATAAATGCTTCCCAAAATTTTCTCTGAATCTGTTTTGCGTTATATTACATGAAAGTTCAATCTTGACCTGGGTTCACGAATTGAAAGCCGACTGAATTAATGTATTCTGTTTGATTTACGATAGTCCTATTTTTTTTTTATTACCGATAACATAATTATAGGTCTATAATGTATTTTAATTGTAATGTTTTCTAAATTTTGGTCGAGTAAAATTTAAAAAATACTTCCCCATAGATTTAAACAGTTTATCGTACATTCGCCTTTGTAACATATTTCTAAAACCTAATCAATTATATGTTATTCAAGAGAACATTATCCTTCTCTGCCTGTAGCCGGTTATTTAGACCTTGTCTATTACCAAAACGTTTGTTTTGCGCCATGAATTATTCAAATTCGCGCCCAGACTGCATGGGCCGTATTTTTTTTATGGGGGATGATGATCTCTACTTTTGTACATTTATCAAATTTTGTTTCATTTGATTTAATAAAAAACAAACGTACGTACACCCCTTGCTACTCACATCTTAACGAAACACTCTCGACATATTTTTATATACATGTATCTTTCAATTTTTTTTTTATTAGGTGTTGGGCCTTGAGCCCAACACCTATTGGTTTTGTAAGAATTTACTGTTTTTGTTCTTCTCAGCATATTCTCAGCAAATCCTTCTCCGGAATTGTTTGGAAAAATGGAAACATAATTATATGAATTTAAAAAAAATTGCTAGAAAATATACCGCGACAGATATAATCAAGATTTGGCTGTATATAGCACAGTAAATATAGCTCTGGAGGTTTCTGGTAATGACGTCACAATGACGTCATCAAGTATCGTATTACAAGCAATCAAAGATTTCTAGATTTAATCTTTTAAAATCAATATAAAATCAACTGCTACAGATTTGATTTAGTTTTTTATAGCAACCGATACAATATTGCAGGGTCTTCATTTTTGGTATTAAGTGCAAAATCACGTGACCATTCCTTCCAGTCGAAACCGGAAGTGCCTTATTATTTGAAATGGGCAGAAGATGCGAACTTGCTTTAACAATGCGAGTGTCTGCCTAGGCTGTACTGTAAAAAAAAAATATAGGTGACGTCATCAAATGTTAGAGCGCCCTCTGGCGGCATGTTGAAAAAGTCAACATGGATTTAAACATGCATATTTTGAGTTGATGTGTGTGGCATGACGTGAACACTCCTCCTAGTAAGACCAACCCGACCAACCATGTAGGCAACTCGGGTTGGGACACATCATTTTGGGGAGCCTGCCCTAGGGGATTAAGATATTTATAAGCACTTATTCTATAATTGGTTCCTAAAAGGAGCAAAGGTCACTCTGCGTGAGTGATTTCAAGAATAATATTTGGTTGCTAAATTTAATCTGTGGGCCAACAAAAGTATTATCATAATGACGTACCTGAAATGTTAACTTGTTTTATATGTTGAAAAGTGAAAATCCGTGAATAAATGGCTGAGAACGATCTGTTACTGTTACGCTAGCATAAAACCGCAATTCACCAGAAAGTATAGTTCCAGAAAGCAGTGTGGCTAACATGTGGTATTTTATTTAACCACAAGTCATTATCTCGCTGGGACTGTGGAGCAGGGAGGGGAGTTTGGTTTACTTGCTCCCCAGGGGCTTTCAACAGTGTGAAACTAGTCACTTTCTTAAGAGGGCCGGTTTCGTCATGCAAAGTTTGCGGTAATCCATGGCCCGACACCGTGTGGTTGTTCCTACAACCTCTAGTTAAGTATTGTTATTGCTTAAGAAGCAAAAACATAGTCGGTGTTTATGTAAATATCAATAACATTAATGAAATTGTATTTTATACATTTTAAGGTGTATTTTAACCAACCATTATTCAACGATACAAAATCATGTATCATAACGAGTCGTGCATAAGTAGTAAACTGATTATAGGTTTTCCCGGCTATTATAAAACATTTTTCGTTCGAATTCACCGATTCTTATATTCAACAACGATTTAGTGCACTTTCTATGTTTAATTTCGTCTTTTGTCAGACAATTTCAAATTTAGTCCAAACAAATTCAAACAATGAGCACACGTTTTCGACCCGGAGTACTCGATTTCGTCTGGTCTACGCCGAATCGTGTTATTCGGAAATCAAATTCGTCTAATTGATTTATATGAGACGAATTCGATCTCTGAATGCTGCCACTCGGCAACAGCTTAGACGGATTTGATCTAATATGACGAATATTCTCGACCCGGTGACTAAAAAGGGTGGCCAAACTTTGAAATTGATTGTTAAATGACTACGGAATTCGTTAAAAGCATGTGAATTTTTTCTCGGACAAAATTGAATGTTGGTGAATCTGAATGAAAATTGTTTTAAAATAGCCGGGAAAAGTTATATTATCCCACGCTGAATACAAGTTCAATGAGTAAAAATGTGCAGCATTAAAGGATTTCATAACGTAAAGATTGTGTCCCTCTTTATATATTTTTTTAAAGATAAGATCATTCGAAAGTCCTTCACTGTTAAGCTTCGAAATAGTTAAAGCTTCAGAAACGGCCAATTTTCAGAAAGCAGTTACTGTGCCAAATTAACCGTTCATTTTTTTTTAACCTGGTCTTTAATGGAGGCCAGGCGCGTACGCGGGGGGGGGGGGGTGTTTTGGCTGTTAAACACCCCCCTTTGCCATGTAAAAATATGGAGGGAAAAGAGAGTTATGTGACCGAGCGCGGAACAATTACAAATTATGTGCATGCTCTCAACTTTAAGCTTTGAATACAGAAGACACTTCATAGGAGCAAGAGTATATAGGCCTATATGTATTTGAAACAAATGAAACAAAATATCCCCTCATAATTTTAAAAACTTTTGCTAAAAAAACCAGGGGAAAGTGGCCAGGAAACGCCTCAGATTGCACCACAGAGCATCTACGATCCAAAATTTCCCGGGGCCCTTAAGCGGGCCCCGGACCCCACGCCGTAAGTGCTTCGCGCTCCGCGCTCGCATTGGTCCTCCGGCCAAATTCCTTCTATGCTATAATTTCACCCTAGCGGTGCCCCCTAGCGGTAACTACCTTCAGCAGTGAACGGCTCTACAAGTGGCCTAAATCCCTTTCCAAAATAGAAAATTGTGCAAAAATACGGATATGAACATGGTTCTCAACTTTGAGTACATAACAAACTTTATAAACAACAACAAAAAATAACAAATTTAAATGGAATTTTCGATGTTTAAAACGTTTTCTAAACGGTGGAAGTGGCCAGGAATCGCCTCAGATTGCACCACAGAGCATCTAAAATCCCAATTTTTCCGGGGCCCTTAAGCGGGCCTTCGACCCCTCGCCGTAAGGGCTTCGCAGGTCCTGGACCCTTCATTACAATAATTCTAGGCCCCCCGGCAAATGGCAGTCTGAATCCGCTCCTGTGACCAGAGCGCATATGTATCCTGTATCTGAAGTTTGGCCTTAGGGGTGGGGGCGGTTTACACAAAGATTCCCAACGGATGAGAATCATGAGATCCAGGGGACGAAGCTGAGTAATTTTAGCCAATTACAAGAACAGATCCTAGCACTTCCGCAGCCCGTGTCACTTGTTTTCTTGAATTTCTTCTTTTGTTTTTGTTTAAATGCTGTTGAGGGGGGGGGGGGACTGCCCACATTGACTCCTTTACTCATATGTTCATCATATACTCTAAAGACACCGAACATTTTTTTCCCGATTTACTATGCTTTAGCTCAAAAAGATAACTGATGGTCGTGGGTTCCCTGCCCTTCGAGTTTAACCCGTCCAAATATACCCTCTTTTATTTCTGGCGCCAACACAAACTCCTGACTTTTATTTTAGCGTTAAGTTTAGCCCACTGATATTATCTTTTATTTCTGGCGCCAACACAATTTACCATCTTCATTTCTAGCGTCATAAATGACGACATCCAATTTTGAAACACCCCCCTTGAAAAAATCCTGCGTACGCCACTGATGGAGGCCAAAGTTTGAAGTTTATTCAGTTGATTTTTTTACCATGACATGCGTTCAAAATACATCTGGAGCCCTATAGATAGAGCCGATGTCGGAGACGATGCCGACATTTGGAAAATGACCCTGCTAATATGACCAGCAATACCCAGGGCGGCGCTTGGATACGGCATGACGAATGCGATAGATTGCGTACCACACCAAGTGCATAATGGGCGTGGCGACAAACACAGTGAGAACCATCACGATAACGGTGGTGCTTGGTGCCCCGCCCCAGTCCAGAAACTTCGAGTAGATGGCCACACCTCCCAACTCGTTCAGACCGCCTGCTTTCTGGTAAATCAGCGTGAACATGAAGTAGAGGGCGGCATAGAGGGTGGGATAGATGAGATGCAGCAATCGCATGGGCGTGGCCGATAAGACGACATCCAGGACGATCACGATGAGATTGACACCGTGAACGTGGAAGTTGTAAGCAGTCAGCACATCCCTGGAAGGTGAGAAGACGAGGGTATAGAAGTTGATGGCTACGAACAGTCCAGCGGTGAACGCGATGGTCTGCAGGAACCAGGCTAACTTGAAGTACCACGGGAGAGGTTCCAGGGGCTCTCCGCCATCACCACCGCTGCTTAGAGGTTCTTGAGGTGATATGACCGTAGACATGGGTATCCCCCCTTCAGGGTCCGCCCCGGACTCGGGATCGACTTCTGTTCCAACCGAAATAAAAATATCAACTTTTTATGCTCGTGTTCATTCTATTGGGTCTAGCTAGAACTGCGTGGTAGACCCTACTTTTAATGGGTTAGATACAGGAAAATCTTCCAAGTAGTTTGTACCCAGAAGATCGGCGTAGTTGCTGAACCTGACTGGTTCATCTCATATCAGGTCTGGGCCAATTTCACGGCGCTGCTAAGCACAAACATTTGCTAAGCACAAAATAAGCCTGGCTTATAAAAGCAGGTTACCTGCCAAAACTCCATGTGATGTATATATTGCTCGTGAGCTGTTGTTTGCTTATTAGCATGAAAATCACGTGGAGTTTTGGCTGGTAAACTGCTTTTAAAAGCCAGGCTTTTTTGTGCTAAGCAAATTGTTTTGGATTCCGCCCCCCCCCCCAAGATCTCGGCCATCGAGTGACGAACAATTTTGAAACTCAGCACATGCATAGAGCAACTCTTCCTAAACATACCCAAGAAATTTCATGACTATAGGTCAAAGGGTTTTGGAATTAAGGCTAATTAATTATTCATATGTACGAATGGCAATTCTGCTCTGTGTACACGACGTATATGCGAAAAATTTTCGTTACGCGGCAACCCGTGGTCCGATTTTTATGTTTTTGGTATCAAAAGATGCGCAAAGCTCAAGGCTAAAAAGTCCTAACAGCTCGGGTCGCGAAACATTTTTTTTAGAGGCTATCCCGGAAAATGTTGGGGGGGGGGGGGGCAGATTTTGCCCCCGGCCCCTTTAGGGTTAAAGAGGAGATTCAACCCTAACAGATGATATCTCCCTTGGATTCACATGTGCCCTACTTTTGTTCCAATTAGCAATAATATCTCGGTTTCTTTCTTTTTTGATCCACCATGTATAGGCAATCCCAGCCAAATTTGACGGCTCTATACATTGAATATACAAGACACCCTCAGTTGTTCACACTATAGAAGTTTTACCTGGGGTGATCCGACAGCCACGTCTAACGTGGTAGTAGATGTTCCCGATCGCCATGACCGTCAGATACAGAATGAGCACCAAGAAAGACCAGTCAGAGACGTAGATGAGCCACTTGGCTTTACTGTCAGCAGGTTCTCCCCACTCGACCAGAATAAGAATCAGCCATATGAACAGGTAGACGGCCAGGAAAGTGCGAAAGATGCACCACGAAATGGGCGCCAGAGGCCATTTTGCCTGAAGGAAATAATAATAAAAACAAAGAAATTAGTTTGTGTTAATTCAAAGGTATTGGTGAGAGTGGATCGAGCTTAACCTGAAAAACGGTGTATTGGATAAAAAAACACACCCTGAGCCATGCAATTTTCCAAATTACGTCACAAGAGTTCTCCCTCGAACTTGAAAAACTTGGACGACTTTTGCGAAGTCGTGTTTCTGATTACGGTCGAGGTGTGTTGACTTGAGCATAGGCCTACAGGAAAAAATGTATTATTGCCGCCACTTCGTCAGTAATCCATTATGTGGGGGATCGATTCAATAAATCCTAAAAAGTATTTGCCACTGAAAGTTCGTTTCTTACGCCAAAAATTTAAGTCATTTTGCAGGGGCCGACCATAAATTGCGCCAATTAAGATACCACACTTATAGGCAGATTTTATTGACTAAAGGTTGCCTTACTTATAGGGAATTAACTTATGACCAGTTTACTCTTCGTACACAGCAGCAATCATCTTTAAATCCATCAGGAGATGGGTGATCTTGTTTAGAGTCAAGCTATGGGAAATGAAATGGAACCTACACAAACAAAAGTAAGGAGGTCAAACAGTCTATTTTAGCGAGATAATGTAAATTTTCCAAACGTTTTCCCATAGGTAGCAGTATGGGCCATTATACAGGGGCATTCTAGTATAATCTGGGCCCATTTTGTGGGGGTTAGGGTTAAACTGGGTAAACTTGGCTACGGTCAAAACTTCCATTGATTTCTCCCTCTTATGTCTACCCAATATTTGAGACCCCTTTATAGTGTGTCTCAATTGAAGAAATAAGCCACACAATGTCACACCATCAAATAACTCAATGTGTTGTTCTTACACACATTTTTATTCACAAGCCAATCTAACGGAGAGGCGTCTCTGAATGGGATAGAGCCATCATTTCTCTTATCGATACCCGTAACGCAGTTACATGGGACTCGGTGCTCCTTATTCTGTATGTATCCGTATCTGTATCATTATAGTCGGCAAAGCACCCGGGGCAAACATCACACCAACATAGAGAGAAGACAATGAGAAGAAATTACAGTTTTAGAGTTGGGAGGGAAAGCCCAGAAGAATATTCTGGGGAAAACTTACGGAATCAGGCAGGGACTGAAAACCCAATCCACATATTGGCCCAGGCGGGATTCGAACCCGGGTCACAGCGGTGGAAGGCGAGGAAAGCACCGCTACGCCAACCTGACCCCCCTCTTTGCGAAGAATCAGGATCGCGGCTTGCACAGAGTTTTTGTTATTATTCGGTTCTCAGAATCTCAGAATCTCAGAAAGTTGACTGGATATCGCCGCTAGGCATCATCATCCAGTTTGACTTCACGGTTCATGTTAATCCTGCAATGGTACAAAATGCTGAACAAACTTTACCTGTGGAAGAGTGAATCGTTGGACAGGTTCCCCGTCGAATCCCAGATAGAGGCCGGCCTTTTTGCAACAATTTGTCGTGGCCATGGTCGGATAGCCTACGCAGCGTATGTTGAAGGATAACCCGAATGACGTGCACTGAGATGCATCTACATGTACAATATCTTTCACCCTGCCGCCCAAAATTTACTCGAGGATGAAAAGAAAGTCACAGTTGAATGACCATCATTTAATGGTGGATTACAATCGCCATGTGAACCCCAAATCCTTTTTTGTCCTCAACGAATTTGCAGTCTTGAATGGAGTCTCACGAGGTGCCGCGACCTGCCGTTTTCTTAACCAGTGCGTGAGTGCGTCTTTGCGCTGCAGCAGGTGGGGTGTAGACTAGACCAGTAAATAAATTCCCGTAGGCACAAGTAAATCCCCCCCCCACTTTAAAAAATTAGTAAAAACGCTCACAAATGTCTCACAAGTGGTCAAGACATACATTTTGACCGGGCACTGTTATTTCGGTTGTGTAAAAATCAAACGGTTGTGTACTATGAACCTAGCAACCTGTTGTGTAAACTGTTGTTTACACAACTTGTGTAAAATATTACACAACTTGTTCATTTTTTTTTACACAACTGGTTGCTAGGTTCATATGGTACACAACCGAAATAACAGTGGGGGATGGGCTATTGAATCATCTTCTCCTCCCTCCTCCCCGACTTTTTCGTGAGGAGAAAAAAATGCGGTTTTCGATGTATTTTTCGAACATTCCAACAACAAAAATGTATTAAATAGCACGCACTGAAAAGTGGAGAAACAAAGTACAAAAGCTTCATGCGCCTTTTTGATTTAAGCGCGAGTATACGAATTGATATACATCTATATCCTGAAGAGCGCACCCTAGTGTAATGTGGTGTCCACCCCCCCCCCTTCGAATTTCCACGGCCGGGCAAGTTTTGGACTGTAGTCATCCCCCGTCCCCCTACTCGCCGGCACAGATTTACGCCACTGCTTGCAGGGTTGCCAGGTAGAGGGAAGAGCTGCAATTGTGTCAACAATGAAGAAAACAAAAACTAGTATAGCCCAGAGAAACTTTGCATAAACATAAAGAAGTGAAATAGAAAAATGAAGCTTGATCTAACGTTCAGTCAGTTTTAAATGTGTTTTCTATAATGTCTTTATTGTACCGTCTCCGCTCTTATGCAGAATTCTGATGCTTCGTGGACAAAAAGGTAAATTGGGTACCACAGTAAAACGGTAAAACGGAATATGCAAAGACAAACGGCAAATGCAATTAACTTTATTTTTTTCACACAAGGTTACTAACGAATGTCATTCGTACAAGGTGTTAAGAGTTCAAATTTTCAACATGGTTTTGAAAAAAAAGATACCATATTTTGCAGTTCTTTTGACTCACCCTGTATACATGTACTAGCACATACATTCATAGACATTTAAAAACAAAAGGCTCGAACTTTAGCTAAGAGCATCAAAGTGATGCCAACCCGTATATTACAAAAACACATATATTCCTGTATACCATTAGGGAGGCATGTTATCATTAAAAGTTATAACTTATAGGAGATAAGGCAGATGCGAGAGACATTAATGTCTCCCTATAATGTTTCAACTCCTATTGAGAGGCAAATGTTAGCACAAGTCTTTGGGAATGTCTGTCTAAGGTACCATTTCCCGTAATTGTTATTTTTTTATTAATGTTAAAAAGGAGTAATTTGAGTAAAAAGATTAATTTCATTGGTTACTGATAGTAACCTTTGATGAGTAAAAAAACCAAATACCCAAATACAATAGGGATGGGGGAAGGGAAGCGCCAAAATTATGATGACGACACTACACATATTAATTTATTGACAACTTGTCATGGGCCGATTTTATTCGTGCGATGTCTCATTGAAAAGCTCATAACCAATGATTGATTTGATCTGAAAGTCGATTTTTAAGGTGCCGCGCCCCAAAAGCACGTATACACCATATATAGTTTAGATACAATCAAAATATGATTATGAGACTGTACGTATTTCGGCGGTGTCACATGAAAATGGTTTTGTATTGTACGGACAAGCAGGAGTAAACCCTTTGTAAATTCATATTTAATAAATAAAAACAAACCACAAGATACCCTCTGAAACACCCGCTTTCATCGCAAATGGTACACTGAATTTTGAGGAAAAAACCCAAAACGCTGTTGATCTGCAAATGACATTAATGATCAGCCAATACCGCCCGACATATTATGCGAATAGTACTTCATTTCACTTTTGTTCAATTTTCCAAAACTGTTACAATAATTTTTAATGAAAAGGAGATACCTCATAATGGAACATTATCACTAAAAAAAAGTACAGTTAAAAACACTATCCACTAAACAAACTAAAGCAGTATTTGACCTATTTACACATTTCTGACAGGCTGAGGTATAAAAAGGATTTTATAAAACGGTCATATATAAAGTAAACTCACGTTCTGCCAAACTGCAACCATTCAAATTTTTATACAAGTTCAGCTTTGGACAAGAATATATTTTGTGGTTCAAGACAAAAACAGTATATTTATCCATGCACTAACAGTGAAAACAGTGAAAGACTTAGACCCAGTTGCGTAGCCTAGCATGGCCTAGCGGTTAAGAGCACCGAACTCATGCTCTGGTGTTTCAGAGGCAACAGTGGCGTGGGTTCGTGCCCGGGCCCGGACACCTGTGCCCTTAAGCAAGGCGCTTAACCATTATTGCTTCGTCCTTCGGATGGGACGTTAAGCCGGAGGTCCCGTGTGTTGTATAAGGCCTAACGCACGTAACAGAACCTAGTGACACTTATCGCTAAGAGAGGGGGTTTGCCCCGGTGTTTCTGGCCTCCTAGTTATACTCCCTTGTGGAAGTCCTTAGGAGAAGAACCAACCAAGTACCAAGTAGCAACGGGAGAGGTTCAGTTGTTCGTTTGAACGCCTCCCCCCCCCTCAACTTTAACCCAACTCAGCCTGGTAAACCCCATCACCTCTTGACAAAAGTCTTACTCTGTTACTGATAAGTCCAGCAGCCTCCAGTGCAACACTTGGATATGGCATGGCGGATGCGATAGATGCCGTAAAATAAGAGATGAAGTAGGGGAGCAGCGACGACCACAGTGAGTGCCATCACGATGCCGGTTCTTCCCGGCGCCGCGTCCCAGTCTAAGTTGTTGGGGTAGATGGCCGTGCCGCCTTTCTCGTTCAGCCCACCGGCACCCTCGTAGATGAGCGTGAACATGAAGTACACAAAGGCGTACGATGATGGGTAGATCAGATGCAGGACCCGCATGGGCGTGGCGGATAGGATTATGTCCAAGACCACGATGATGAGATTGACACCGTGGACGTGGAAGTTGTAAACGTGCAAGACGTCCTCGGCAGGATTGAAGACGAGGATGTAAAACAACAGGGCGACGAAGAGCGCAGCGGTGAACGCGATGGTCTGCAGGAACCAGGCCATCTTGAAGTACCAGGGAAGAGGTTCCAGGGGCTCTCCAGAATCACTACCGCTGCTTGGGGTACCACGAGGTGAATCGACGGAAGACATGGGTATCCCCCGGTCATAGCCCGACCCAGACTCAGGATCCACATCTGTTCCAACTGATCAAGAAGAAAGAAAGTTTAATGATACAAATACACCCGTTTCTTTTATTTGTTTTGTATCTTGTTAGGCCTTTCCATAGCTCATGCAGTTGGTACAGAGCACAAGTTCAATATTCCGGAGATCATACATTATGAATCTCTCGGTGATTTTTTGTTGACGTTTATTGAAATGATTATTGAAAAATTAAACTATCAGAATAACAAAACATTGCGTCGTCAGTTTTTAAGGGAAGTACTCTCGCTACAAGCAACACCATCCTCCAACACTGACATTATCCAACATGCTAGATCGCTGTGCAGTTCCTTTTGTACCATCCGTACATCACCATGAAGGCATGTGACGTCCAGAACTACAGGCCACTAATGATCTATCACCTCCCGCTACAATGTACAGGGCGAGTCAAAAAAGCGAAACCCAAATGTCGGGACTTTTGTTTTAGTGAAGTTCTGCATGTAGCACTTTCTAAATCTAGGATTATGAAAGCCCAATTCATAAGCTTTCTTTTAGTACAAGAATCGTTTAAATCTCTCATGTACTTTTCAAGTTACGGAATTTTAAACACAACCACAGTTTTAAAGTTCTGTCCACGGATAACAAAAAATGGTGTGCGTCCTTTCAGCAAAACGAAAACAATTCACACACATCCTATATGTGATTTGTTTTTGTTTTGCTGAAAGAATGCACACCTTTTTTGTGATCCGTGGACAGAACCTCTAAAACGGTGGTTGTGTTTAAAATTCCGTAACATGAAAAGTACATGAGAAATTTGAATGGATTCTTGTACTAAAAGAAAGCTTATGAATTGGGCTTTCATATCCTAGATTAAGAAAGTGCTACATGCAGAACTTCACTAAAACAATGGTCCCGACATTTGGGTTTCGGTTTTTTGACTCACCCTGTATAGACTTTTGAGTTTTTATGTTTGAATTTGAGTCTTCTTAAACCACCTTCCAATTTTCGAGTTTAAGGTAGTTTGTAGTTCTACTTCAAGATACATCAAGTAAACATAACTGAAGCTTGTATACCTTTGTTAAAAAGTTTCTAACTTTCAAAATTACGGAATAAACATTTGAAAGGATGTTTTTTATTTACCTCTTGCGTTTTTGCAGCCACGTGTCGCGTGGTAGTAGACATTTCCCACAGCCATTGTTAGTGTATACAGTATGAGAAACAGAAAGGACCAATTGGAGACATAGATGAGCCACTTGGCTTTGTTGTCTGCCCCGCCGTATAGAGGGGGATCTCCCCAGACGGTCAGTATCAGCCCCAGCCAAACGATGAGATAAACGGCCAGGAAGCAGCGGAAGATGGACCACAGGACCGGCGCCATTGGCCATTTCGCCTGCCAGAAAATAAGAAATGAACGAATTTATTTCAAAAGTCGGTGAGAAATCACTAGATTCTTGTGGAAATTTACTAGATTTGAGTGACAATTGACTATACATCCTTGTGAAAATTCACTAGATTGAAGTAAAAATTCAATAGATTGAAGTGAAAATTCACCAGATTCGAGTGAAAATCCACGTGAGGGAAAATTCACTAGATTCTTGTGAAAATTCATAGATTCGAGTGACAATTTACCAGATTCTTGTGAAAATCCACTAGATTCGAGTGACAGTTGACTAATACATCCTTGTGAAAATACACTAGATTGGAGTGAAAGCTCACTAGATTCGAGTGAAAATCCACGTGAGGGAAAATTCACTAGATTCATGGAATTCACTAGATTCTTGTGAAAATTCACTAGGTTCGAGTGACAATTCACTAGATTTGTGTTACAATTCACTAGATTCGAGTGAAAATTCACTAGATTCTTGTGGAAATTCACTAGATTCTTGTGAAAATTTACTAGATTCTTGTGAAAATCCACAAGATTCGAGTGACAATTCACTATAGATTTCTGTGACAATTCACTAGATTCGAGTGACAATTCACTAGTTTCGAGTGACAATTCACTAGATTCGAGTGAAAATTCACTATAGATTCGAGTGAAGATCCACTAGATTCGAGTGACAATTCACTAGATTTGTATGACAATTCACTAGATTCGAGTGAAAATTCACTAGATTCGAGTGACAACTCACTAGATTTGCCGGCCGACCAGCGTTTGAAATTGATACAAAATTCCACTTTTCTTGAAAATGACAGCACACCAGGTGCCATGATTTTACAAGACGCTTTAGACTGTCATTCGCTATTTGAGTCCAGTGAGGTGTTTCATGATAACTTGAGTAGTTTTGATTCGATGTTTGAAAATGATGTATATTCCCTTAACTTTAACCCTTTTGTTCAAAAATGTCCATGTCTGTGTTCTCTCTGCGTATACACATCATCTTCATATTTCATAAGATCAGACGTACGATCAGTCATATTTTTTATAGCGTTGTCGTTCCGCACCGACTGAACTCGACATAATTAGATTTTCAAATACACCTGACGCTTACGCGATCATGCATGTATTTTCCATCGATCACTAAAAAGAACTTAAACCACGTATTTAAATGCCTTTGTAAAGAGAGGAAACCAACGTTTTGAACAATTTATTTTGAGTATACGTATGACTGGACGCTTTTCAACAGTTTCTAAGAAAAGAAAAACTATCGAACGATGTCAGCCATTGACAGTAAATTGAGAACTATACAATAACACAAACTTCTTGTTGTGACTACCGTGTGGGTAGCGTCCTTCAGTGAAGGCCAGAGGGAGAAAAGGCTTAAGGACTGGGTCAGTATAAGGACCATTGATCGCTGTCAAGGTTGTAAAGGATTCCGGGTAAACTTAACGCGTGCGTGAAAAACGTGGCTGCGGTATGGGATGGGCGTACCGCTCGTGAGTGAGTCGACTTCCGCCATCACAGAACCAAAGGAAAGTGAAACTGTCGCGCCCACTATATAAAGTACCGTCCCAACTTTGGTTGGGATCGTGCCAATGCTTCATGCACAACTGTGTATAGTTGGGGCAATTGCTAGTCAGTTTGGGCGTAACAAAATACAATTCGTGACTTGATAGGGAGAAAAATGTTTGTCATATTGGTTGGAGATTTTTGTCAATGACAATGCAAATATCACAGATCCTGTGGCAACATTCATTTAATCGCAGCCAACGTCGTTTTTATATAGTTACAAAGTTTAAACAAATAAGTAAACGCCCTTAAGAAAAAAAACCCATTTAAATTGCAACAAAATAAACATTATCCTCACTAAATTCTTCAATTAATTTATTGACTACTGATGATAGTATAGAGTTAAATACTGCAAAATATGTGCAGTCATATTAGTCACGTGGTATTTAGCACAAATTACTAGGTAAACATCTAAAGTATGGTGTTCCATTATGCGCCATTGGCCTCGCATTTGTGGGGCAGGGCGTCGCTTTTTTAAGCTCTGGCAGGGATCATTTTCAAAGAGTTCATGCAAGACTTCATGCAAGACGACCAGAGCTTGTTTTTGTCACGTACTAGCGAACGCAATCTCTTCTGTTCGTCGTGCATGTCAGTTCAGGTACACCACGTACACGATGAGTGAAATGGTACCGCATTCAATATTTACCAACCTCAACAAGTTCAACAGATCACAGTAATTGTGCAGTTCGTTTTCGTCATTACTGGGCAACAGAGCATGTCATATACAAATACCCGAGGGCGCGATGACTAAAATGCTTGAGTCAAGGTCGGTATGCGACACAGTTCTGCGGTATATCAAACCTAGTACAATACATGTACATGTACATGTACAATCAGCAATCACATGTCAACGGTATACGTTTATTCTGCACGCAAATTCACAGACTTGACACCATAATAGTTGGTTGCCCGTGCTGTTCGAGAAACTCCAATATTTTTCTCTCTTGGTTTTCTACTTGTATGTTTTATTCCAACAAAAAGACATTTTTTGATTCATTTTTGGACGTCTCCAAGACTCTCTCAAAAAAAAAGGTTTTGTTTTGGGCACAAACAGATCCGCTTTGCGAGCAGACTGGCTCCCGGTCCGTGCTCTATCGATACTAATTGTAAGGCGGGAACCAGCCTACCCAGCGAGAATGGACTTATTGTCTGCCAGCCAATAATTCGAAATTTGTGAAGGAATAACTTAAAAACTAAACATGGGCATATTGTTTTTCGGTTGATGTCTCATTGCTATTATTATATAGCAGTTTAGAAAAGGAATCTATTTTTTTTTGTATGAAAATGGGAAAAGGCCCGGGGAATACTTTAAGTGACCTCTGAAAAATGTCCTTAGGTTAAAACCATTTCCATTTGACCGACCATTTCCCGTGGTAATTCCACCGCGAGTGACTGTTTCTGAGCACAGACGCACCTAGATGTAAGCCGTAAATCCTTGCCAATAATAGAGGCTACATCAAACACGGACATCCGAGGTAACTTCCCGTATTTTGATGTTTTGTGTTTTGGTTTAGTCGTTCGGCATTTTCAAAGAATACAACCACAAAGCAAAGTGCCGGGTATTACCGTTTTGTTTCGAATTTATTCCGACACAAAAATACAATTACACAAAAATAACAAGTACGATCTAAGTTGTTAACGAAAAAAGAGCCAAAAAAGAAGGGGGAAAAACCTCAACGGACTACCCAACTTGAATGAACAAATGAAAATGACACCTGTACCAAAAAAGAAAAAAATCTTCCTACAACTGATATTTTTCTAACGCCGATGTAAACTCATCAGAAATATGATTAGGAAACAAGTTTTGCAAACAACGGACGAGACGTTTATTAATGATACCACTAACACGGTGACACTTCCCTCCCCAGCCCCCGGAAAAATGTTTGTAATATTATTATGCATCGGACAACGCATTGTCATTTTTAATATATGTTTTCCCCTAGAGAATAAGATGTGTACATGTATTTAAATGCAACCATAAAGCTGAATATTTGTATCTCTATATAGTGCAGGCACCTACACGCGTACGTACATGTACATGTAGTTCTATTCTATATCTGTATTGTATTCCCGCTTCGATGATTCCTGCGAAAGGCCACAAGGCCAGGATATAAAGCGTATTGAATATTTCGCAGTGGGATTTCTTCGAAAAGTGTTATCGCACATAATATGTCCTGCTCTACAGACAAAGTTCTGGTAATTTTTTTTTGTTCAACCCAATTTTGTCGGCCAGGTTTTGTGTTCTGTCTTTATGTATATCTGATAATAATCTCAACGAATTCAAAACAATAACTTAGTCCAAACCATTTTTATAACACCGAATTTAGTAAATTCATTAATGAAAACTGGACTAAATTACAAACCACACCTTAACTCGGTTTTTTTTGCACTCCATATGGGGTGGGTCGTCAAAATTAGGATTTTAAATGAAGAGGGGCCCCATTTCCGTGGCAATGCCGCAGTTTAAAAATCGAAATATTACTTCTGGATCACGAAGTATTCATGGAGATGTAGCCTTCAGAGATTCTAGAAACTGAATGGTGTATGCCGTGGATGTGTTTCATCACTTCATGGGAGTCTGGATAAAAGCATTCTATACAATGATCAGTCAGTGAAACGTGTACAACAGTTTGCGCGCGATCGATCGATTTCACAGCCACGAATCCAACAGCCGCAACACAACGAATGTGAATATATTGAAAGAGAAAGTGAATAATTTCAGCTTACCTGTGGGAGAGTAAACCGGTGTACCGGTTCGCCGCTAAATCCCAGATAATAACACAATTTCTTACAGCACCTCGTCGCCATGACTCGTCGTCCGTTGTGTTGGGTGTTCAGTGTACGGGTGACGCATAAGCTCCAGCACGTCCGCTTCAACAGGCGTAGCGGCCTCAACTGAATAATGTGGAGACAATATTGGACTGACCTCGATTATAGAGTGTATATGCATGTATTAGCACGATTTGACCTAGTAACAACAACGAAATGACATGGCCGTGAATTTTATTATAAAAGGTCTCTGTGACTGTGACGTCGGGTTTTACAGTGAACGGTGAATTACACAAAAGGCTTTGGCAGCAACCTACCTCATCCGTATGGATGTGACGTACCATATATCAACAAGGGCGCATCGTTGCTGCAGCAACGAATCTCAAGTTCGTTCCTGCCCCAATGTGGGTCGGAGCACTTGTTGAAAACTTACACCAAAGCACGAACAGCCATGAATCATGTAGGGAAAAATCCACAGAACCAGAAACCACGGTTTATTAACCTTTGGGATATTACATCTAGAACATTATATCATACATCCTACGCCACGGAGGAAGGATCCTACCACTATAGGACGGGGTTCATGGGCAGACGACTTCCTGCCGAACATGGTCCTCAACTAGCCTGAGGCTCATCCTCTTACTACAACATAATGTGGCGCCATAAGGATATTAATGATCTGGAGTCCCCCCCCCCCCAAAAAAAAGAAACCACACAATCATTTCAAGAAATTCATGTGACCGCAAAATGATCGTTTCAACGAAATGAATTTGCGATGTCGAGAAAGAAGTTCGCAATTTATGCGCAAAGAAAAAAAAACCGCGAAATGAAAATAACAAACCTCAAAACTACAATAGCCATGGTGGTGTCCATTATCCAGGACCACCGTGACCCAAAGACATAAACAGAATGATAAAATTGTCTATTTAAAATCGTCTATTCAACTAATGGCCATGCTTCCTATTTCCATCAGATCGTACTGAAGATTGTGTGAAAGAGCGGGCATCCACACCGGAAGATTCAAAGCGCCGCCAATTCTTGTTGGCCAGCTAACTTGACATTCTGTTCCCAGTCCCCAAAATTTTACCCATTAACACTCGCTATTAAGAATTTTCTGCGTGCGCAAAAAATTAAAAATTAAAAAGGAATTTGGACTACTTCTAACACGGATCACTTATTCTACTTTTAATTGGTCGAAAGTTGTGTCATGTAGCCGCGCTTAACCGTACTCTCGTCTTAGGTAAAGATGCACATGCGCAATCTGTAGCAATATAACGAACCGAATCTCGGGTTACTCAAGGTCAAGCCATAATCCGGTTCGTTAGTGTGACGTCAGTTCAGTCTAAACCACGCCCACTGGCCATTAGAACCGGAAGCTAACGCAAAACCGGATAGCAACCGGACCGGGTCAAGAAGTCATGTGGCTTTGCAAAATAATGGATTCGAGCCGTCGAAAGCGAGCCATGGATTGGTGGTCACTGTATGTGCTCTTCCATAATGAACAAGAAATGCCGGGTAGGCCTATGTTCAAAACTATTTTACACTTTTGACACCCCCCCCCCCGCAGCGTTAGACTTAGCCGCCATGTTTTCACATTGTATTGTGGGATACTTGTCGCGCTACGCGCTCTATGATCTTTGGTGTATACCCAAGTAACCGGGGCCAATTTCACGGCGCTGCTAAGCACAAAAATTTGTTAAGCACAAAACAAGTCTGGCTTATAAAAGCAGGTTACCAGCCAAAACTTCATGAGATGTATATTGCTCGTGATTAGTATTAAGCTGTTGTCTGCTATAGCATGAAAATCATGTGGATATTTGGCTCGGGTAAACTGCTTGGTCCACTGGTTACTGTGTTCGACTCGTGTGCCGTGGTGCATGGGTTCGAATCCTGACCGTGGGAACATGGTGCTTGTGCTCTTGAGCAAGGCACTTTACCATTATTGCTTCGTCCTTCGGATGGGACGTGAAGCCGTAGGTCCCGTGTGTTGTGTAATGCACGTTAAAGAACCCAGTAACACTTATCGCTAAGAGAAGGGGTTTGCCCCGGTGTTTCTGGCAGTGGCTGCAATTTGCGCCACAGCACCTTGTAAACCATTATAAGGTGCTACATAATGGGTCCCATATTTCTCATAAACTTTATTTACCTTTCTTTAATAGTAGACATAATTTCCAGCGCCTTGAGTACCTAATTGTTTGGTAGATACGTGCGCTATATAAGACTCCCTTATTATTATTATATAAGCCACTCTTTTTTTGTGCCAAGCAAATTATTTTGCTTAGCAGCAACGTGAAATTGGGCCCAGCTCGGCAGCGCTTCGGTTACTTGGGCCAGGCTCGAGTAAGCGCGAGAAGTCCCGTGAGAGTCAAGTCGAACGCAGTCGCGATTGCACGACTAATACGCGCGAGGGAAGTCTAGTAATCCAACACACTCAATGTAAACCAGTCAGTGGTTTATAGTTTCAGCGGCGTCTTAAGTCAAAGAATTCATGCCAAAATAATATGTTATTTTTGGGGCTGAAACAAAATCCTCAGCTTAGGCCTCCTGGTGACAAAACCGTCACACTGGTACTACTTGGGGGCGCCCTTGTATAGAAGCATAAAGGAAACGGTACGAACTGTTGGCTTTTACGGCATTGGGAACTTGAGGGCGCCCTGCATATGCTGCAGATTTTTTTTCTGCCGGTTTGTCTGACAGTAATTTGGTTGAAAGCCGTTTGAACGGCTCATGAGCACAGTTTAGTGAACAATGGGCCTGTCTGTCTTTAATATCCATTAAATTTTTCTTGACAGCAGTATTTCCCTCTGGTGTTTTACAGATAATCTTGAAATATCTGGAATACTGTTTCAATTAAAAGTAGGCCTATTTATTGAAAAAAAATCTCAAATTATATTCTGCTTTGAAGTTTTGGTGGATCACGGAACAGGACATGATAAAATGTGACCAAAAAATGGCAGTGTTTTAGTCGGGTCCATCAACTTAAATCCTCAAAAGTCTATCACAAGTCATCCAGTTCCAAGTCAAGTCACGAGCCATTCAAATGATCTGTGACAAAAGCATTCTTTGTTATTGTGCATTGCCTGTTACTTGTAAATAGACTTGCAAATTGACAAGTGATTTCAGGCGCGGATCGGGGTGGGGGGTTCCAACCCCCCCCAACCCCCCCCCCCCAAGCTCCGTCAAAGTTGGAGGTTTTTTTCATAGAAATTCTCCAAAAATAATGGGAACCCCCCCCCCCACCCCGCTCTGACACCCCCCCCCCAAAATTATACTGGTATAATGTCCGTCTGTTCAAAATACGGACAGAGGCAGCTTAGATAGGGGGTATTTGTACACCATTCTGTAATCTAGTGTTAATAATCGTCAAATTTGAACAGTGCCCCCTATTGAAATACATGTATGGTACCAGCCCCCCCCCCCCCAAAGTTTTTAATTTTACGGAGGTCAAGTGTCCGGAGAAAAATACCCGTCTACATTAAAAAAAAATTTGCTGATGAAACACCCCCCCCCCTGCAAAAATTCCTGGATCCGCCCCTGGATTTACATGTCACTGCTGGACTTGTGATTAACTGTCTGGACTCAAGTTGACTACGAAACTAACGAGTAAGACACACACCGTTACAAAAACAGTAAATTCAAAGGAAACGGTAATGCCACACAACTTAAAGTCATACTAACAACACTGCATGAAGCAGCAGCACCTTGACACTGTCAACCAAATAACTTTAAACTTGAAAACTTGCAGTGAAATTATACACTCCGTGTTTTTTATTTATTTAAAAAAAAATTTGAGTGATCACCGTCGATAAAGCATGACCAAGAGGGCGCTATCACTGAAGACCGTGCCGATTCGACTATACTGCATTGCGCATTATGCATGCACTGTTGTACAATACAATGTACACGTACGTACACGCGTACATTGTACACAAGCGGATCAGAACCACTGCAAAGACTCGTCGTACTAAAATCTGAACATTTGGAAATGTACTGACCTGTAAACAGCTGATGCAAACCCCGTTGATGCATTGATACTCCATGACTTCTGCCAGTGTTTTACTCAGTCTGTGTGACTCTTCAAAAGCGTAAAGTCAGCGATTTTCTTCAGTAGAATTACCTACTTTGGGCTGACTATACCGCAACAAGTGATGTCAGACATGTTGGAATGCTGGTGCAGTGACCTCGGCCTGTAGTTCATGTAGTTGGTGTTCAGTGTGTGGCGCGCGTACACACATCATAAAAACTTTATGCCTGTGTGAAAAATGCGTGGTTTATTTTGCATTTAACGGTCTAGTCCAAAACACTTACGAGCCATGGAGGTTTACGAAGCGAGGTACGACTACAAGAAAGAGCGGGACGATCTTCTGAGTTTCACGAAAGGCGAGAAATTTTACATCACCGACAAAACCAATGACAAGTGGTGGAAAGCCAAGAAACTAGACGACCATACGTACGGTTATGTGCCGTCAACGTATCTGAAGGTAGGCGTGGTTTAATAGTTAATACACACACAAACACTGAACAGGCACGAGGCAAAGTTGTGGTTTTATAGAAATTGACTGCAGTATCGTGATGATCATGATGCTCCAATTTTGTTAGGAAATGCTTGGAAAATTCTCTTCACTTTCCATAAAGTTTGTAGTCACAACCACTGATAGCCCCATAAATGTGGCCTATTTACTGGACTGCCTCCGTAAACATAGGCCACACATCCACATGTACAAAAACGTGTCGCACTTTGCCAAATTTTGATTTTGACATTTAGGCTTAGTTTGTAGGATTTTTTTGCTTTAGAAGCATACTCACCCTCTTTATTATAGGCTAGTCAGAAAGTGCTGCCTTTTTCAGATGTCTAATTTTTGTGAAATTTCATGTTGAAATTTTGATACGCAAACGTGTAAAAATGAATCTGGAAATTTCACGAAAAATATACATCTGAAAAAGGCAGCACTTTCTGATTAGCCTATAAAGAGGGTGAGTATGCTTCTAAAGCAAAAAAACCCTACAAACTAAGCCTAAATCATATGCGAAAATCAAAATTTGGCAAAGTGCGACAAAGTTTTGGTACATGTGGATGTGTGGCCTATGTTTACGTAGGCAGTCCAGTAAATAGGCCACATTTATGGGGCTAAACCACTGAATGCTGAAGTGGCGTCTGGTACTACTTTTAGTACTAGGCCTACTAGTTTTTACTACATTTTCCCCCCAAATCTTCGTAAATATTCTATTAAAAGCGTAGGAAATGTTTCTCATGTTTGACAGAATTCCATATACGGACGTCATTTAATTTTAAGTCTAATTTTTCACTGCAATGACCTGCAAATTCTTTCTGATATTTGTTTTGATTTATTGTTGTGTACTCTTTCCCAAAATTGGAAATGTTTCTCAGTCCAGCGGTAAAATGTTGTAAAAAATCAAATTTAGCAGGGAAAATACATTGAAGCATTTAGTGAGAAAACAGATTTTTTTTCAGACCAGTATCATACTCGTACTTTCATAAGGTTTGCAAACAGGGTGTCAAGTGGCATACATGTATCCCCTCCCTGAACGAATCAGCACCCATTTTACTGTTTGGTGGCCATGGTGATCAGATATAGTTTTCCAGTTTTTGGTCAGAATGGGATTCGAACCACCAACATTCCATATCCACTCCGTAGCTCCACACTCTAACCGCTCGGCTACGAGGCTGGTAACTAGCCTTTGTTAAACCTGTAGCAGGGGAGGTGGCAGGGAATGTTGATTGTCTGTGACTGTTTAAATAGCAGGAGGGTTAACTGCCGAATCTGCTCACATATCCTAGACCTTCGCTGTGCAAGGGAATATTCCATAGACCACCAGTTGAATATTCTGGGGGGAAAAACCCAAGATATGTTAATTATGAGAGAAACTCAAGTCCACGTGGTGCCTCGATCTGGAAAGAATGTACAAAATTTAGTATCCAGACGCCACTTCTTTGGTTGTGTACAAAGTCTATGGTCTATGGAGAATGAAGTGCATTTTTCAAAGTGTTTACTAGCACAATTGGAAAAGTTTCTCCGTCCCAGATTCATATCTTTTAAAAATATTTGCAAAGATTGACCTTCATGAGATAATGATGGAAAAAGTGGCTTCGGGATCAGTGTTTCCCCTGGCTAATGAACTGAGCGAGGTGGTAACAATTCAAGTTGATGATTGAAATGAAATTTATACAGTCTGCAAACTGAAAAGAATGCAGCCCTCACAAAAATGCGCGATGATTCCAAAAACACATCAAAATTGTGAGTTCTTGATACATGGAGGTAAAGGAAAATGCTCATATATTACACAAAATGAAAATTTTTCAATTGATATTTCCTTTTTTGCCAATCTTCACAGCGAGGTGGTGATATTGGCAAAAATTGAGCGAGGTGGTCACTGAAAGTAGCGAGGTGGGCCACCTCACGTTTGAATGGGCAGGGAAAACACTGGTCGGGATGCAACATTCTTTCCCTCGATCCAATCCAGTGTGCCACATTTTCTTGGATTCGAACCTGGGTGCTGCAAATGGTCTGTTATTGGTGCCTAAATTCTTTCCATTGTGATCAACCAATTTAAGCTGACACATATTTTTTTGTTTTTTTTTCCTTTGCAGCTGTCAGCAGAAAGGGTTATAGGAAGAATCATACCAGAGGGGAGGAGAGATACAGTAAGATTTCCCAATTTTTTTCAATTTCATGGAACCAGTTTTTTTTCTTCCGTTTTCCCACGGTGGAGTGAAACACGCCCTGGACTTGAGCTGTTTATGTTTGGTTGGTGGCATAGAGCTATATTAAATTACTAGAGTGCTAACTCGATGTACAAAGTAATGCCTGATGGGCGCATCCATGTTTGTGCACAAACCTATGGAAAACTCAAAATTTTGTACGGCTTTTGTACGGCTATTTGCATCTGCGTTTGTATTCCGTACTGGTGTGTCATCGAAGCCGATACGCCCAAAACCGAAACGCATGATCAGCAAATGAGCGTTTCATTTTGCTCCACGCAAACAGCGCAGCGTGTGCGCGTCCCTCCGCTGCAGATGCTTTTCGCCGTGACGCTTTTTTAACCGTCATGACACGCTTAAGTTGTTTGCGTATCTTCTACTTCCGCGTTGCATTTAGAGTGCACTTTTAAAATTCAATCTATCTATTTTGATTGTGTTCTACAAACACGCACATAAAATAAAAATGTCTGCGCCCAGAGCGGCTTCAAAGAGTCTCCACGCGCAAGAATGAGGAGTTAGTGCTCTAGTAATTTATTATAGCTCTATGGTTGGTGGACACTTTACTCGGCCATACATGTTGTATTGTATTCATACAACTCAAGTATTACATCTTTGCAAGTATTAGGCCTACAGCTTTGCATTCGAATGGAAAACCATTAACCCAATTTTTTTTTGAATTAATAGCACAATTCAATTTTATATTTGTACATTGCATGGGTGGACATTTGTATTGGCCATTTTAACCTCGAAATCGTGCACTTGGTCCATATAAGATAGCGAATTGTATTTTATCATTGATGGAATGTCCTACTGTAAATAATATTAGCCGTGAACTTTGCTTTATATTGTAGGTGGTGCTGCCATATCGCGATTGCATCTCTCAAAACAAACGTGTCCTGAATATTTTTATGGGGCATTGCCAATTGCAAAACACTTCAGGAGAACAAAACAGTAGCTCACGCTTGGTGGAGATCAGTGACACGTATTTTGTAAGATAAGCCTTTGCTATGACTTCAAGATGGATTAACCCTAACTCCCTAGCATGATTTACTAGGAACCATACCCATCCTGGCAAATTTCAACACCATATGGGAAACTGCACACACATATTTCTGACTTTGATTCTGGAGGTGTGCCAACCCAATGTAAAAGACTGTCAGTTTAGGGGTACTGTACCCATCCAGACAGATGGGTTGAGTTCTGTTACTGTTAGGGTTAACGGTCCATGTTTTTTTGGTCACTTTCCGAATTTCGTTCCTGTGCATGTCCTGAATGCGAAATCTTTTCAGATTTTTTTGTTTGTTGCAATCTTTGGATACGTGTACCACGAACAAGTTTTGAGAATATGAAACAAAAATGGGATGAACCATTTATTGGCATATTGTACTTAGAGCAAAGTGATTCTGTCATTTTAAACACAAGTGAAGTGTTATTTAATTAACTCCTATGGGCTCCGTGCACAAGTACCCCCTCAACGGTAAGAAAGGGAGAGTTGGGGAAGACCACTGGGACAGACATTCGAACCATTGATCTCCATTAGTAAGACTGGATAGGACACGCATACTTGCGCGCAGTGAAGATTTGGAAAACGCGGACACAAACAGCTGGGTAGTACAATGCTGGTTTAACGTTTGCGACCGCGCATGCATGACGTGCGTGTGCTGCTGTGTGTGATGAACGCATTTCAAACTTTTAACCCTTACCGATGACTTTGCGTGCGTGCACCAAATGGAGGGCCCTGTGTCCTTTCCAGTCTTACTAAAGCCCCTGTCACACCTTTGCGTATCCTAATTCCTTATGAGTTCCTTATCAAAAATTTTCAATACGCAGCCGTACGCTCAATTAACGTCGAAATGTTTTGATCACTTTGACTTATGTGCGACGCACATCTAGCGTACAAGTAACGAATTCAGCGCATCCATTGCGTATGAGATGCGTATGAGTTGCGTATGCAGTGCACAACATTATATTTCGGGCTGCGAATAGGTCAGTATGCAGTGCGCATGCCGAGCGTATTCCGGACGCACCCGACTTATGCCGACCGCATGCTTGACGCACTTCTGAGCGTATTCCCGCCGCATTTCCCCCTCTCGCCGTTCAGCGTGCTTTGCATCTGCGCTGCAAGTACGCTATGTATACGTCCAATACAGGCGGCTCATAATGCTGACGGGGTGCATCACGAACAAATAGCGTACTCGTAACGCACTCGACCTATGCGGGACCGATGCGCTGCGTATTTATAACTTATGACCTGCGTAACAGCGTACGCAGCGTAGTTTTGTGCATGCCCAAAACTACGCTGCGTACTGGGCCGTACCATGCGTATATCTGCGTACATAAAACCTACACAAAACGATAGAGATGCATACGAGGTGCGTATTGTGCGTACGACTGCGTATGAAAAAAATGTCAACGCGCAACTCATAAGGAATTAGGATACGCAGAAGTGTGACAGGGCCCTAATGGAGATCAATGATTCAAACACATTGCCGACGACGCTGGACACTCATTGGAAGACGCTGCAGCTTTGTGCGCATTCAGGATAAATAAGTCTTGCGTACTTAGCGCAATACGCGTGCGAACCAGTACACTCATGCGGTGTGTTCCGTCCACGGGGCTCTGTAAAGCGGTAAGAAAGCTCCCTCTCTTGTTCGCGCATGAAGCCATTCCCGATTCCCTTGCCGGTGTTTGTTAGGATCTTCCACCCAGTTCCAGAATCCTTAAGTTTTCAACTTGCTGGAATTGGAAACCAAAGGCGCATTCTTTGTTTTTAAATTCCAAGGGGAATAAAATAATGTACCTTTTTTTTGGCAACCTTCCTCAATAAAGCAAAATCGTCCAAAATCACGGGTGGATCTGTAATGATTTGGATAGGTTAGGGGTAAATTGAAGCTACTAGTATGGGCTCCGTGCACAAGTAACCCCCTCAACGTTATGGCAGGGAGAGTTGGTGAAGACCACGCGGAGTAACATTCACGCACTGCGGACAATGCCTGACATGCCTGACGCTCACGCGCAGACGCGAAGGCTTTGTGCACATTCAGAATAAGACTAGTCGTGCACACTTTGCGCCTCATGCGCACGAACCAGTACGTGCACGCGGTGTGTCCTGTCCGAAGAAAAGACTCTCAAAAGTGGTAAAAAAGCGCCCTCTCTGTTCGTGCACGGAGCCCATACAAATACGTGATTGTACTGTAAAGTGTTATATTTAGAGCCAGAGTCCATCATTTGCAGCTATCCAAAAAGTAACTGGCGTAATTATTGTTGAAAAACATACTTGGTTGAAAGATAGTAAGGGGACTAAACTCCCTGCGAAATTATTCTTTCTAACAAGCTGTCATTTTGCAGAAATCAACGAAAGAAGGCCTTTCCAACGGTGCGTCTTAAGAAGCACCGTTGGAAATTTCCGTTCGTAGTTCGTTTTTTTCATTCGGCGAAGCGTGCGCAAGCGTTGACACGACGTACACGCACGCGTGGTTGCTATAATTCGACGGATCGGTGCGCCACATCGCGTAGCTGCAATCGGCTCAGTAAGAACGTGTCTCGGACGCTGAATTCAAGCCCAATTCAAAACATGATTCAGCAACTTTTGATTTGAAATCGAGATCCTAGAATGTTGTTTTCTCAAAATATACAGATGAAGCTGAGCAGAAACTTCATCAGGTTAGTTGTTCAGCACCCGTCTTTAGATTTTGAGCACTTTTGTTGCTTCAAACGAACAAAATGCACAAATTACAGATGATGGACTATACCTTTAAGTTTATATGCATTGCACAAGAATGTGAAAGAATATACTCTTTATGCCAGAAGCATTTTTCACATGATATCGTCTGCAACTCATGTTGCTTTGAGATATGTTGGGTCTCCACCCTTGTCAGGGTGCCGGATCCGGGTCAGCTGTCATCTCAACTATTAGATCTCACACGGATTGTAAACAAAGCCTGTGAAGTCTCAAACCGATTGGCAAAACATCAGATCATACGTGTATGAAACAAGGAAATGTTCTTCTACAAATGAGGAAAAAAATATAGTTTGGACTGGAGGAAACTATACACATTGCAAAGGGCTACCGGTACATTCGCAAACAAGATACATACGTGTTGAAAGGAAAATCTTTTAAACTCTTCCTCATTTTGTGAATAACATAAGTACCGTACCAGTACATGTATATCTTTTTTAAAGGGAAAATACAACATTTGCAAACATCAAAAAATAAAACTACCAAATCATTTTTAAATACCTTGCTGGACTGTAAAATCATGGCACCTGGTATACTGTCATTTTCAAGAAAAGTGGTATTTTTGTATCAATTTCCAACGCTGGTCAGCCGACCAGCGTTGGAAAAAACTGGCTTTTTTTCAAATACTGGCCCCAATTGACCATCGCACTTGTTTGCAATCGATTACACACCTATGAACGGGTACAAGCCAGCTAGACTGGTTCCCTGACCTTACAATTCCCCAATGTATGTAAACTGCTCTGTTTCTTCTTATATGGAGTCAGGGAACCAGACTACAGGAAAATGATTGTTTTTCTTGGTTTTTATAGCATTTTCGAACCCAAAACCGCAAAAAAGTCAGTGTAACTATATTTGCTATATATTTCCAACCCCCCAATTTCATCCATTTCTGAAAATTACAGCAAAAGCAAATGATGTAAATTCCCTTTAAACTACAAAATTATACTTCCCGATACATGTGGAGCCCAAGTGAAAACCAACTAAATTGTACCTGTCATTCATCACATTTGTTAATAAACGTTTCATTATCCAACCAGATTAAGGCAGTCTTTTATTCTAGGAACCATCCATTTTTTATGTTTAAAGTTTGAACATTTGGCCCTGTGCAATCCTACAGTGCTAGACACTAGTGCTATGAATCCTTCAAACATCATTCAAGTTATTCATTCCTTCTGATTTGAATATCACAGGCGTGTGGAAAAAGGCACACCTGGATTTCTCTAGGTGTGTGATTTTTTTCTAAGCGTGTGATTTTTCTAAGCGTGTGATTTTTCTAGTTGTGTGATTCTGTGGTCCAAGCTGGGACCATGGGACTGAACAATCTGGTGTTTTTTTTTTATAATATTCATCTTGGTTAACAGTAAAGCCATTTTCTCTTCACCGACATACTTTTTTCCACAACTTATGAAGTATAAAAAATGCTGTAAATCTATGCTGAGGTGTGCAGCCCAGAGGGATTCAGGCGTGTGATTATTCCCACTTCTCAGGAAGCTTTTAGGCGTGCTATGGCGTAGGGGTGTGATCACACGCCTCAAATCATCAGGACTGGTTATTGCACCACATTTTGCACGTTTCGTGTTCATTTTGTTAAATTTTTAAATAAATTTCCCCCCAAATTGTTCCTCTCCAGTGTTGAAACAAAACGTTGACATATTGTGTCCACCCACATGTTTATTGTCACGAAAGGAATTCAGGTACAATTTGTTTTTTGGAAAAATCCTTTCATCCGAAACAGGTGACCTTTCATGAAAAAGGGTTACGAAGTTTCCCTTCAGGAGCTGTGTATTGTTATACCGTGTTCCCATTCCCTGCAAGTTTATTGCAATTTGAAGCGGAAACATTGTTTTCAACTGAGAAATCAAGCATTTCGATTCTGTGCTATGAGTTCAGTGAACTGAAAATGAATTTGAAGGGTTATCAGTACATGTACACATGAAGGGATGCAGTACTGAAATGTAGCAGTTTTGTGTGTTGCAGGATTGTTATGCAAGTTTATAATTAATTTAATTATTGAAATAATTTATTTCCGTCCTAAACTTGCCCCCAAAAAATTGCTCAGATGACGCGTAGACTCCTTAAAGCTAGAGTAATGTATTGTACATCGTTTGCAGCTATCCAAAACTTAACTGACGAAATTATTGTTGAAAAAGTTTACTTGGTTTAAAGATACCGGTAGTAATGGCAATGAAGTCCCTGTGGAATTATTCGTTCGGGCTTGCTGTCATTTTGAAGAAAACAATACAAGAAAGCCAATTCCAATTTTCCAAACATTCGTCAAGTGACGCATGTTTGGACATTTCCGTTAGTAATAGTAGTTTGTTTGTAATTCGGCAAATCCGTGAATGGGTACGCGAAGGTGTTGACATGACGCACATGTGCGCGTGGTTGCTATTATTCGTCGGTTGCTATTATTCGCCTAGCTGCAATCGGCTGAATGAAAACATGTCCCGTATGCTGATTTCGGGCGCAATTCAAAACGTGACTTGGCAACTTTTGATTTGAAATCAAGATCCTAAAATATTGTTTTCTCAGAACAAACAGCATTCACAGAGCTAAAACTAAAACCAGGTTTGTTGTTAAGCACCCACCTTTAGATTTTTTAAGCACTTTTGTTGCTTCAAACAAAATAACTGCGCCTGGCTAGTCTTATTATTGAAAAGAAAAAAAATGTATGAAAGTTAAAAGTCCTGTGGACTTGACCTGACTGTGTTGATCTTGGCTGGGGCACATCCTTTGACAAAAATACTTTGAAAAAGACAAAGTACATAACTCCTTGATCCAGAACTAATATCCTTAATTGCAGTCTTGTGATTTCCTGCCAGCACTCCCAATGTTTGGTTTTGATCTTTGAAAAAATATTTCATTTAACGATAACATAAAAAAGAAACTAGAGATTAGTGTTTGTTGAGTTACAAATGCAGAGTGGTTGCGCTGGCATCTATTTCATATGTCATAAACTTTGCCACAATAATCAACTGAAAATCGTTTTCAACATTTTTCAACCTGCCGTTAGAGGGCGCTCTTAACATTTTATGACGTAAGTGGTAATTGTTTAGAAAGAAAGAGAGAACCGAACAAAGAAGATTTATCAGAACAATTCTAAACAGTGGTCGGGTTGTGCCCGACCACTCAAAAAGGTGAATTAAGACTTATCGTTTTGTTTTCATATTTTAATCATAATAACCCATTGTGAAATATTGCAGCATTTTCCTGTATAGTTTTACATGTATCATTTTTACATCTGTAGGCCCTATACATACGCTAATTTTATTGTCATTAGATGACTGTTTTATGTGTTTGCTACTTAAATTCCCAGCTCATGAGAAAGTGGTCAATTTCCCTTTAATCATGTTAATACAGTGTACCGGTATCTGATAAAACTCGGCATTCATTGTTGCAGAGTAAATGTTATGCTGAAACTGTTAAGTCAATAAAGCAATGTCATTTAACAATGGGTGAACTGTGATATTGTGTGCAATGTACACATATTCACAATCACTGAGTGAACATGTTTACATTTACAATTACCTACATTGTACATGTACATTCAGTGACGTCTACATGTACCGTACATGTGCGCGTGAATGTGTACATGTACAGTGATTGTACATGTGTGTAGATTACATTTTACATGTATGTGCACACATGTACATGTGCATGCATGTACATGTACATGTGCATATATGCAAGTGCCAAATTGCCAATTGCATAAAAATTTTACGTTCCAGCTGTCCAGTAACAATTGATATATAATTTTGTTAGGGACCATTTATTTGAACGACCTTGCCAAAAAAACACGCTGGTGGTTTTTTTGTCCTCATAAAAGCAAGTCCAACTGTATTTCCCTGGTTATATTCAGAACTGAAAGTGGCTGTTTTTTTATGGCTGGCAACAGGTGAAAGATCAAAAGCTTTAGGCAGTCAATAATAATATATTGCCCACAGGCATGCATATAATTTCCATACATAAAGTTGGTAAATCACCTCAATTTTAGGGAGAGGATGGAGTTGCCCTGTAGAAAGAATGTTTGTACTTAAAGATATAGTCCATCATTTGTAATTTGTGCATTTTGTTCGTTTGAAGCAACAAAAGTGTTCAAAATCTAATGAAGGATACTGAACAACTAACCTGATGAAGTTTCAGCTCAGCTTCAGCTATATATATTCCGAGAAAAACAGCATTCTAGGATCTCAATTTCAAATCAAAAGTTGCTGAATCATGTTTTGAATTGGGCCTGAATTCAGCATCTGAGACGCGTTCTCACTGAGCCGATTGCAGCTACACGCCATGTCGCCCACTGATCCGACGAATTATAGCAACCGCGCGGGCGTGTGCGTCGTGCCAATGCTTGCGCGCGCTTCGCCGAATAACAAAACGAACTACATGTACTAATTTAAATTTTCCTACGGTGCGTCTTAAGACGCACCGTTGGAAAGGCCTTCTTTCGTTGATTACTTCAAAATGACAGCTTGCCAGAAAGAATAATTTCACAGGGAGTTTAGTCCCCTTACTACATGTATCTTTCAACCAAGTATTTTTTTCAACAATAATTATGCTGGCCAGTTACTTTTCGGATGGCTGCAAATGATGGACTATAGCTTTAAATTGTCAATATTCCCGAGTACATTTTAGTCTATGCTAAATTTATTGAGTATGCTTAGAGTCGAGTGTGATATATTTTTTATATATAGTCAGGTGTGATATATTTTTTATATAGAGCCAGGCGTGATATATTTTGTATAGAGTTGGGTATTATAAATTTTGTATGAGAAAGGAAGTTAGAGATTTTCTTTTACTGAAGGTTACATTGTTACGACATTGAAATATTTCCATGTGTCATTTTCCCATGGTTAGGATATTTTCATATTCTGCCAAAGTTTCCAAATCTAACATGCACGTTATCTTTTCTCTGTCATGTTTTAGGAAGAGCACAAGATCCATTTACGGGCGTTAGCCGAGATCCACAAAAAGGTCAAACCGTTACCAGGTAAAAGCCCTGTTCCCATTTTGACTTTTTTTTTGGGTTAAGTTCCGCGACTTTCCTGTAGAATGACAAAGTTAAGTCCAATGGGGACAGACGGTAAACTAACGTCCCTGTCAACTTACCGCGGTGAATATAATGTAAAACTACCAGGCCAAAAGTGGTTGTAGAAGATTTCCTCCCAGGCATGGTAAGTTAATGTACTAGGGACGCGGGAAAAGTCCGATGGGAACAGCCCCCAAGACGAACAGTGAGGCCAAAAGTTTCAACAAATGCCTGGTGTTAGCATTTATTACCTGCACAAATTCTGAAATAAGATAACATCTACCGGACCCGAATCCTGCTAAATCCAACAAATATCCAGAAGTTTGTGGTAATTTTGATCTGTGTAGTCAAAAGATTGATGGTTCAAACTGTTGGATTCTATAAGAATCAGCACTCTTCAGTCTTGTTCTGTTGGTTTCTGTTGGATTTAGCAGGGCAGCGTTATGACAAATTCAAATAAAAAAAAACACAACACAGCAGACATACCATAAAGTTAGCTTTGTGTTCTAGAATTTGAAATTAATATATTTTTGGGGGGCAGGGAGGGGGGGGGGTGTTAGAGTCCTAGAAACATCTTTGTTTTTTTATTGGTTCAATATTTCTAAGAGATCACAAGGTCAAAGGATAATGAAACTCTAGTTTTGGAATTAAAGCGAGTTCAGCTTTTCTTTAATTTGGAATGAAATGCTATTGGTTCTTTGACAGTATTTGCGCAGTATTTTCTACCATGCCTTGACGTTTATTTAAGTATCGTGGTCTCATAGGAATCATGATGATTAGTTATCAAATGGTTGCTAAGGCAGATTTTTTTTTTTAACAAAGAAGCAGACACATTAGGGATTTAATTAGTCTCAATAATCACTTTGAAATAATGACGTCAACAGCAGAATTAATGAACACACAAGCCACACAGTTTATCGGTGTATGGCTTTTTGTAATTACTGCACCTCAAGCTGGCTGTGTGAGTTGTACTTGTAGTTTGACTAAAAGCCACGCAATCTTGCAATTTGCTGGAGATTAACGTGTGATCGGAAGTTTCCGTGGCATCACATGATGCTAATTTGTTCATTGCCACGGTAACAATTTTTTGTATGGTCGTAACTTGCTGAAACCTAAAATGAGACAAATGCCATCCAGCTTTTAAAAAAAATCAGAATTTTTTTTTTAGTTATTAAAGTACCATTGTTCATGTTGTTCAATCAGATGTTTTACATTTTGTGTTTGAATGATAAGGCCAAAAAAAAAAAGTCTCCGGTTTCTGGTATGGAGCTTGTCCAAACAGTGGTGCGGCGACGCGGCTTTTTTTTTTTATTTTCCTCATTTGTTTGCTTCAAATGTCGGCTGATGACTGCAAATGGTGCCTGACTAAACTTAGTGCAAAGATATGGGAGTCCAAAGAGGCCACATAAAGCTTATTCTCGATCATAACCCCATCTAAAAACACGTTAAAATTGTGCAGCAGCAGGATTCCAGTCAAACCAGTGAGTTTGGCGGTTTTGAGACATCAACTTTCATTGGAAAAAAAAGTTTTTCATTTTGCCAACGCGCATGGCTACGGCGACGCGCGCGCATACCAGAAACCGGAGACTTTTTTGGGGGGGCCTAATAGGTGGTTTTTTTTGGGGGGGGTAACAATGTATTTGTGTTGCTGCTGCCTCGGGTGATAAGTATCGATACTTGTTTGATGTAGCCTTTCTGTTGTCATTTTAAATCCTAACTTATTTCTTTTTGATATCAGCGAGAGCTCGTTCAGCAAGCTGCCCAGGTATAGTCAGATTTGTGATAACAGTGTGCAAGATAAATGCTCCTCATGTTTTCTTGAAAGCAAACTTGAATTCTCAAACTTGATTTCTCAAACTTGAATTCTCAAACTTGCATTCTCAAACTGACATTCTCAACCCTGAATTCTCAAACTTGCATTCTCAAACTTGAATTCTCAGACTTGAATTCTCAAACTTGAATTCTCAAACTTGAATTCTCAAACTTGCATTCTCAGACTTGAATTCTCAAACTTTCATTCTCAGACGTGAATTCTCAAACTTAAAGGGAAGATACAACATTTGCAAACATCAAACAAACTAAATGATCAAATTATCACAAAATACCCTACTGGATTGTTAGGAATGACAATCTAAAGCATCCTGTAAAATTGTGGCTCCTGGTGTGCTGACATTTTCAAGAAAAATGGTATTTTTCCAACGCTGGTCGGCCGACCAGCATTGGAGGAAACTGGCTTTTTTCAAAAACTGCTTGCAAACTCTTTGCTGCAAAAACTGCAAAAAACTCTTTGCAATTGACTACATATCTGTGAAGGGGTACAAGCCTGCTAGACTGATTCTCTGATCTTACAATTCCCCAAAGTCTATAAATTCTCCGTTTCATCTTAAGTGTGGTCAGGGAACCAGACTACCAGAACATTAATGGTTTTCTTGGTTTTTCCAGCATCTACAGGCCCAAAAACGTGAAACAAGTTATTTTAGCAATTTTGCTATAACATACTAATCCTCCAAATTCATTTATTCCTGAAAATTGGAGCAAAAGCAAATGTTGTACAATCCCTTTAATTTCTCAGACTTGAATTCTCAGACTTGAATTCTCAGACTTGAATTCTCAAACTTGCATTCTCAGACTTGAATTCTCAGACTTGAATTCTCAAGCTTGAATTCTCAAACTTTAATTCAAGTTTGCTTACAATACATTAGTTACCCAGCATGTGCTCGTGGAACACGTTTGAAATGCCATGGATGGGCTTCGTTGCATACAGGTGCTCTACAGGTGTTTCACGAACGCTCGTTGGATAACTAATTCTGTATTCATCATATTTCTTTTTCTGTGTGTCGTGTGCGTGTGCAACCATTTGTAGAAATCACATTTTTTTTCATGCCAGAGTTTTGTAGTGCACAGTCGTAGGACACGGCATCTGACATCGTCCATTGTGTGAAGCACTTCCTGTTGATGCACATCATCTAGACAACTATGGGTCGTTGGGCCTTTTCAAATGATTTGGAAAGGCCGAGTGATTTCACTTTTGATTTCAACAGTGTATGCATGATACAGCACTCATGGGAACTCTTGTAGGATTGGGCTGAAGCTGTTTTGCTTGATGACACTGTTCAAAATGTTTAGCAATATATAATGCACTAGAGCTTTTTAGGCCCCCCCAAAAAAGTCTCCGGTTTCTGGTATGGAGCTTGCCCAAAAAGTGGTGCGGCTTTTTTTTTTTTTTACCTGATTTTTTTTGCCTCAAATGTCGGCTGATGATTGCAAATGGTGCCCGACTAAACTTTGCAAATATATGGGAGTCCAGAGAGGCCACATAAAACTTATTCTCGATCATAACCCAATCCAAAAACACGTTAAAATTGTGCAGCAGCAGGATTCCAGTCAAACCAGTGAGTTTGGTGGTTTTGAGACATCATCTTTCATTGCAAAAAAACCTTTTTCATTTTGCCGACGCGCATGGCTACGGCGACGCGCGCGCATACCAGAAACCGGAGACTTTTTTTTTTGGCCTTAGAAGGCTCAAAAACAGACACAGGAACCACACTTATCTTAGGTTTTGCAAGTGCCGGTCATTTTTTTTCACCATCTTTACACAGGCTGGATTGTACAATTCTTTGTAATCTTCAAGTTATAATGCATGCCCGGTAAAGTCGATCTGTTCCATTTCCCATGTACATGTAACGGTCGGTACATGTACATGTAGGCCTATACTATTCACACCATAAATAGAAAAGAAATATACACACACAAAGCCCAGGAAAACCTGAGCCCCTGTCCTTTGTGTGTTTGGCCTTGACTAAACAAAAGATGAGGAAAAACCTGAAAGCCCCTATGGCAATTTATTGATATAAATTGTACAATGTGAAGTGTTTGATGCGACATACGGTACATGTACACACTTTTTATGTGCAAAGAAATGTACAAGTTGCCCCCTGCAAGTGTCATCTTTTCTACTATCTAAAACCTTTTCATGTTGACCTTTATTTTTTACTCTGCCTTTACAATTTACATATAACATGTAATGTTCTTTACTGAAACTTGGTAGGGCCTATTATGTTCATGTAAGGGGTGCCACAAGTACATGTTTGTATCTTGGTGAAATGCCAATAATGCAACAAGTTTTGTTTCTGTATTAGCTGCAGTCACATCAAATATTTTACTGCAATTTTTTGCATCTTAATTAAGTCAAGATTGGAAGTATTGTGACATTTGTGGGCATGGTTGTTTTGCTATTTATAAAGCAACAGGTGTGTCATTCTTAATTAAGCTAATCAGTTGATAGTGCTGATAGCCTTATTATGAGATAATAGGATTAGGAGATTAGCTGTGCTAATATTTTGCAAATTTACAAGTATTCTTATTAGTGAATTGTGATCATGGAGGAATAGTCTTGCCCACATTATTGTGACTTCTTGAGATTGCATTCATTGACAGTTTGACTCTAAGTTTAATGGGGCCAGTTGTAAACAGTATTTTGAAGGATCAAATTTTCCAAACAAAGCATAGTCAGTTGTACTCATGTACTTTGCGATTCAAGTCCAGCTAGAGATACCTCGAACACCAATATTGGTGGATATGTGCGCTTTATAAATTTATACACATTATTATTCAAGTCATTAGATGTCATTGCAAGTCAATCACAAGTGATTGCAAGTCAATCACAAGACATTGCAAGTCTTAAGTCATTGCTAGTCAATCATTAGACATTGCAAGTCAATCACAAGTCATTGCAAGTCTATCACAAGTCATTGCAAGTCTATCGCAAGTCATTGCAAGTCGATCACAAGTCAAATGTTGCAAGTCGATCACAAGCCATTGCAAGCAAATCACAAGTCATTGCAAGTCTATCACAAGCCATTGCAAGTCTATCACAAGTCATTGCAAGTCTATCACAAGTCATTGCAAGCCAAGCACAAGTCATTGCAAGTCTATCACAAGCCACTGCAAGTCAATCACAAGCCATTGCAAGTCAATCACAAGTCCGTCTATCACAAGGCCGTCACAGGTCATCACAAGTCATCAAAGACCAGCCATTAAGTCATCCTGTTTTTGAGTGACAAGCTATTCAAGTGAACTAAGTCCCTTGTTGACCTGTGACTTGACTTGTGATTGGACTTTTGATGGAACTGTGAGCTTGTTTGGAAGAAAGGTTTTAAGTTGTAATAAGGGAATAAATGTGTGCTCGAGAGGTTTTAATCACTCTGTTTAAGACCGCTGAGAGTCTGGGTGCTGATAATTACCCGAGCCGGAGGCGAGGGTAATTATCAGCACCCAGACTCTAAGCGGTCTTAAACAGAGTGATTAATACCGACCGAGCACATATTTATTCCCATTCATAAATACCTTTTCGGTCAAAAAAATATAATATTTCGGTCAAAAAATCCCGATTTTGTTCAACAAGTTCACTTCATGCTTTTTTAAACATCCCTCTAGCTACATAGTGGAGTGTTCAGCTGGCGATTAAGATGTAAACAACCCTTTTATGGAGATTGACGCGCGCGTGGCACGTTCTGTGCGATGTCGCGCAGAACGCACCTGGGGCGTTGCGTTTTGAATTTAGAACTATAAAATTCTGACTCACTGGTAGTGTTGCGCATGCCTACGTGAGCACTGTGAACGTTCAACCAATAAAACGGTAAGAGGCACTGGATTTTTAGGAGTCCACATTTTATGTGACACTGAAAAAGTGTTTAAGACCAGCTAGCCATGTCTTTATCATCCGCTTAAGACCGACCACGTGACGGGCTCTCGACCAATAGGAATGGCTAAACTGTCTGAGGTATTTATGAATGCACATTGTACATTGTACCCTACATAAACATGTGCAATGAACATAGTGTACATTTCAAACAAAGTTATTGCACTTCTCACTAGAATCAGCTCCATCTTCATGGGCAATTTCGGGGATTTTTCCCCACTGGCACTCATTAAACTTTGGGACCATCACTCACTGGCGTGGGCCTGTTTGGCATGTTTTGATTTGATAACAGATAATAGGAGTACACGTGTACCGGTGCTATACATTTTCGTGTTCTTGTTTGAACTAATGACGTCTCTAACAGTTTGGTCACAACAACTTGTATCATTGGAAGATGTTAATATTTCCTGGTTGGAACTGAACTCATTCAACTTATCCAAACTCAGCCCCACTTTAATTTCTAACCTATCCCATTCCAAGACGGAAGTGTTACGTGACTAAGGCAAAAAAAAAAATAAGTCGGTCTCTGGTCAGCGCGCGCGTCGATTTTAATCATGCGCGTCGATCTTTTTTTTTCAAAAATGTTCCGCGGTAGCTCCAACAGCGCCCTCTATTTCCGCACCTCCTCAATTTTTTTTACCAAAGAGCACCAAGGAATGGGAAATTGCACCAAGGCAAATGATCGAAAGGCAAATTATGGAGGACACCAATGTACATGAGGACACCAAAAAAGCAAAATAGTACCCACCTTGCCTGTACAATCCGAGCTTGAAGAAAAAAGCAAAAAAAGCAACAAAAAAAAGAAAAAGCCGCGTGGCCGCGTCAATTCCGGAACTTTGGTCTGACCAGAGACCGAATATTTTTTTTTGTGGCCTAACGGTGGTACAGCATATCGACTGAACAACTTTTTTGAATATTTTGTATGTTGGGCAGCTCTGAGAAATAAATTTTAAAAAAGAGACATTCAAATTCAAACAAAATAAAAGAGGCAGTCACTGTTTCGTTCGACTCATGTTTTGTCTCCAATGTGAAAAAAAGGGTCTAAATTGAAAAAAAGTGATATCTGATTTTGTTTCAAATTTTAGCTCTCTGAGAACGATACATGTGTCATAAATATGGTCATTTTTCTTACGTCAACTTTACTTTAGGAAGCAGGGCGTTAATTTGAAATTTTTTGTGAGGATAATCTGCCTGTATCAACATGTCAGTGACTCTAAAGGATTTATCAATAAACATTTACGACTTATCTATTTTTAGCCATTTCCTATAAATGTCATCAAGTCAAGAAAAATCGGTGCCCAGTATGCTGGTACCAATTATATTCTGATAAACTGCATGGCATGCACTATAAAAACAAGGAACTAGACAAGCATGCAATACTGCCTTGAACAATAACTTGTATACTTGACGATGATGTTTCTGTTACGTTTTATTTTTTAACAGCTAATTGTTCATTGTTTGATTGCACTTTCGCATACCAACTGATTCATCACTTGATCACCTGACATATCAGCTGACCACTCACCTGGGCCCAATTTCATGGTGCTACTTGCATGTAGCACACAAGTTGCCGATTATAGAGCCTTCTTTACAATTCAGAGAGACCATGAACCGAGGGTGCACCAACTTCACAGACAGATGCTATTTCACTTTTTTTAATTTTTTGTTAAAAAAAGTGATAAAACTGCATGTACAGAGTGGGCCAAAAAAGTACAACAATCAGAAAACAAATTATTGAAACTGTTCAGTGTTTATTTTATTCAATCTCTCAATACACTCCTTTTTACCCTATTCTATTTGCGTCCCTAGATCCAGAAATACAATCAATTAGCGTAAATTTTACTTTGGCCACTCTCTGTGATGTCACCAACTTCAATGCGTATTCAATGCCTAATTGCGATGCGATCAAGCTACATGAATCGTTTGTCGACTCCGGTCAAATTTTTTTTTAATACAGCTTAGTTAAAAAATGATGGAAGGCAGAACACCAAGAGATGTGATGAAGTGATGTGATGAAGTGGCCTATTTTGGTCTGTATCTCCAAATGAAAATTCCGACAAACAACTCTGTACGGTAGCTTGATCGCATCACAATTGATGCTTATAACCCAGATCCAGCATGTCCAGGTGAGAGTGGCCCTAGACAAATTTACACCCTTTCACTTAACTGATTGTATTTCTGGATCTAGGGACCCAAATGGAATGGATTAAAAAGGAGTGGATTGATAAATAGTCAGTTTCATTGAAGAAAAAACATGAAACAGTTTAAATTATTTGTTTTCTGAATGTGACACTTCTTTTGGCATACTCTGTATGTTTCCAAGCATTGTGATCTGTACTGTGAAATGCATATAGCGCAAGTTTCCTGCAGTCGTTTATTTAAGTAGCACCATTGAATTTGGGCCCCGCCCATCTTTACAACACCCCATCCCATTGGACCGTTCATCTCTCACAGCGCATGTGATTGGCCAAGCCATTGGGGTGGAGCTAATTGACTCGAGCGACGAGGAGGATCAGCCAGGGAAGAGGTTTCCTCCTAAGAAGATTCAGAGTAAGTTTAGAGGAGAGAAAAAAAAGGAACCGTGGACTCATGCGTGGGGTGTGTCATCCAGCTTGCATGCTTGCTAGTATAACACTGCTTGCTTGTTAACACTTTAACTCAAGCCTTCCCATGCCCTTCAAAATCCACCAAGATCCAATTTCTTAGAGCTGCAGCCGTGTCCGAAGTGCTTGGCTGCGGCTTAAAATTACACACGAGGCTATGGTAAGTGGCTGCAGCCACTACTATACGTGTGTAATTTTTAGCAGAAAATGTGGCTAAGCAAAATTACTTGCTAAGTATAGAAATTAATGAGGACCAGTCACAAGTAGTGTATGTTGTATGACATTTTGGCTGGTAACCGGTTTATGCTTGGCAGTTGTTTTTTTCATGCTCAGCACATTTCTGTGCAGGGCTTGAATATACCCCTTGAAAGCAGAAGTGAAATGGATGTGGCTGTTGTTTCTGCAGCAGTGGTGGATATTGGAGGGTTTGGGAAGGCTGACTTATATGCTCATTTTGTGGTGACAGGTCACAAATTAGGAAAAAAAAAAAGCAAAATTGATGTGAAAGTGTGCAGTTTCTCATGTTTTTACATTCGTTAAGGCTACATGTAGTTCTCAATTACAGTGGTTTGAAGTTGACACTTTTAGGTAGCCTTGGTTTCGCTGCCAGAAAGAATTAAAATACTGTTGACGTGTTTTTGCAGTGTGAATAATGTAATTAACTGTACAAGGTTGGAATTTACATGTGCTGGTACCGTTACAATTCTGAAAACATGAATCACAAAGCTTTGATCCGAAATACTTCCACCAAAAAGTAACAAGTGGAATTGAAATTGCCACATCATCAGCTGCCTGTATTTTTTAGGGGTTTTTTTGCTGGATAATTTCTGTTCAAAAGCAATTGCATTGCAAAATTAAGCAACTTGCAATTCCCCTCCAAACAAATTGTATTGTTTTATTCTGCTTCTTGAACCATTAATTTTAAGTGCCTAATCATAGTATATGAACCAAATACTTTTTTATCTATGTCCGTTTGATCAAAAGTGAAACAAAATAACCTGAACTTGACAGTTGAAAATTCTGCAGCAGAATCGTCAGGAATGGAAGACAATGTTGCAGTCTGTTTAAAGGGAAGAAACAACATTTGCAAACATCACAAAACGAAATGATCAAATTATCACAAAATACCTTACTGGATTGTTAGGGAATGACAGTCCAAAGCATCCTGTAAAATCGTGGCTCCTGGTGTGCTGACATTTTCAAGAAAAATGGTATTTTTCCAATGCATGTTCGGCCAACCAGCGTTGGAGAAAACTTTTTTTTTTTCCAAAAAGTGCTCCTAATTTTTCCTTATTAGTTATTCCGCATTTTCTTTGCAATTGATTACATACCGGTACCAGTGAAGGGGTATAAGCCTGCTAGACTGATTCTCTGACCTTACAATTCCCCAAAGTCTATAAATTGCTCCGTTTCATCTTGAGTGGGGTCCGGGAACCAGACTACAAGAACATGAATGGTTTTCTTGGTTTTTCCAGCATCTACAAGCCCAAAACATGAAACAAGCCAGTGTAACGATATTTTCTATAACATAGTAATCCTCCGAATCCATTTATTTCTGAAAATTGAGGAGAAAGCAAATGTTGTACATGTACATTCCCTTTAAAAACAGTTGAATTGTTATTTTATTGTGAACTTACCGTACATGGCTGAATCTACTTGTGCTTTTGGATGTTGTTGGCACAGAGAGAAAATTGGTCTCAAATGACAGCAAACCTCTGCAACTAGCACAGAAAAAACAAACCATTTTACATGTATCGGTACCGGTACATGTACATATGTAGAACGTCATACTCTTCAGTTTACTAATTCCTAGAAAGCGTTTACAATGCAAATTTAAACAAGCATATCTCTGTTTGTTCAGATAAAATGGTAAATTGTCGGAAATATGTCGGACAGTAATTGGATCCTCTGGTCAAGCCTACATGCAGATTTAAAATATCACATCAGGATATCATAATAATAATAATATCTAATTCTTGTATAGCGCCAAATCCGTCAAAATTGACGCTCAAGGCGCTTCACAGAAATAAAAATGAACCAGTTAAAATTTAAGAACAAACTAAAACTTATACAAAATAAAACCTTTAAAAAACTACATGTAGGTGAACAATTGAAATACATGTAAGTTGTCTGAGCAGAACTGGATGTTATTGTTTTGGCAAGTAAAATTCAGTAGTTCAGTTTTTAACAGAGAGTTAAGCTTAATCTTGTGCAAAGAATGAAAGAAAATCAGAAACTACACAGTCGTGTACACATACATCAATTTTAACAGGTGTTTTTAAAAGGCATGACTGGTACTTGCCCAGAAACATACATGTATACATACATGTACGTACCAATTTAATGAGAAAGACCTTGCTCAAAGTGAAGATACATATGTATGCCTAAAATGGTATTGATCACGAATACAATTATAGGCAAGTTTAAAGGGAATATACAACATTTGCAAACATTGAAAAATAAAACTACCAAGTTTTTACGAAATCCCTTACTAGGATGTTGGTCAATGACAGTCTAAAGCAACCTGTCAAATTAAGGCACCTGGTGTGAAGTCATTTTCAAGAAAATTGTAATTTTGTATACATTTCCAACGGTGGTCGGCCGACCACCGTTGGAAAAACCTAACTATTTTTCAACTACTGCTCCTAATTTACAATTTGTTTCAGTCCAAATGTTGTTTGCTATTGGTTACATGTTCATGAACGGGTGCAGGCCAGCTAGACTGGTTCCCTTACCTTACAATTTTCCGACATCTATAAATTGATCCATTTTATCTTTAGTGGAGTCAGGGAACCAGACTACTTAAACATTTTTGTTTTTCTTGGTTTTTCCAGCATTTTCGAACACAAAATTTCAAACATGTCAGTGAAACAATATGTATACTAACCCCTCAAATAGTTCATTTCTGAAAATTACAGCAAAAGCCAATGATGTACATGTACATTCCCTTTAAATTGAATGCTCATACCCCATAGCAAGCTTGGTTCACCAGAGGGAATATTAAAGTCAATAATAATATACATGCATGTACACAGATGCCCTATTCAACCTATAGACTGGCTGGTTCGATAAATCAATTGTGATATATTGACTGGCGGACTGGTGAATAGGTCTGTAAATGGAAACAGGTGATGTACATGAATGCATACATGTACATGTACAAACAGGAGTTAGTCTGAGCTACATGTATGCAAATACGGTCATAAAACTCAGAATGGAATTATTTCACTGTGATTTCCATGGTGTTTGCTAAATTGTAGTTGTACAAAGCTAGTTGAAGCCATGATAAACCATGGGTGTTTTTGTTTGCTGTGTAGACTTTTTTCCCAAATGTGTATGTTTCCCACTTTTGCTTTATCTCGGCATAAAATGCGGTGGGTTGTTGCAGAGCCCTTCAACTTTATCTTGCTTTTTTTTGACAGCAGCTACTTGTAGGCTGTTCTGAAATCTGTGCTCGGTCCCATTGGCTCTTTGTAGGACGGTTGTTTTTAACCGAGCCCAGATTTCAGACTTTATTCTTCCATGTACAACGTACATATTCTTGCTAAATTATTCAAAGCTGCAATTAGATTACGATATTTTTAATATTTCAAGAGAGATGAACAATTGTTTTGATGAAAATTTAATGTATTATGCTTGAACTTAGATATATCGTAAGTATGCCTTTTACATGCAATTTCTGTATTCTGCTGAATTCATTGGAAATATGCAGTCATCTTTCGCTGGCACTTCTTTTGCTTTATTTTAGTTTTTTGTTTTTTTCAGCTGAGCAGGGTAGCTTGGATGCCTAACCGCTACACATCTTTTCTTTTGCCAACTCCTTATCAGTTCCTAAGACGGCACTTCGCTTAGAGGGCCTCGCACGCGACAAACCGCTGCCACTGGCACAGCACAAACGCTCTCACACGCACAGGGGAGGGCTATCGGTGGCGGACACGCCCTCCCCTACGTCACCGCCCCCGTTGCCCACCCCGCCCATGTCACCCAATCAGGCCCCGCCTTACAAGAAGCACAGTTGGCCCCAGGGGCCCCACGCCGGTGAGCCACTCACCACAGCGACCCATCACCAACACCACCTTCACCCGTATTACAGTAAGTGCAAAGGATGATGGGATGCCTTCACCACATCACCATGGGAACGATCACCCTTTTCCCCCTGGCACTGCACGACTACCCAACATCTGCTGAGGTTTTCCCTTCAAAGCTGAACACTTTAAAATGTCACATCAATGCTAACCAAAATACTAACAAATTATACCTTTTTTTGTTTACATAAATAGTTTTAATTAAATACTACCAGTACTAACCAATTTTTTACCGATCGTACTGTTTCTAACCAAGAGTGTCTTTTTATTCATAGAGTGCAGTGTTTGTTAATCCCATCTCATCTGACATCGTTTGAGGATCCAGTTTGAATTGACTTATCACAGCATGAATTCTTGAAAACCCATACATGTAGTGCATGTAGTTTATCTTCTCACCAGAAATTTCACAGGAATTCATGTTGTAGATGTGTGGAGTTTGCAAATGTATTGAATTTACCATGCATGTTGTTAATCTTGAAAGTGTTTTCTAATAAGTAGTCATGTCTGACACGCATAGATTGTGAGGCATTCTGGTAAAAGGAGACGCAACTTGAAAAACAATTGGCATCTTTCATTTTCATGAATAAAAAACATGAAACTTTTAAGGCCATTTTCTCAGCATGTAACTTTTTGACATGTCGATATATGCGAACTTTAAACAGCCATAACTTGTCAACAGAATGTACAACTGAAGTGCAACAAACAGTATTGCTGGGAGAATTTTATTCTCTTTCCTCTAAACTCTCGCAAACCTCCATTTCGACCTCTGCCCAGTTCTGTCTCATTTTGCCATCTGGAACGCCTTACATACTTTCAACATCATGTACAAGTTTTGTGCATGCTAGGCAGGGTTTGTCTGCTCAAGTTCATCACCAAGTCTGTTTCATCTAGCTGCTACAGAAAAGATTTGCCAAGCAAATATAGGATAAAAGCCAAAATGTTAATTTACAGTGCCTGGTTTTTGACTGAGTTTTGCTCAGCGCAAAATTAGCTAAGCAGTTTGTTATTGTTCGCTTAATAGCATTTTTATGAAATCTTGTACCATTCAGTTGTATACAGTAGGTGCTTAGCGTGTTCAAATCAACCAATCGAGGATCTGCATCTGTGACTTTCACCTGCGCATTAGGAATAAGCTACATGTGCATTAGTTTCCATTTCAGTGTCTTATTTCAACTATCTGACCCATCCCATCAATAACAGGCGTCCGCCTCCCATCAATAACAGGCGTCCGCCTCCCGATAGAGAGTAAGCAAGATGAGGAGGATGAGCTACCTGATTATCTCAAGACTCGTAAGTCAGTTGTTGGAGCAGAGAGAGAGAGAGAGAGTGGTGGGTCCAGAATGACTCCAGGAGCAGGTTTCCCCCTAGTTACTGGACTCACCACAATACAGTTCTCCTGATGATCGTGTAGTTTGCACCAGGAATGGTAGCGTGATGCATTAATGTCAAACGCAGCTACAGTAGTATACACTTGCTTGGGTTTGAATTAAAAGGGAGGAACTAATCTGCTGTCGCAGCTTAAACAGTGATGTCCATGAAGGAAAGAAATTCGATGCTATTTAAGAGGAAGAGGAAATTGTGTTTAATAGTTGGATTCAAATCCAGGAGGCTATTTCTAATGGTGATATATTTTTGGGTGGATGTCAGATACGTAAGACAACACTTCAAGCTAGGCTTATTATCTTGCTTGCAAGGTTAAAGAAAAGGCCAAGGAAGGAAATTGGGTGCAATTTATGTTAAAGCTTAGTTAGAACGCTTGTTTGGAAGGGGAATTATTACAGGGAGCTGCTAACCGTGTAGGTTTAGAGGAACAAACGTTGGTTACCAGCCAATGTTGTATGTGATGTGTCTATGCTGCTTGTGACTGGTTCCCAGCAAATTTTTGCTTAGCTTGAAAGATTTGCTTAAAAGAAATGTTATTCTCCATTTTATCGGGGCTGTGTGTCAAAATCTTTGCTTAGTGTGAAAAATCTTTGCTTAGTGTGAAAAATCTTTGCTTAGTGTGAAAAATCTTTGCTTAGTGTGAAAAAGGTTGCTTACAAATGTAAAAGAAATGCTCATTTTATCGGGCTGTGTGTTGCTTCAAAGCCAGTCTATGGTGCTACGTATGTAAAAGCTTGATCCAAAGGTACGAGGAATCGAAAATTAGTACATCAGGGTCCTTCTATAAATTTAGGATCCAAAGTGCAACATTGTTCCTGTCCCTGTTACCTTGGAACTTTGTAGTTTGCCTTTCAAGTATCATTACACCTAACCCCTTGAGCACTTTTACTAGAAAGTATCCTGAATCTGCCAAAATCCACCTAGTGTGTCATGCACAAAAATGTTGGTGTTGGTGACTGCTCAGTATGGAGGTATCCTGAATCCATCAAAATCCTGCAGGACTGCTAGGCTTACAATCCTAAATCCATCAAAATCCGGGTCTGTTTTCAATCATATCTTGAATCTGCCAAAATACTCCAAAACAGGGGTACATTTTGTATGGATTTTGATGGATTCAGGTACGTTAGAGTTAACACTGATAATGACTTCACAAAACAAATTCATATGTTGGGTAAGTATTTGCTATTTATAATCACTCTTAAAGAATGGATCTGCATTAAGGAGTGCATCAGAATTATAAAATCATAGATGTCGGATTTAACGGGGACAGGAAAAAAAGTGGACCTCAAATTTATTTACTGACCCATAAGGGTGTCGACATAAAAATTATCAACAAGACACAATATTTGCTCAGATTTAACCCACAAAACGTTGGTATCAGTTGTAGGTGGATTCAGTTCAGGGCTGCCCTTTTCTGTTCGGGCCAGCACTGACTATTATGGCAGTATTTTGATGCTACAGAGCAGTTTCTGCAGGACATGCTTCAAAAAGTAGAATTGTTTTTGCGTCAGGTTGATGTAAAGTCCCATCTCATGAATAGTTTCATTGCAGAACCTGCTGCTATATCTGATTCGAACCAGCCAGCCGACCCTGGCAAGCTGGTTGAGTGGTAACATGTCTGCGCTAGTAAGCAGGAGGTCGTTGGTTCGAGTCCCGCCTGACTGATTTTTGCTCATAATCACTCCGGGCAACACTGAGTATACAGTATTTATAAAGATATGTTGCACGGGCAAAACCAAATATTGAAAAGTAGTTTAGTAAAAACAAATGCCATGGTAGTAAAAATCTGCTAATTGTCGAGTGTTGCATGCTAAGGTATGTACTCATGCCAGTTGGTAATTGTGTGTTCTAATCCTCTAGTTTCATGTACACATACATACATACAAACAAAGGAAAAGGGAAGAGGAACAAAAGAAAATCCTCGATTTTACACCATAAACAAACGTGCTAGTAAAATCCTCGATTTCACACCATAAACAAACGTGCTAGTACATGTACTAGCACATTTGTTTATTGTGTGAAATCGAGGATTTTCTTTTGTTCCTCTTCCCTTTCCTTTGTTTGTACTCAAACTTTTTTCGCAACAGCTCTCATTGGTTTTGTACACGTTTTCTAATCGAGGTCGTCCTCGATTCGGTTTCTGACCTCGATTCACCGATGATGTTGCACGTGTTTGTCCTCGATTTACACCATAAACAAACGCATCGCACTGTGTGATTTAAGCTGTGCATTCACTGATGATTCTTTGACACGAACATGTACTAACCTCATTCAGTCAATGTAGCAAAACATAAAATGCTGGTAGCTACATGTAGTTAGTTTCATTGAATCTAATTTTACAAGCGTGTGCTTTGTTCTCTGTATTTGTGAAGTAATTGAGCTGTACGTTTTTTCTTGTTCTCTGATAAGGTTTCAGGGTGTCACTCATTGATCACTGTCCTTTATCAAATGTAACTGTTTATGCAAAGGTTTATTGCAGGAGACGGGAGATATTTTTCCATTGTTCATGTCAAGGGAACCCACTATATTTTCTGGCCTACACTGATAAAAACATTGATACTGTACCTACATGTATATCCAAAGGTATTGTTTTTCAAAGTTTCCCCACTTGTAGATTTTGTGGGGAAAAAAATTGTATGAATAGATCATTGCAATTTTCTTGAAGTTAACTAACTGGAAAATGCATTTTTTTTTACCCCGAGCGCCTAAGTTTTTACTAAAAAGCATCTAAAGCTTTGCAAAGAGGTATCAATATTTGGTTTATGAAACTGCCTAACAAAAAGAAAGAAAGCCAAACAAAACAAAACCTACGTAAACTAAGAATTGTTTGTTTTTCAGTTTTACTTATTGTGTGGTACCCTTATGGTGATGGGAAATTTTTGCTCCTAATAGTTTTGTTATTTAAGAAAATACAAGCTATCCAGTTTAAACTTTCATTTCAATATCAAACCTCCGAGAAAGTTGGCATGGTTAAACTGCTGACAGATTCAAATACACCTTTAATTGTGATACAAACATGGTAAAGAAACTGATTTTATTACCATATTATATTACCCTGTGTTGGTAGCACGCACATTTTCAGTTTCATCGCCAGTAGTTTTGCATTCATTTTGCATACACTGTTCACAAGTGGAACAAACATTTAGAGTAAAGGTTTCAAAGAAGAAAAACACAAAAGCACCGAAGGAAATAAACTGAGTTCCTGTTTCATATTCAAGGAAAACTCTTGAAAATGCACCGGGCACTTCAATAAAATGAGAATCACCAATTGGGCCTCATTCCAACTTGGGCCAGACATGACCGAAATCAGTCCCGGACTGAATTCTCTATTTTGTTCGCGTTCTGGTTGTGTATGAAAATCAACTTCCAGTGTTGCAGGTTCGTGTAGGCCGTCTTGAAAATAGAAGATTTTCCTGGATTCACACCAAAATCAATACTGATATTTACATGTAAGTGGAACGAAGAAATTGAATGGAGCGGGTTTGAACCTGCGACTTCCAGATTGCCGTTCCGGTGGTTGCAGGTTCAACCCCGCTCCAGTCAGTTCTCTTCGTGGTTTATTTGCAAAAAACAATACTGAATAGACCCTTTGCATTGGAGCCATCTTTGAATTGCATGCTTGTGTTCAGCATGGATGTACTGATACCTACCGGTAAGGGCATTCATTGTTACTGAATAAAGATTTAACATGTTTAACCTTCAAGATGGCTGCTCTATGCACAGGGTCTATGAAGACACGGATCCACTCATCCCTCCCTCATTCCCCATGTATTATTTTGTTTTTCCATCCACCGCACGTCACCTTCATCAGTGCCACCCCCTCCAATGGTCAATCCACCCCCTCCTGACTATGACTTGGAAGACGGCGCCTCAGACAGGAACGACATGCCCTTCCATCACAAGCGTAAGTTCACTTTGCCATTCCTAGTCTTGCTCCAAGCACAGGATTTCGATTTTTGTTCCCTTTATACAGCCAGTCCTGACCAACCTCGTTTCCATGGGTACGATCTTGCTGCGCCATGTTGTTTCCCATCATGCCTTGCGCGATCTTAACCCCTGGAATTGGGTAATTTAAATGTGCCAAATAGTGGCACATTTAAATTAAAATTAGGACTGCAGTCAATGTATCTATCTCATGACACAGTACTTTCAGAATATTTCATTCTTTATAGCTTCTTTTCCATAGACATCACTGAGTACATTGAATTCACAAAATAATTAACTATTCACATGTACAATGTACTTGCACACGGTGCCATTGCACACTTTACCCTTTTTGAAATTAAAGGTGCACATTCGCTCAGAGGTAGCCCAAATTGAATGTTTTTGGTTATTTACCGTCCATATTTTGAAGATCTGTCTGACACAAAACAAGCACCGAATAAAGCCAGCAAATTATGAGCAAAAGAGGTTTAGAGCCAAAAAGTGCATTCCAAACAAAAGAGCTCACTTTAATTTCCTTGGAGAGTGTGACTGCAAGGCTATGTTTCTACCGTCTTATTCTTGTTGCCCATGTGTGCAGTTGATGGGGCCTTATGAATTGGTCTTTAGGGGTTCTCTCATGACCTGGCCTTCATCTGGGTACCGGAAAGTCAGCGTCGCCATTGTAGTAGGCAAAGATCATAAAGGGCCACATGCAGTAGGTAGTAGGCAAGCCTTTAACACTGTGATGGATGGCAAAGACTGAGGAAAATGCCGCAGAGCCAACACCCAATGCTGGGCGGGCATGATTATGATTATGAGCAGTGACCAGCGGTAGTGGTCTCTACTTAGACACAGTAAGGCCCCCCCCCAAAAAAAGTCTCCGGTTTCTGGTATGGAGCTTGCCCAAAAAGTGGTGCAGCGACGCGGCTTTTTTTTTTTTTACCTGTTTTTTTTTGCTTCAAATTTCGACTGATGAGTGCAAATGGTGCCCGACTAAACTTAGTGCAAATATTATGGGAGACCAGAGAGGCCACATGAAGCTTATTCTCGATCATAACCCCATCTAATAACACGTTAAAATTGTGCAGCAGCGGGATTCCAGTCAAACCAGTGAGTTTGGCGGTTTTGAGACATCATCTTTCATTGAAACAAATTTTTTTTCATTTTGCCCACGCGCATGGCTACGGCGACGCGCGCGCATACCAGAAACCGGAGACTTTTTTTTTTGGCCTAAAACTAAATAGGCATAACTGATTTTTTTTTTTTATTTGAGGGGAGGGGCAAGTTGGGATCACTTTTTGTTTTGCTGGGTAGGACAATGATTAAACAGGAATCTGAACAACATGGCCTGCTACCCAAAAGTTTGAACAATTGACCTTTCATCTCTCAGTGATTGACCTTAAGATGTATAACAGGTGATAATTGTAGACAATTCAACAGGATGTGAAGACTCAAGTAGCTCATCTTGACCTTGTCAACAAAGGTTAAGGGTTCTTAGAGTTTGTAAAGTGCACACAGCAAATATTTGTGTACCTCTTTATTGCAAACTGGAATTTTTTGTAAAGTGAACAGAAAGCAATTTGCAAGAGAGTGATTTTTCTCGGTTCACTCTAAAAAAGAAAAAGATTACCTTGTCTGGTTCCCTTGGGGTTTGCTGATAATTAATGAGCTGAAAGCATAATTACCCCGGTAGCTGATAGCAGATCTGTAAGTTTTCTTGTTCTGCATTGTTAATTACTTGACATGAAGTGTCCTTTACTGTTCTTTTTTCCCATAATATTCATCCAGATCTAGTTAATGTTCATTCACCAGTATAGTTGAAAGTTCATTTTAAAGATATAGTCCATCATTTGTAATTTGTGCATTTTGTTCGTTTGAAGCAATAAAAGTGTTCAAAATCTAATGAAAACAGCATTCTAGGATCTCAATTTCAAATCAAAAGTTTCTGAATCATGTTTTGAATTGTTTTGAATTGCAGCTATACGCGATGTCGCGCACTGATCCGACGAATTATAGCAACCGCGCCCGCCTGTGCATCGTGCCAATGCTTGCGCGCACTGCGCCGAATAACAAAACGAACTATTAATTTAAATTTTCCTACGGTACGTCTTAAGACGCACCGTTGGAAAGACCTTCTTTCGTTGATTACTTCAAAATGATAGCTTGCCAGAAAGATTAATTTCACAGGGAGTTTAGTCCACTGTACTATCTTTCAACCAAGTATGTTTTTCAACAATAATACGCCAGTTACTTTTTCGGATGGCTGCAAATGATGGACTATAGCTTTAAGCAGTGATATGTTTCGTCATTACAACCTGTTGGTTTTTTTTCAGAAATATCTTTGTTGTTTACATGAGCCCTAACCAAACCCAACCCATCAAAGCTCAACAGCAGGTTTTGTTTAAATCTGTTGGGATATATAGGTACAGCACCCCTAGACTGATGGTCTTTTACACTGGGGTTGGCATGCCTCCAGAAATTAAGTCCAACAGTGTGTGTGTACAATTTCACATGTGGGTGTTGGAATTTTCCAGAATGGGTATGGTTCCTACAGTACACATGTACATGTATGTGAATTAGGCTGGGCAGTTAGGGTTAAAGTTGCTTTGGTTGTTGGTAAAACAAAATTACATGTATAACTTTTATTTTTTTTCCTGAGATTTCTTTGTAGTTTAAATGGAAGCTGATTAGTTGTGGTATTTTTTTTAAACCTTTGCATATACCGGTATATATGCACGTAGCATGCAAATGTGTCATGAGTATTTGTTGCACTGGATTAAGGGACAGTTTGCACCAAGGAAAATTGTCTCGCACTGTACAGTAGTGCAATGAAGGTGTGTTTAGCCCACCGCAATGTGGAACAGTTTCTGTTCTAATACAGAATCCCATAGGTTGGCTGTGTAAGATCGATATCCTCCAGAATCAATTTGAACTCACAGAGGCCCCTATTAATGGCAGAAGAATAGCCGCCATGGAGCATATTTGCTTTGTACCGTACATTAACAACTAGCACTATGCTTTTGCTATGGGCTCCGTGCGCCGACAAAAGAGGGCGCCCTTTTACCTAGCAACGACGTCCCATGGGCGTGACATTTCGCTGGTTGACGCGCACCGTTCCTTGTGTGTGACGCACGTACACCAGGGGATATGTACTTTGTACACGCAGTGGCTGCACTTCGCGGCAAGCGAATGGCAGTCAGGCAAGATGGCGTCGTTCGGTCACCCCCAACTGTACTCTCTTTGCCGGTGAGGGGGTACTTGTGAACGGAGCGGATTATGCTTGTTGGTCTATGACAATAAATTAAGTGACAATTACTGAAAGCTAATGGCTTATGCTCTTGAAGGTAAGTGGTAAGCAGTAAGCAGGCATTCTCTTTCCAGAGGAGAAATTCATCAAGTGTTTCTTTAAGTACATTGTTAACTTATCCTTTTTTCTATTTTCTGTCTGTTACTTCCAGTGAATTCATCGGGGAGATATCCCTCATCGTCCTCGGAGGAAGCCAACGACCTCTCTCCAACCTACCAGGGCGTGGACGAATCCTTACTCATCAAGCCTAAGCCTCTCCCCAACCCGGTCAAGGAATCCAGAGAACATCGGGAAATGCATCGAGAGCTCAGAGCAAGGTTGGTATGCAGTGTACATGTACAGTGGAACGTCGCTATACCGAACACCGCTATACCGAACATTCGGCTATACCGAACATCGTCCTTGGCTCCCAAATTTTGTGTACAAATCCAATCGAACATTGTTGTTGAAAAACTGTCAACAGAAGAGCGACAAGTGGCAATTTTTTCGCCAAGGCATTGAAGGAGAAAGCCACCCATCGATGTAGGTAGTAAGCTCAAAACTGTGTAATTACATTATTCAATAGTCGGCATGTGTTCGAAGTCGTCTTTCAGTAACTACCAGGGCGTGCAAGGTGAAGTTATGAAGGGCGCCATTTATTGAAAAGTGAGTACCGGAGCACCGGCAGCTTAAAATCGCTTTACCGAACAATCGCTATTACGAACATTTTCTGTGGATCCTGCGATGTTCGTTGTAGCGGCGTTCCACTGTATTCACATATGGTAGGGAAACACTTGGTTTTTAACCCTAACCCTGCTCAATCCAACAGGATCCAACTATTTTACATATCTGTTGCGGCCTTTTGGATTGAGCAATAAACCCATTGTATATTCCTCAGTTTTGAAATCTGTTGGATTCGGCAGGCAACTGAAAACATTCAGAGTCAGATATCTGTTGGGTACTGGCAAATAACACCAAGTTGGACTCTGTTGGATCCAGCAGCAAACAAAAGAATAAGACACAGTTGGATTCTGTTGGATTGAGCATGCCAGTCATTTGATATCTTCAGGTATCCAATAACTTGACAAGTTGGGTTGTGTGGGACTGTGTTGGATTGAGCAGGAAACTCTTATGAGCTCTGTCTGGGCCATGGTCGACTAGTGGATGATTCGTGACATACCTTATGCTTGCACACTACTAGCAACATCTCTAGTCAAACAATAGTCTAAATGGCATCACGTACATGTAGATGATCCTGCCTCCCTGCTGTGCATTATGATGCACACAGGTATTGGTAAAGTAGCGATGGGACCGACTTCGGTAGGCGGGTCACAAAATAATCAAGTAGACCAGTCCAACCATCAAAGGTATAGTCTATCATTTGTAATTTGTACATTTTGTTTCGTGTTTGAAGCAACAAATTTCTCGAAATCTAAAGAAGGGTACTGAACAACTAACCTGATGAAGTTTCAGCTCAGGTTCAGCTGTACATTTCGAGAAAAACAACATTGTAGGATCTTTGTTTCAAATCAAAAGTTGCTGAGTCATGTTTTGAATTGCGCCTGAATTCAGCATCCGAGACACATTCTCGCGGAGCCGATTGCAGCTACGTGATGTCGCGCACTGATCTGACAAATTATGGCAACCGCTCCCGTGTGTGCATCGTGTCAACGCTTGTGCGCGCTTCGCCGAATAAAAAAAACCGAACTACTAACAGAAATTTCCAACGATGCGTCTTTACACACATCGTTGGAAAGGCCTTCTTTCTTTGATTTCTTCAAAATGACAGCTTGCCAGAAAGAATAATTTCACAGGGAGTTTAGTCCCCTTACTATCTTTCAACCAAGCATGTTTTTCAACAGCAATTACGTCAGTTACTTTTTGGATAGCTGCATATGATGGACTGTAGCTTTAACTCACCAACACTCTGTCAGAGTTAGTCACACATACATCCTCACCATCAATACAAGCTTCAATCTGACCATCGATACAAACGGGGGGTCTCGATAGTTTGGTTCATCAAGGTACTGCTCTAGAAACTCTTGCATTCTCTTTCCAATCAGCTATAAAACCGGTGGCCCTCTGCCTCAGAGAGCGGAGCTTGATGTAGTCAATCGGGAGAGGTCATTGAGACAGAGGAGAGAAAAGATGGATGCAGAGACCAAATCCAGACGGACTAGCATGGAGATCAAGCTGCAGGAAAGGAAAGACAAAGAACGAATGGTAAGAAATGTTCTTCCCCCTGACGTCTTACTCATAGAACTATTTGAAATTACTGGAGCGCTAGCTCCTCGATCCCCCGCGCGGAGATTCTTTGAAGCCGTCCCTGGCACAGACATTTGGAATTCATGTGCGTGTTTGTGGAACACAAGGAAAGTTGTCTGTCTTCCTTTGAGTTATGTCATGTGATTTTTGGAGTGGACTGGGCACTTATAGAAGTCAGTCTTGCTGTCTCCCCCCCCCCCCACACAGCATTCTGTAATGCTTATTCTTGTTACTCACTGCCTTGTCAAGCAGAGCGATGCCCCTCCCCCCCCCTACCTTGGCAACTTGTAGACTCCACTCCATGTTATTGACTGCAGTCACACTATGGCCATCTAAGGCCAAAAAAAAAAGTCTCCGGTTTCTGGTATGCGCGCGCGTCGCCGTAGCCATGCACGTCGGCAAAATGAAAAAGTTTTTTTTTTCAATGAAAGATGATGTCTCAAAACCGCCAAACTGACTGGTTTGACTGGAATCCTGCTGCTGCTGCACAATTTTAATGTGTTTTTAGATGGGGTTACGATCGAGAATAAGCTTTATGTGGCCTCTTTGGACTCCCATATATTTGCACTAAGTCTAGTTGGGCACCATTTGCAGTCATCAGCCTACATTTTGAGGCAAAAAAATCAGGTAAAAAAAAAAAAAAAGCCGCGTCGCCGCACCATTTTTTGGGCAAGCTCCATACCAGAAACCGGAGACTTATTTTTTTGGGCCTAAGGGAATATTGCATGTAAAATAATGCTCAACTGGTAAGCAGTTCCCTAGTACAACAATCTCATATGTACGTGAGGGTAGGGGGAACCTTTGTTTTCTTTTTCTTAAGACTTCCAGAAAGAGATCTGGTCGCGCATTCAGACTCACAGAATACTTTCAGAATTTTGTTGGACTTTGGAGACGTAAGTTGAGCTCGAGCGTGAGGGTTCCAATTCAACCATGTGACATGCGACTCAGTAATCGCTGCCTTTCACAGGGTGGGTTATCTTAACTAGATTCTCCCTACTCGGGGGAATATTGGCGGATTATCTCAGGAAGCTGGATTGGAGCCTGCTACCTCCTGAATACTGCGCCAGCACACTGCATTATAATTGAGCTACTGAGCAATAGCTAGCGACATCATAGTGGGGTGCTGTGGTCCAATGGTTACGGTGTTCGACTCGTGTGCCGTGGTACATGGGTTCGAGTCCTGACTGTGGGAACATGGTGCTTGTGCTCTTGAGCAAGGCACTTTACCATTATTGCTTCGTCCTTCGGATGGGACGTAAAGCTGTAGGTCCCGTGTGTTGTGTAATGCACGTTAAAGAACCCAGTAACACTTATCGCTAAGAGAAGGGGTTTGCCCCGGTGTTTCTGGCAGTGGCTGCAATATGCGCCGCAGCACCTTGTAAACCTTAAATAAGGTGCTACATAATGGGTCTCATATTTCTCATAAACTTCACTTACCTGTCTTAAATAATAGACATATCTCCAGCGCCTTGAGTACCTTATAGTTGGTAGATACGTGTGCTATATAAGACTCCCATATTATTATTATTATAATGCTGCAAGCCCAGGAGATGGACGCTGGGGATAATTGATCTAAATGTCTCACAATAAAAACTTCATTATATTTGCAAGATAAAACCCTTGTGAACTTGGACTACCCTGACCCTCAACAACAACAACTGCACAAAATCTAACGGAAAATAACTACTCTTGAACTTTTGTACGCATTTTGTTGTTTTGTTCAGGAAGAGGAAAAAGAACAGCGACTTGCTAAGATGAGGGAGCAAGAAGCAATAGAAGAAGAGCGAAAACCGGAATTCATGAAAGTCAATCTTAAGAAGACCAACTCCCTTCCAACCACATAATACCGGCTGAATCCTCATCCCAAGACAACACTGGACAAGAAACCAGAAATCATGGAAGTCCATACCAAGCAGACCAACCCCCTTCCAAAGACATAATACCGGCTGAATCCTCACCCGAAGACAACGCCAGAGAAGAAACCAGAATTCATAAAAGTCAATCTCATGCAGACCAACCCCCTCCCAAAGACATAATACCGGCTGAATCCTCATCCCAAGACAACGCTGGAGAAGGACCAGAATTCATGGAAGTCCATCTCAAGCAGACCAACCCCCTCCCAAGACATTCTATGTAATACCTGCTGAATCCTTACACCAAGACAACGACTCTGACAGTGTGTGTGTGTTAATCAGCCAATTTTGTCAAACTTCTACGCACAGTAAATAGTTGCTTTACAGCAAAGACAGGTCACCAGCCAAAAGTCATGCAGTTTATATTGCTTGTGGCTGGTTTACATCTGCTATGCGCTTAGCACATACAGTTGAAAAGCACTGTCTGCTGTGCAGCTCAAAATCGGGCCCTGATTTGTCCCAGTCGTGGTCGCCTCTACCAGTCAACCTATCCAGGAAATGCAAAGCATTGTGGGTAGTGCCCTACTACAGTTAGTGCACCTTCATTTTGCGTTTTTCCCATTTTTCATGGAGATAAGCAGAAAAGATTACTTCGCCAGTAAAGATGCTAAGCAGGAAAACAATAGGCACTATTCAGTTACATCATAAAATTTTTTTGGCTGTTAAACGTTTTTTGCTGTTAAGCACGTTTTTTTTCTATGCGCAGAAAATGTCTGTGTTTTTCGAAATTGGACCGAGGTACACGATTTATAACATTTTTCCATCAAAAGCTGGAAGAGTTAAGTCATCACCAACACCCTTGATAGGGTAGTGGGTATGCACGACCTAACGTTTAGAATTTCTTCATATTTTTTTATACCGCATTACCTTGAAAGTTGTCATCTTTTTATGGGTTAACCCCCTGTAACATTTCAACCTCGTGTGTCTCGTTTTTAAAACAGACACAGTTCTTTTGTAAACGTTTTACTATACAGTTTCCGATTGCCTTCCTTTTTAATACGGTGGTAAGTTAAATATATGTACATTCTTGAAGCTTCAGTGGGGCATTATTTTCAGTTACAAATTAACTTCATGCATGTCGTTGTCCTTCCAGGAGAGTCCAAGGGACCTCATTTTAAATAAAGCAGGGGTGTGAAATCTCAGCTTTAAAGCTGATTTCAGCTTTTTGTTTGTTTTGGATTTCAGCTTTTTGTGGTCACTCATACCCCTGTGGAGGTGCTTAGCGTACAATTTTGCTCAGCACAGAACAATTTAGTTGGCAAGGTCGGTTTACCAGTTAACATTTTGTGTGATGTATATTGCTGAGTGGCTGGTTCCCGGCTAGAGTTTGCTAAGCATTAAAATATGCTGTTATAACACCTCTTCCACAGATTCTGTATCTTGATTGGCCGAGAGTGCGTCACATGGCATTGGCTATTTTTACTATTATGCTATGAATGGCAAACAGGACTGTGTGCATGCATCTATGGATGTATATGGGTGTTCGCATTGCGCGTAATTGTTCTACAGGTTACAGCGTTGAAACTTTTCATGCGAAGGGGTACTTTGCAAAAGTGCGAGTGAATCTCAACTACTTCCATATTGGAAAAGAGCAATGTTGTATTTGGATTTGGTTGAATAAATTAAATAAACAGGTTTTCTCTCCAAGTCAATTAGAATCTGTGGCTGAGGCATTACTAAACAAATATTGACTGCTTTAACTTGTGGTGTAGTAAAAATAGCCTCCCTCTGTGATCCATGGACTGTTCCATTTCCGTTGGCGAATAAATAATGCTCCATGGATCTCCTTGATTGGTTGAATTCAAAGACTTGATGAAGTACGTATGTTGAACTTTGTGTCGAATCAGTGTTAATAATCTATGTTGTTAATGTGAGTGTCCATGTGAAAGTACCAAATGACAAAATAGCGCCGTAAATTTTAATGTCAGAGATCCTGTACTATTTCCAGTACTAGTCATTTATTTGTACAATTGAGTTCCCCTACATGTCTTCCCGTTAAACCAAGTTAAGAGGTTGGCATTTCTCCTATAAGAAATGCTCATCTTTAATAAGAAATCGTTGAAATAGCTGATGAAATGATATTCATTTGGATGGCAATTAGATTGTTCTATCCAATCTTTGTAACAGTTGATGTATTTAGCCTATTAAAATATGGATTAAAAGTGAGAGATGAGTTTTTATAATGATCGAATACTAATATTGATCGAATGTAACAATTTGTATCTTAAGTGGGCTGTATCCAAAAACATTATTTCAGTATTTAGTCAATGTGTAAAAAAACATTCAAGTTTTTTTTATATTTTGAGTATAGCACCACTTGTATTTAAAATGCCTTGCTGTATGTGCCTTGATTAACGTTCATGTATGCACAAGTAGATATCTTTTTGTTGGTGAATTTTGTACCAGAAATGTTGAGATTGCTAAATTTGTGGCCCAAAGTAAAGTCAAAGAGTTTAATACAGGGCAAGTAAAAAAAACAAACCCAAATGGGGACCAGTTTTTTAATTCACACACATCCCTATGTGAACTGTTTTCACTTTGCTGAAAGAACACTTACCTTTTTTTTGTGATCTGTAGACAGAACTTTAAAACGTTAAATTGTGTTTAAATTTCCGTAACTTAAAAAGTGCAGGATTGATTTGAATGATTTTTGTACTAAAAGAAAGCTTATTAATTTGGCTTTCATATTCTAGATTTTGAAAGTGCTACATGCAGAACTTCATTTAAAAAAAATGGTCCTGCCATTTGGGTTTCCTGTTTTTCCCGCACCTTGTATAAGGCATGCTGTACTAGTTTTGATATGGGGAAGTAAACTATTGCTTGCAAATAGCGTACAGTGTAGTTGACCCAATGTGGAGAAGACCACAGTGAATTTTTGAGTTGTTTGCATGGAGTGTTCAGGTAGGGGAGGAAACAGAGATGTAGACGAGTCTTCTCAAGATATCGTAAGTCACAAACCAATCACAAGTATAGGGCGCACTGAACCAATTCAAGCCCCATTGAAAACAGTGTAAAATCAACAAAGTTCAGGGCCAAATAACATGCAAGCCGACATCACTGGGGTTTCTCAAACAAAAAACTAAATTATTGTCTTGTACTTCATCTTTTCATTTCTTTTCAATTTTGGGTAGATTAGCCGATTACATTTTAAAATATTCACACCAAAACAAAATCACCTCCCGAAAAGTGATAGTTCCCAAGCCTGCATGTAGCCGTTTTACAAGTGGCATCCTTCCACTTTCTCAGGCAAATAGGACCCATTTTTCAACCGTAATTTTATCAAGCCTGCCCTCAGATGGAAGCCCCAAAACCAGGGAGTTGATCCTTGGTTACATTTACACAATTCCACCGTTTTTAAAAGCCAAACGGTCTCCATTTTCAAAAGAGACTGTGGGGTCACTTTTTATGCTAATCAGCTCGCGTAGAAATTCTCACTTAAATTAATAGTTCACTGCACCCACAAGTCATCCAAATGGTTGGCATTCCTTTGTCATTGTTCATTTCCTGTTAGTTGTTGTGATTTGACTTGTGATTGCCTTGTGATTGCCTTGTGATTGCCTTGTGATTGCCTTATGATTGACTCGTGATTGCCTTGTGATTGACTTATGATTGACTCCAAAACATTTCATTTTAGCAATAATCACAACTGTGAGCCAAAAAAAGTGCTTCAGAATGACATCGCCTTGACAACAGAAAGAAGTTATTTTCTTGATTTATACTTTTTTGGGGTAACTAAGTTAGATGGCTTTCTACAATAGATCTTGTACTCTATTTTTACAGCTATTAAAAACAAGGAACAAGTCCTGTAATCACCTAATAGTACTAAAGAAGATGAATTAGCCTAGTGATCTTTTTATTTTCTCTTCTTGAAAAAAAGTAGAATTTTTAATCCTTGATTTTGTTCTTATAATAAACATGCTCTTTGTTTATGCTAACAATATTACATATTCTCTCTAGACAGTCGGAAACTACATGGTGTCTGATATTATTTGTGTTCAATGTACTTAACATTACTTTAAAAACAATTTGTTTAATTATAGTAAGCATATATAATTTATAAAGTGTACGATGAAATGCTACAAGTTGAAGCCGATGTATGGGTAGTTTTCATTATGTGTTCGTTTTATTTGAAATGGTTCATAAATTTGCAACATAAAAGTTTGAGAAGCTCCTTCAAAACACTTGTTCTTGACACAAGTTTAGATTCACCCCCACCCACACCCTTTAGTCAAGGCCCGTGTGGCTGCCCGGACACATGATGCTGGCACGTAAAAAGACTAGCACGAGCGGTGAAGCCGCGCTTCGCCGCTCATGCTAGTCTTTTTACGTGCCAGCGTCCAGGGTGCTCACGTGTCCGCATTGCCGCATGGGCCTTGACTAAAGGCTAGCCACACCCCCAATTTCTACCCCCAATCCCTTCTGATAAAAAATCAAAATCAAAGGAATGAAAGGTAATATGCAATATTTGCAAACATCAAAAAACAAAACTTCCAAATTATTATGAAATACCTTACTTGACTGTAAGTGAATAATAGTCTCAAGCATCCTGTGAAATCACGGCACCTGGGTGATGTGCTGTCATTTTCAAGAAAGCGGAATTTTTGTATCAATGTCCAACGATGGTTGGCCAACCATCGTTGGAAAACGGTTGCTTTTTGTTCCAAATACTACACCAGTGTACCAAGTTTAGTTAGTCCACATTATGTTTGCAATCGGTTACACATCTGTGAATGGGTGCAAGCCAGCTAATCTGGTTCCCTGACTTGACAATTCCCGACGTCTATAAATTGCTCCGTTTTGTCTTAAGTGGGGTCAGGGAACCAGACTACAAAAAAAAATCATTTTTTTTCTTGGTTTTTCCAGCATCTATTAACACAAAACTTTAAACAGGCCAGTGTAACAATACATTGTATTGTCCATAAAATACTAACCCCTGAAATTCATCTATTTCTGAAAATAACATTGTTTTTGTTTTTTTGTTATTTTTTAAAATTAAATTTAGTCAAACACTTTACATATCACTCAAGAGCATTATTAACCTGGAGCAATTTTCCACAAATTTTGAAGAAAGAATGAAACATAATTTTTTTCTGAAAAGTCTTGGTGGATATCTTTCGAAGACCTCCATTCCCTTTTTTTCTTTTAGCAAATCCTGTTCAAAGTGTTTAAACCAAGAGCCAAGGAAATGAAGTTAATGAAAATATAACAAAAATACTTTTTTTTTAAACTTTAAATTCCTTATAATTTTGCCATGATGTAACACGGAACACACAATTAATTACAGGAAAACGACCAAATTTTAAGTACTGGTTTTTTTTCTTGTCTTTATTTACTTTTTCCAACTTAAGCCCACTAGGTATTACACAAGTAATCCAATGATTCGAAATTACTTTAAAATGAAAAACAATATGAAAATGTATACTTTGCACAGTGTTTGAAGATGGATATTTATTAAATACTTGCACACTTAGTCAAGTCGCCATCAAAATATTATGTTTTATAACACCTCAGCCACAGATTCTGTGTCTTGATTGGCCGAGAGCGAGTCACATGTTACTTTTTTATTTTGCTATCTTTCTGTGCACGGCCAAAAGTACTATACCCGTAGCAACAAAGTACTATACCATTGGCAACCAAAGTATTATTTCCACGGCGCTGTATTTGTGTGCATATGGATGCTTGTGTGCGCGTTGCGCGTATTGTTCCAAAGAGAGCGCGCCGCAGACTTGGGTTGAAACATTTCGTTAAGGGGTAGTTTGGAAGAGAGAAATACATTTTCCACGCATTTTGTATTGAAATTGAAGTTTATTTCAACTGTGTTCAGATTTAAATAATTTAAAATATTAAAATCAAGCAGAATCTGTGGGTGAAGTGTTATAAAACAAATATTGAATGCTTTATCTCGTGGTGAAGTAAAACTAGCCTCCCTCGATGATCCATGGACCATTCTATTTTCCCTCGGCTTCGCCTCGGGAAAATAGAATGTCCATGGATCACCTCGGCAGGCTAGTTTTACTACACCACTCGAAGCATTCAATACTTGTATAATATTCTGGATAACGGATCATACCACACACAGCACAAATTCCATCTACTCGCATTGAACCATTCTGTGGTGTGTGAATGCCATCTTTTGCCATGCCCACAGCTTGAATAATTACTTTGATGATGATTGTATGAAGGCCAGTTCATACCTCATGCGAATGCAATGCGAATTTGACATCACTAAGCATTCGCTGCGAAACTCACCGGAGTTGAAATGTGCTCAACTTTTGCAAACTTACAGCACAAAAACATGCCTTGTGAACCGGCCTTAAGGAAGCAAGGCATGGAGTTTTGAATGCTTTCAATATTGTGGGTTTCTTACTATACACTTTGATGACATTTTTCAAGACAGAGATATTCTTTTCAATTTAACACTTTCAGCCACTTTCTCTGAAGAGTTGTTCATAAATTAATTCCAAAAAATCAGTTCATCTGAAGACACTGGATAAGACTTAAAAGGAGAAAACAGTACTGGCACGACCATGTAATTATTGAATATTGATCAAAACCATGTGCATATGAGCTTGCTTTTAAAACAAAATGTGAATCAATGATTTGTTGAAATGGCAGCTGCAGCTTGCATTTTAGGTCAACAAGGGTTAGAGAAAAATAAATAAATTACACCTATTTCAAGCAAAACAGTCACCTTCCTGTGTACTAGTGGCTTCAAAGTACTATTGTTTTCTTAATGCAAAAAATGATACAATGTCCTTGAAATCACAAGCATCAACCCTCAAAAAGAGGGAATTATTTTTGGACTTCTCAAAATCTAGGAAAGTGGGGTGGGTAGTTGCAAGTGCGGTTTGTCCGAATTGCATGAAATTTGCTTTAAAAATGATTTTAAGGCTCAGCATGAAAATAAAAGTGAAAATGATATTGGGTAAAAAATGTAGACGGGGTAGACGATCAAAGTATATTCCCATCCCCCCCCCCCCAACAAAAAACAAGTCATAGCATCATGGTTATTATCAGAAGATACTGGTATGTTGAACTCGGGCACCTGGCCCGATGAAATAATGCAGGTTCTTTCAAAAATGTCCACAACACCTTAGGCTGCTGCCATACAACCCATGTCCGAGCAAGGAGCTCAGCCAGACATCATGGATAGGCTTGAGTTTGGCGGAGGGAGAAAAAGCCTCGTGGCACAGGAGAGAATCAACGAACAACTCCACTCACATATGGTCCGCAGCCAGAAATCGAACCCGGGCCACAGTGGCGAGAGGCGAGCACTCCACACACTTGCCAGCAACAATGACAAAGGAAATGAGACTTTTTAATGACAGTCTTAAACAGAAATGAATGTCTCGAGTTGAAGCAGCATGTCAGAAGATGACACTTGTGTGATTTGGAAATGGAACTAATCGAGAAGTTCTCCATGAAAATACGGATAATATGGTTGAAAAAATAAAAAGGCCTGAATGACTGAATAAATAAGGACTGAAATGTTGGTGGTTACGAACTCAAATTGTCAACTTTGATACCGTTTTGTGACCGTTTGTCGGGCCAGTGATGAGAGAGTCCTGCCCGCTGCCTGAGCTTCACCAAGTCAGGGGCGTTTTGGTATAATTGGTGGGGCGTCTCTCGTATCACGCCCCTCCTGTAGGACTGCCTGGGCTTTAGTTTAGATTGGTTTTCCGCTGAATTTATGGTGGGCACCGTGGTTAGGTCCAGTGAAAATCTAAATATATACAAATAACATCAAAAGAAGGTCAGCCGTCTACCACTATTTTTTTAAGAGGGGGAACTGCTGTCGATGAGATATGCACAACTCTCACCTCAAAAGATCGTGGCTTAGAGTGGCGGAGCTGCGAAAGCACCAAGCGACTGGAGCAAAGATTAAGTCAGCATGCACAAATGGCGAAGCCACGAGGCCTTTTCCAACTTGATTTTGTTGAATTATTCATTGTTTTTATGCAAATTAGAGTGCTGGAAAGTTAACCAATCACAACGCGGATTTTGTCTAGTTGCTTCCATTTGTGAAAGAAGGGTGAGTAAAAAAACCGTAAGAGCAAATAACTGTAAGTTCAGATGAAAAATAAGTTCATACACTCAAATAATTTCTTGAAATACTTTTATAAGTAAAATAAAAATAAGATAATGTAAGAACAATTACAAGGTCACGATCTCGTGGAAAACTAGACTCGCATTTTTTGTTTTAATTTTTGTGCAAGCGTCCGGGCGCGTCGACGCGTCCGGGTAGTAGCCACGCACGCACTAAAAGGCTGATGATTGGTTGGAATTTTGCTACCCTTTTGGCAAGACACTTTACTACAATTGCCTCTCTCCACCCAAGGAGAATAAATGGGTACCTGTGAGGGTAGAGAACAGATTACTCACATAATCATCGCAAAGACTTACATGTATAACATAAAAAATGTGCGTGGGTATTCTCCTTGTGGATGCCAACAGTAGAGTGAAAACACTGAAATCCATGAATATCTTAGAGGGTTCAACTTTTGATATGTGTGGAACACAGCGTGCGCGAATTCTTGGACTTGCCCAAATTCATTTGATTGTTTTTTTTTTTCATTTGGCACATATAGCTCCTTATTAACCTTAATAGAAAAGTTTTGTATCAGAATAGAATCAATCAATCAGTTAATTATTCTGTATACCTGCATGTACAATACAAAGTAAAGTAATCACTAATTTTTATAAAAATAGTTATTACATCTTTACAGTATTTGTAAAACACATGTCAAAATGTTTTCCTACTGACAGTCATTGCACTTTATACAACACCTGAATAAATCCCTGTTATCTGATTGGTGGATCGTTGATCACACGTCATTGAATTATTCGTACCAACGCACGGCGCGCACGTGGTGCGCAGCGCACAGTACAATGGTAGTTCTATTGCACGGTGAATAGAACTTCCATTGCACGGTGTCACTGCTGCTGGCGCTGTTTTAAATCGAGATATATTGCATATGATTGTTCTCAACCTGTTGAACAGTTTGCATTAATATAAATATGATGAACTAGTCAAACTTTTAACAGTTTTTAACCTGAATAAATTGGCTATTTAAAGTCAACCAATCAGATGACAAGGATTTATTCAGGTGTTATATAAAACAAATAATGAATGTTTCACGTTCGTGCAACGGAAAGAATAATTTCATTTGGTGACAGATGAAAATGTTCTATTATTCTTACCATTGCACTCACAAACATTCATTATTTGTTTACTAAAAAAGTAATATATATATATACATGCATCGGTACTTGCACAAACATCAAACCCTGTTACTAGCATCAGTGCTAAAAATGTCATCTAAAAATAATGTCACAGAAATTGTCAAATAATTTGTTTTAAATATTTTTTTCTGAACTGAATGAAGTAATATGGGCCGAGTTCGGGTAGTCAGTTCTTGACGCGGTTATATTGTTCTTGCAAATCCCTGACGGATGGGTGTTGTGTGATCCTGTTCCGAGTGCAGTGTTCGCGGGTTGTGTTCCCGCCGTTCAAGCGAGAGAACAATTTATCCGTGTCAAGAGCAGACCGCCCGAACTCGGCCATGATGTCTCCCAGGTTTTGTTTCCGTGGTAATGAAATATTTCTCTTTTATGGTTGACTTTACACCAGAACAATGGTTCTTCAAAAAAGGCATTTCCTTGGACATGCGTCTTTCCAAAAGTTTCATTAAGTCTTCATTCAAATTTGACTTTAATTGTTTTTCTAAGATTATAAATTAAAAAGTAAATTTTCCCCAATAACTTACCAAAAGTTGGGAAAAAAAACAGTCAGGAGTCAAACATGCCTAGTACTTTGAAGTAAGAAAATTATATCACAATGCTTCATTATGAAGTACTTTTTTTTAGTTATTTGTTTTGTTTTTACATTTGTTTAGATTTCTGTTTTCTGAAAACATATATGTCAGTCATGCAACTGGAAATTTACAAAAAACGAGGAAATGCCTTACCACAGAAGACTCTGTACAGTGTTTTTCAATTTGTAATGGCATTCATGAGAAGTAAAAAAAAAAAAGAAGGAAATCAGCGGATCCGAGGAAAAAATTGCATGTCTGATATAAAAAAAAAAACTAGAATAATGCGGTCATAAAAATGGTCAATAAATAATTTGAATAAATAAGAAAGACAATAAAATTTCGGCAAAACAATATTTCCACGTTGATAAAATTGTTGAATAAGATAAAGCAAAAGCATTTTATCGGCTACCTGGCAGAGAATTCGTGTACATCTCGCTTGTACCATCGTATTAATCCGTCCTGATCCAGACGCTTTAAGATCGAAACCTCTTTCTTGAAGTCGTGACTGCCTTTGACGTTTTTGAATTTAACGAACGACTTGTCGTAGTAGTGCTCCGAGTATGCGCCGGTGAAGCCCATGCCGTAGACACTGACCGAGTCGCAGCCGGCGTGAAGCGCAGTGAAAAACATCATGCCGCCCGTCGTTGGCCGAAAGGATCGGGTGTTTTCCCAACTGTTTAAAAGGGAGAGAGAATTCATCCTGAAGCTCACATTTTCCTTGCACATTAACAAATGCTAGTATTCTGTGTTGTTGTTCTTTCATTACCACATTGTTTATTGACTTGGCTCTCCCCATGACCAAATTGTTTGCTCAGTCATGAGGAAATCACTAGAGCGTGAAACAAACGACCACAAGTCCAAAACTCACTTTTTTCAACCCAGATTTTCACTACCAAGGAGTGATTTAAATCATAGGTGTTGTGTGTAACGTTTGTTCCTTGAACCTTACTCTTTTATGTGATGTAAAAATGAAGTCCATACGTGCAAATATAAGAAAGTTATGCCTTTTTGTTCATCTGGTCCCAATGATCAAACTGCAAGCCATTTCACCACATGACCAAATGGCACTCCATACCTCAAATTGTGCGTGGATACTTCTGAAGCACTTTTCTCATTTTTTTGTAATGGTAACACTATGAATAAACAACACCAATAGAATGATGTATGGGCAGCCAAACATATCAACATGCTGCCTTTCTGAAAAGTAGTGAATATGTCTGTGTTGAGAGTGTTTTGTGTGTGGTTTCCTGGTCGACTAAAGTCGCCCATGGGAATCAGCAGGGGGGTAGTTCTTGTCGACAAAAGTCGCCCATGGTAAGGAAAGGGTTAACAAATGCTAGTATTCTGTGTTGTTGTTAAGACCATCACAAGTCCTTCGCAAGTCTGGTCATAAGTAACAGGGGGTGAACAATAACAAAGGAATGCCTTTGTTACAATCCATTTGAATAGGTTGTGACTTGGCTTAGGACTAGTTGACTTGTGAGGACTTGTGAGGACTTGTGATGGGCTTGACTACAACACTGCCAGTGTCCTGTTCAACACATCTGTATCATCATCATAGGGCCAAAAAAAAAAGTCTTCGGTTTCTGGTATGGAGCTTGCCCCAAAAGTGGTGTGGCGACACGGCTTTTTTCTTTTCTTTTTTTTTCCTTTTTTTTCCTTCAACTGTCGGCTGATGACTGCAAATGGTGCCCGACTAAATTTAGTGCAAAATGTATGGGAGCCCAGAGAGGCCACATTAAGCTTATACTCAATCATAACCCCATCTAAAAACACATTAAAATTGTGCAGCAGCAGGATTCCAGTCAAACCAGTGAGTTTGGCGGTTTTGAGACATCATCTTACATTAAAAAAAAAAAAAATTTTGCCGACGCGCATGGCTACGGCGACGCACGCGCATACCAGAAACCGGAGACTTTTTTTTTGGCCTAGTGAGAACTACATGTATTTTGAAGGGAATGTAACTACAGAGTGTGCCCAAAAAAACAAAGATACAGAAAACAAATAATTATAAACTTGTTAATGTTTTTTCTACAATGAAATTATACATTACATTAAAGCCTGACTATTTCTCAGTCCATTCTATGGTCCCTAGGTCCCAAAATACAATCAATCAAAATGAAAGGGTGTCAATTTCACTTGGGCCACCCTCACCTGTGATGTCACCAACTTCAATGCCTATTCAATGCTTAACCCAGATTCAGCATGTCCAGGTGAGAGTGACCAAGATAAAGGTTACACCCTTTCACTGAATTGATTGTATTTCTGGATCTAGGGACCCAAATGGAATGGGGTCAAAAGGAGTGGACTGTGAAATAGTCAGGCTTTAATGTAACATATAATTTCATTGAAGAAAGAAACATTAAACAGTTTTAATTATTCATTTTCTGAACTTGCACTTTTTTTGGCATACTCTGTATGTATCTCTTGAAGCTATGTTCTTGTACACAGCAAAGTTTTAGGCCCCCCGGCTTACATTTTGTGGTTGTATCTGATGAAATCTGGATGAAGTATCCTGACGTCCTGAACATTGACGCGGAGTTTTAATTTTGGACTGCGGCCGGTGGCTGCTTCCTTGACGTACCGGTAGTCCTGCTTGCGACACGGCATAAAGACGTACTTGATTCCCTGATGAACGACGGGAAAAACAATTGTTAGGGAATGTGTGATCGGTGGTTCCGCGGTTCGAGTCCAGCTGAAGAACTTGTGTTGTTTGCTGAAGATTTCAGAATGGCAAAATGTGTGATCTGAGGGTCTGGGGCAGGGTGACCGTAAGGTCATGGCCAAATTCTGCTAAATGCCCGTCAAAAATCTGTCAAATATATCAAAAATCTGCCAAATTTCCATGAAATACACTATATTGTTGATGTACCCTAACGTGGCGCGGCCCCTAACGTGGCACACTTTGATTTTTCGCCTGTAACGCCTACCTAGAGCAAAAGTTTTAACTGAAATTTCCAAGAAAGTGAAATTTCATCAAGTTCTAAACACTCCTCTTCATAAATCGCGAGTTTATTTACCCGTAACAAAGTTAGAAGAAAAATTTATTTTGGCGTGATTTTCCGATTTTATTTTCAAGTGCAAAGTGAACCCTTTAAAAATGCCCCAAAAAATAAGAAAATGATTTTCTGACAAACATCTGGCTGGGCATGTAAGTAGAGATAATAATTGATTATCAGAATTTATCAAGTTTACAGACATTCTTAAATGTTAAATTGGAATTTTCCGAGATTTATTCAAGTGCGCCACGTTAGGGAACACTCCGCCAATTTGTGCCCAATTTCCGGACGCCACCGTTTTTGAATTTCGGATTAAATTTTATGAAACTGAAATTGTTCACAGAGGTTAAATAGCAAGCATTAATAAGGTAAAAGTACTAGTGTTTTACTGCATGAATTTGAGGTTTGTCAACAAAGAGGTTTGGCAACACTACACGAGGAAAGTCGGGTAAGCTTCGAAGTGCGCCACGTTAGGGAACACGACTATAAACACTTAAAATCACATGCAAATGTAGTAATATTGCCTTATTAAACTAAGGTTCAAATTACATTATAAACAATCAATGGTCATATAAAGGTGTTGTGAAATTGCGTAAATTTCAGTCAAAACGAGGTTGCGTTATGACGAAATCCGATACCCAGTGAACCCCAGCATCTAGCTAAACCAGCCAACCTGTCCCATTATGCAAGGGTTTGTTTGCAAAGATTGAAGCTTTTTTAAACAAATCTACATTTTTTTTCCAAATTTGCTATGTTTTTCTGTCAAATAACAATTTTTGCAGAATTCTGCAAGAAATCTGCCCAAAAAATCCATTCTGTCAAATTTTCTGTCAAACTCATTTTTTTTTACAAAAAATCCGTCAAAGTTTGCCGAAAATCGGCTAAAATGGTCACTTTGGTCTGGAGTTCGAATCCAGGTGGTGGTCTTGTGTTGTTTACTTTAGATTAAGATTGAAAAGCTTGAGTTAAAGGAATGTGTGATCAGGGGATGTAGGGATCAAATCCAGCTGCTGGCTCTGTGTTGTGTCATTTGGATTGAAACTGAAGACTTTAAATAACGTCTGGGGTTTGAATCCAGACGCTGACCTTATGTTGTTTAGAATAAGACTTTAACTCTTGACAGGGGAGTGTGTAATAATAGGATCTGTGGTTCAAATCCAGTTGCTGTCCTTTTATTGCCCTGAATGCTGGAGTGCTGTGGCCTAGTGGTTAAGGGCACTGGATTCGTGGTCTATGGGTAAAGCTGCAGGTTGTGGGTTCGAGTCCAGCCGGGGTCATGGTGCGTGTGCCCTTGAGCAAGGCACTTTGTCACTCATTACTTCTCTCCACCCAGGAGTAAATGGGTACCTGTGAGGGCAGAGATGGTTATTGTGATTGAATAAGCTTGCTTGCGCCTATCAGGCAGCATCGAGCTGTATACTCCCCAGGGAGCTGAGATGGTATTTGGAATGTTTAATTGGTCCAATGATCAGGGGTAATAATAATACTGTAAGCGCTGTGATTTAGTTTACTAATAAGAGCGTTCTTAAATGCCGATTATTATTATTATTATTAAACAGAATGAAAACCGTGAATGGAAGAGTGTTCGATCAGAGGTTCGAGGTTCGAATCTAGCTGCTGTCCTGTGCTGTTTGGAATCAACTTGAACGGGGAAGTGTGTGATCTGAGGGTCTAGGGTTCAAATCCAGACTTTCTGCAGAATCAGGGAGAGTTGGCAGCTCTGTAGAGTGTAGGGACACAAAGGTACCCCTCTGTCTCAAATTGTGCACAGTACAAGGGCCAGGGGTTCAAATCCAGCTGCTGTCCTTGTGTTACTTAAAATACAAATGAAAACCTTGCACGGGGGAGTGTGTGATCAGAGGGTCCGAGGTTCGAATCCAGCTGCTTTCCTTATCTTGAATGAGGGAGGTGTGATCAGAGGGTCAGGGGTTCAAATCCACCCACGTCCCTCTACTCACCTCATCCCTAGGGATATCTCTGTCCTTTGTGTTTCGGAGTGACCGGTCCATCAATACAAGGTGAGTGGTTCGATTCCCGACATCATCTTCGTAACCACGTCTGATGCAGTGGTTGACTCTGTAAACAGATAGGATTCATCGCAACAATCAATGATTAAATCAAATCAGATTTTGCCCTTCATCGACGTGTGAATACTGTATACTCAGTGTGTTACTTCCCGAGTGAAAGTTGGAAAACATCACTCAGGTGGGACTCGAACCCACAACCTCCTGCTTTCTAGTGCAGATGTCTTACCACTCGACCACCGAGCTAACAGGATCGGTTGGCTGGTTCAAATCTGATGTACATAGCAGCAGGTACCACATTAACTATTCATAAAAATAATGATGAGTGATGCTTTCCAACTTTCACTCGGGAGGTAACACACTGAGTATACAGTGTTTATACGTTAATTGGTGAAGGGCAAAATCTAACTTGATTTACATCACCCCGACGCAAAATTCCATCTTGTGAATCAATGATTACAAACATAGCAGACTCTTTAAATGCATTTCAAATCAATTCAACCAGTAAAAACTATGCTTCTTATTTTAGTTGATTACTCTTTCAATTGAGCACTTCAATATCACTGTCTGACTAGAAATGACTTTTCAGTCAAAATATTTTAATGTTATTCACAGTTTTAGGTTTGTTTCAGTAACAGTCATCAATTTTTCAGTTATCCTCCATCATCATTCTAAAATGGTGCTTGCATGCAAATACATGTGCCAACGTGCGACTTCACGAACCTGTTCAAACCTGTTCAAACCAGATCCAACCTGTCAAAACTGCTATGAGGCAACCGGAAGTCAGTTTATTCAGAGCTACTCACCTGAACACCATATCATGTTCATGGATTTCCTTACCAATTTACATGACCGACTTCACAGAGTTGGTCGTATGGCCTAAACCAGTTCCAACCAGCTCCAACCAGTCATAACTAGTGCAAGGAAACGAGAAGCCAGCTACTAACCTGAACACCATGTCATGTCCGTCAATTTCCTTGCCCATCTTGGATCCGTTGAGGATGCCTCCGTTACCGACCACAGCACAGGATACACACTGTGGTCTGGACTTTTGTCTCGTAAAGTCAAAGATGGAGTCAGACTTAGGGAACAAGTTCAGGACATCAATGAGCTCTATTGAAGGAAAAAAAATTATTGTTAAAAACCAAAAAAAAATAGTATCATTTGGTCTATTATTTGCCTATTACCCTGTACCCTAGCCCTGGAACATAAGTGTTCTTCTTAAGACCTTTGGCTGCTGGACTTGGACCTGATCTTGCTTCCTACTGGAAGTCAGTTCACTACCATGGGACCCTTGCCGATTGCCCTGGGACCAATGCTGACTGCCCTGGGACCCTTGCCGACTGCCCTGGGACCCTTGCCGACTGCCCTGTGACACTTGCTGACTGCCCTGTGACACTTGCTGACTGCCCTGGGGCCTTTGCTGACTGTCCTGGGGCCAATGCTGACTGCCCTGGGACCCTTGCTGACTGCCCTGAGACCCTTGCCGACTGCCCTGGGACCAATGCCGACTGCCCTGGGACCCTTGCCGACTGCCCTGGGACCCTTGCCGACTGCCCTGTGACACTTGCCGACTGCCCTGTGACACTTGCTGACTGCCCTGGGGCCTTTGCTGACTGTCCTGGGACCAATGCTGACTGCCCTGGGACCCTTGCTGACTGCCCTGAGACCCTTGCTGACTGCCCTGTGACCCTTGCTGACTGCCCTGGGACACTTGCTGACTGCCCTGGGACCCTTGCTGACTGCCCTGGGACCCTTGCTGACTGCCCTGGGACCCTTGCCAACTGCCCTGGGACCCTTGCCGACTGCCCTGTGACCCTTGCTGACTGCCCTGGGACACTTGCTGACTGCCCTAGGACCCTTGCTGACTGCCCTGGGACCCTTGCTGACTGCCCTGGAACACTTGCTGACTTCCCTGGGACCCTTGCTAACTGCCCTGGGACCCTTGCTGACTTCCCTGGGACACTTGCTGACTGCCCTGTGACCCTTGCTGACTGCCCTGGGACACTTGCTGACTGTCCTGGGACCAATGCTGACTGCCCTGGGACCCTTGCTGACTGCCCTGAGACCCTTGCTGACTGCCCTGTGACCCTTGCTGACTGCCCTGGGACCCTTGCTGACTGCCCCAAGACCCTTGCTGACTGCCCTGAGACCCTTGCTGACTGCCCCGAGACCCTTGCTGACTGCCCCGAGACCCTTGCTGACTGCCCTGAGACCCTTGCTGACTGCCCTGGGACCCTTGCTGACTGCCCTGGGACCCTTGCCAACTGCCCTGGGACCCTTGCTGACTGCCCTGGGACCCTTGCTGACTGCCCTGGGACACTTGCTGACTGCCCTGTGACCCTTGCTGACTGCCCTGGGACCCTTGCTGACTCCCCTGGGACACTTGCTGACTGCCCTGGGACCCTTGCTGACTGCTCTGGGACCCTTGCTAACTGCCCTGGGACCCTTGCTGACTCCCCTGGGACACTTGCTGACTCCCCTGGGACCCTAGCTGACTGCACTGGGACCCTTGCCGACTGCTCTGGGACCCTTGCTGACTGCCCTAGGACCCTTGCCGACGGCCCTGGGATATGAGCTTACTGCCCCTGCCCTGGGACATAGGGGTTCTTCTTAAGACTTTTAGCTCATGGCCTGGGACCTGATCTTGCTTCCCACTGAAACACAATCTACTGCCCTGGGACCGTTGCCAATTGCCCTGGGACGCTTGCCGACTGCCTTGGGACTTGAGCCTACTGACTCTGCCCCGAGACGTGGGGGTTCTTCTTAAGACTTTTGGCTCATGGCCTTTGACCTGGTCTTGCCTCCTATGGGAACTCAGCCCACTGCCCAGGGACCTCAGCCCACTGCCCTGGGGCTCAAGGCTACTGCCCTGGGAACTCAGGCCACTGCCCTGAGGCCCAAGCCTATTGCCCTGGGAAATCAGCCCACTGCCCTGAGGCCAAAGCCTACTGCCTTAGGAACTCATCCCATTGCACTGAGGCCCAAGCCAACTGCCCTGGGAACTCAGGCTACTGCCCTGGGGCCCAAGCCTACTGCCCTGGGAACTCAGCCCATTGCCCCGGGGCTCAAGGCTAATGCCCTGTGAATTCAGCCCACTGATCTGAGGCCAAGGCCTGCTGCCCTGAGACCTCAGCCCACTGCCATGGGCATGATGGGGCCCAAGCCTACTGCCCTGGGACCCCAAGTGTCCTCGAAACTCAGCCCATTGCCCTCGAAACTTAGACCACTGCCCTGGGACCTCAGCCTAATGCCCTGGGAGCTCAGCCCACTGCCATGGGACCTCAGCGTAATGCTATGGGAGCTCAGCCAACTATCCTGGGAGCACAACCTACTGCCCTGGGAGCTCAGCCTACTACTCTGGGAGCTCAGTCTATTGCCCTGGGAGCTCAGACTACTACCCTGGGAGCTCAGCCTAATGCCCTGGGAGCTCAGACTTCTACCCTGGAAGCTCAGCCTACTGCCATGGGACCTCAGCGTAATGCCCTGGGAGCTCAGCCAACTACCCTGGGAGCTCAGCCTACTACCCTGGGAGCTCAGCCTACTGCTCTGGGAGCTCAGCATATTGCCCTGGGAGTTCAACCCACTACCATGAGACCTCAGCACAATGCCACGGGAGCACAACCTACTGCCCTGGGAGCTCAGCCTACTACTCTGGGAGCTCAGCCTATTGCCCTGGGAGCTCAGCCCACTGCCATGGGACCTCAGCGTAATGCCCTGGGAGCTAAGCCTACTACCCTGGGAGCTCAGCCTACTACCCTGGGAACTCAGCATACTGCCCTGGGAGCTCAGCCTACTACCCTGGGAGCTCAGCCTACTACCCTGGGAATTCAGCCTACTGCCCTGGGAACTCAGCATACTGCCCTGGGAGCTCAGCCTACTACCCTGGGAGCTCAGCCTTATGCCCTGGGAGCTCAGCCCACTGCCATGGGACCTCAGCGTAATGCCCTGGGAGCTCAGCCTACTACCCTGGGAGCTCAGTCTACAACCCTGGGAACTCAGCCTACTGCCCTGGGAACTCAGCATACTGCCCTGGGAGCTCAGCCTACTACCCTGGGAGCTCAGCCTAATGCCCTGGGAGCTCAGCCCACTGCCATGGGACCTCAGCGTAATGCCCTGGGGAGCTTAGCCTACTACCCTGGGAGCTCAGCCTACTACCCTGGGAATTCAGCCTACTGCCCTGGGAACTCAGCATACTGCCCTGGGAGCTCAGCCTACTACCCTGGGAGCTCAGCCTTATGCCCTGGGAGCTCAGCCCACTGCCATGGGACCTCAGCGTAATGCCCTGGGAGCTCAGCCTACTACCCTGGGAGCTCAGTCTACAACCCTGGGAACTCAGCCTACTGCCCTGGGAACTCAGCATACTGCCCTGGGAGCTCAGCCTACTACCCTGGGAGCTCAGCCTAATGCCCTGGGAGCTCAGCCCACTGCCATGGGACCTCAGCGTAATGCCCTGGGAGCTTAGCCTACTACCCTGGGAGCTCAGCCTACTACCCTGGGAACTCAGCCTACTGCCCTGGGAACTCAGCATACTGCCCTATGGGAGCTCAGCCCACTACATCCTGGGACCTCACCTTCATAGGTGAAATTCTGATGGTACTTGAATCCAAATGGCATCCAGTAGGTGACAAGTCGCTGGTATTCCTTCCTGCTGATATTGGTGCTGGTCAGCAACTGTTTAATCTCAGGGTGATACAGCTCCGATGTCCATGAAGTATTGGCACTTAGCCTTGTTTGGAGGGATGTCGGACATGTCTGGGATCAGAAGATGAGGAAATTTATCACATGTGAGAGTTAACCACAAGGAAATACATGCATCAAGAAATAAAGTCTACAGGTAATTTTAAAATCAAATCTAAATTTTTACATTAAAGTAAGGTTGCTACATTTGTTGTAAATTGTTTCAATAAAATGTGATATTTCTACCACCAGTATCCAGAAAATGGTATCGTCACTAAGGGTGTACATTTCCAGGTAGTATTGGAATCGGTACCCGATTAGAAAAAAAAACTGTTACAGAATCCCAACCCCAAAATACAAATCTCGGAAGTTGGTTTTCACATTGTTCATGAAGGTCCCCATGATAATACTACCACATCGGTGCATCACTAAAGAAAAATATAAACTTACAGTGAGCTCTTTAGCGTTACGGTGCAAATTACAAACGTGAATCTGTTTTGTTTTTCCATGTAGCCTGGTTTTCATTTTGAAAATTCCCCATCAATGACACTCAAAACCTTTCTTTTTCATTTTCTGAGAAGTTACAATGTAAGTTAATCACATGTAAAGTTAATTACGGTTGCTCGATTCTATAATCTGTAACCGGTTCCCAACATCAGCGGTTGGGTAATTGGGTACCCGGGGACAGTCCTAGTCATAACAGCGGCCCCATTCGCTAAAATAAATGTGGTCCATTACTGTACTATCGTACCGATGGTGAAAAGAAGTCATTCTGCCTGAAGCTGAATTCCGGGGTGGCGTTCTTAAACGTGACCAGATGGGTCTCCGAGAGTTTTCTAAGGTTGGTCTCCACGGCGCTGAGTGTTGTAGCCCTCTGCATGGCTTGTGTCGATATATTTGATGGTGCAGGCACACGCGACGTTACTTTTGGCAATTTTGGCAAATTGATGCCACCAGGATGCCTGGGGGAAAAAAAAAACAATCACACTTAAACAAAGGATCTGTGGGTATTAGACAAATTATGACAACTCATATGGTCCAGAACAAATAAATGTTTTGTTCTTGGGTAACAGTGCAAAAAAGGAAGGATCCTGGGGTAGTTTTTTTTTGGACAAGCGGACATAGGCCTACAGTGTACATGTTTGTAAAAAGCAAATCCATGCTTATTTTTTTAATTTTTTTTTTACGATTCCAAATATGCCAAATAAAAATACAATTTAAAACAAAATTATTGACTATGACATACCGGTGTCATATGAAAATCGGACTCGTGTGAAAATCGGACTCTTTTTCCCTTTTATTGGTTAAACCCTCTCACGTGACTGGTCCCTCTACTAATTATCTATGCATGAGCATGCGCAATACCACCAATGAGTCCGTATTTCATAAAGCCTAGATTCATGCTACACCGGTATAAAAACAAATTCAACAGCTGACCCTATGTACATCATAAAGGTTTGGGTCAGCATGGTCAGTGGGTCGGGTCGGTCAGGTTACCGGAAAAAAAAAAAAAACTTTTGGGACGTGATCATTTTAAAGAATTTGGTATAAAATTGGCACTTGTTGTCTCTGTTGAAAAAAGAATTTTGGCATAATGATGTTTTACAGAATTTGTGTTTTTGTCCACAATAGAGCTGCCTCTACTGACACACAAATGTGTGGAAGAAACTACTGTGAAGGAAATCAGGGCCCAATTTCTTGGCTCTGCTTACCGTTAACGAAAAATCCCTGCTTAGCAGACCATTAATCCGTGCATTAATACGGTTAGCATGGTTAGCGTATTTCACAGGTTAGTGAGGAATTGGGTGGCATGGGTGCATGGCTTGTGCGTAAAGCACTCGCCTCTCACCAAGGTGACCCCGGTTCGAATCCCGGCCGCGGGACACATGTGAGTAGAGTTGTGCGTTGGTTCTCTCCTGTGCCACGAGGGTATTTCTCCGGGCCCTCCGATTTTCCTCCCTCCGGAAAAATCAAACACTTTCGATCTCAGGCTGTGCTCCGTGGTCATATATGGGTCGATGTGGCCGGCAGCCATAGGCGCCTTTCTGTGCCAGCGGCCCGACCACGTTGTAGCCGCGTCCTTCGCAATTCACTTTCCCAGCTGCCAGTAAGGATGATTAGCCTCCCAAATTATATTATTATAATTTTGGCAAACGGGTTAGCACAGAATTTGTGTGCTAGAGCGGTTAATAGCACAAAATTTGTGGCCGTAAGCGTGGAATTCTGTGGTTAGCAGAGCCAAGAAATTGGGCCCAGGTTGGTATGTTGAAAGTAAATGAATATGTAATTAAATTTTGTTCAAAAACAACTGAAATAGTTCATGATTACAAAACTTTAAACCAGTGTGACATGTACTCCAAATTTCCAAAATACAAGTTGGGAATGGTTTGTTATGTTCTCAACTTTTTTCAGGATGGGGGAGTGATGCAAAAAAAAAAAAAAATATTTGACCAAACATATTGCTTTAATCTTTGTGTCTGTATCAAATTTCTTATTAAAGGGAAAATACAACATTTGCAAACATAAAAAAATACAACTACCAAATCATTTTGAAATACCTTGCTGGACTGTTAGTGAATGACAGTGTAAAGCATCCTGTAAAATCATGGCACCTGGTATACTGTCATTTTCAAGAAAAGTGGTATTTTTGTATCAATTTCCAACGCTGATCGGCCGATCAGCGTTGGAAAAAACTGGCTTTTTTTCAAATACTGGCCCCAATTGACCATCGCACTTGTTTGCAATCGATTACAAACCTATAAACGGGTATGAGCCAGCTAGACTGGTTCCCTGACCTTACAATTCCCCAATGTATGTAAACTGCTCTGTTTCTTCTTATATGGAGTCAGGGAACCAGACTACAGGAAAATGATCGTTTTTCTTGGTTTTTATAGCATTTTCGAACCCAAAACCTCAAAAAAGTCAGTGTAACTATATTTGCTATATATTTCCAACCCCCCAATTCCATCCATTTCTGAAAATTACAGCAAAAGCAAATGATGTATATTCCCTTTAAAGGGAATGTACAGCCTTTGCTCTTGCTGCAATTTTCAGAAATAAATAGATTAGGAGGATTAGCATGTTATAGAAAATATTGTTAAACTGACGTAACTCACGTTTTGGGCTTGTAGATGCTGGAAAAACCACGAAAACCTATCATATTCTTGTAGTCTGGTTCCCTGACCCCACTTAAGATGAAACGGAGCAATTAATACAATTTGGGGAATTGTAAGGTCAGAGAATAAGTCTAGCAAGCTTGAACCCCTTCACAGGTGTGTAATCAATTGCAAAGAAAAGTCAGAATAACTAAATATGAAAAAGTAGGAACAGTTTTTGAAAAAAGCCAGTTTTCTCCAACGCTGGTCGGCCGACCAGCGTTGGAAAAATACAGTTTTTCTTGAAAATGTCAGCCCACCAGGAACCACGATTTTAAAGGATGTTTTAGACTGTCATTCCCTAACAATTTAGTAAGGTATTTCGTGATAATTTGACCATTTTGTTTTTTGATGTTTGCAAATGTTGTATTTTCCCTTTAAATCACGGTGAATAACATCAAAATGCTCTGATACATTCAACTACTGGTAGAAGAGTTGAAAGAATCACTTTAATAAAGGCTCTTGCAATAAGTGATCCGTACGGTAGGCTATCTATACATTTCCATGTACCGCCGTAACAGCTTACAATGTACAACAATCATTGACAATGTGCACCGCACCAAAACCTTGGCTGTTATATGGTATCCCGTGAGCACCGTTGTATTTTGTGCCTCTTAAAGGGGAATATACAACATTTGCAAACATCGAAAAATAAAAATACCAAGTTTTTCAAAATACCTTACTAAGATGTTGGTAAATGACAGTCTAAAGCATCCTGTAAAATTATGGCACCTGGTGTGAAGTCATTTTCAAAAAAATTGTATTTTTGTATACATTTCCAACGGTGGTCGGCCGACCACCGTTGGAAAAACCTAACTATATTTTTCAACTACTGCTCCAAATCTACCTTTTTTTTCAGTCCAAAGTTTGTTTGCTATTGGTTACATGTTGATGAACGGGAGCAGGCAAGCTAGACTGGTTCCCTTACCTTACAATTTCCTGGCATCTATAAAATGTTCCATTTTATCTTTAGTGGAGTCAGGGAACTAGACTACTTGAACATTTTTGCTTTTCTTGGTTTACCAGCATTTCCGGACACAAAATTTCAAACATGTCAGTGTAACAATGTTTGATCTATTATACTAACCCCTTAAATAGTTCATTTCTGAAAATTACAGCAAAAGCCAATGATTGTATTCCCTTTAATGCACAAAAATATCTACACATTTTCAACCTGAACTATTATCAGACAACAAATCCATGACGTCATTCAATATGTAAACTACATGTACAATGTAATTATTTTGTAACTAATCATGGGCAGATTTCCTTGTTCGATGTCTCATTCAAGAGTAAATCACATGTAAATAACATCTTTTTTAGTTAAAAAAAAAAATAGCAATTTACCGTTGCGCCTGGGGAAAAAGCACAATCGATCCCGTCACTCTAATCTATGAAACATCTGGGCTTTTGGATTCCTGGAGGCTGGCTTTTGACAATGTTAAAAGTCAATAAACAGTCGCTACATTTATTGATTCGTGATTGTTGAAGTATAATTTAAACCACTACGTCCAATTTTACATACAAATGTACAGACTTTTTATTTCATATACCGGAAGTTGGCTTACACATAACACTAACAGATGTTGATTTTTAAGAGTCATTTCGTGTAAATACTTCATGTGTCTACGCTCAAGAAATCAATTTTGTTTCAAAACTTTGTGGGATGACATGACAATGAAAATGTTGACAAAACCAAGCTATGGGTGGTCAAACCCCACCCTCAACCCCAAGCAGTGTCTCTGGGAGGAAAGGGAGGCTGTGAAAAGGCAGTCTGTGTAATTTCTAAAGTGTTCACTTGCAAGTAGTGTATACATATTCTTTTGTTATGCAAATAACACCAGACAAGATCTGAATTCAGTGGCACAGGGGAGTGGGCGGGGCCTAGCAGAGGTTGGTCGGGGGATTTTATGACCTAGTAGGAACTAACCACAGCCACAAGGAAATTATTCTGAGTGCCCAATTGGCAAGTGATACTTTGCAGGGTTAAAAGTGATATGATAGTTACTTATTGTGACATTCCTTTGCATTTTGGCTGGATGACCTTTGAAATTAACACGAAAAACTAGCTCGGAAACAATCTTAACCAGTTCGCGTCGGATGACGTGCATACACGCACAGGTTTTGCGGTATTCAGAATGGATGAGGGACAAACTAGCTGTGACCGAGTCTGGAAATATCTGTCTGCGACCCGCTCGCAGCAAGCGAGGCTGGAAATATCAGGGTGTGCTACCCGCAGACGACAGCCTGAACCCGTCTGGCATCAAGTTTTGTGAAAAACAATCCCACGCCTGGGTCCGGTCAATGTCAAAATAATCCCGGCGCGAACTGGTTAGTTGACAATCCAATCTCATTGTCTGATGTATTTTCTTTCAATTTCTTATTCCCTGCCACCCTCCTTGTCTCTCTGTGTCTACCACCCTGTCTGCCTCTCTGATTGTCACCCTCAGTGGTGACAGGTTCGTTGTACAGATTCAACCTTGGGCTGAGGGGGCTTGTTGGGGGAGCGTTTGCAGGTGCTGTTGTGGGGTGAGTAGAAGAGATGTTTGACAGGATAAGTTCATATCCTTGCTAGCAATGCTCTTCAGTAGTAAAACCTTAGAAGTGAAACAAGCAGGGATGTGGTCAAGTCAATCTGAAGTCCCTGCAAGTCCCTCACAAGTCCTCCAGTCCCAATTCAACTCACAAGCTATTCAAATGAGCTTTGGCAAAGGCATTCCATTGTTATTGGTCATCCACTGTTTCTTGTGACTGGACATGTGAATGGACTTGCCTACATCCTTGGAAACAAGTTTTGTTTTTATGGTCAGTAAGTACTAGTTCGTCTTTTAGATTTTTGCAAAATGTGTCCATTAGGCCAAAAAAAAAAGTCTTCGGTTTCTGGTATGGAGCTTGCCCAAAAAGTGGTGCGGCGACGCGTTTGTTTTTTTTTTTACCTGATTTTTTTTGCTTCAAATGTCGGCTGATGACTGCAAATGGTGCTAGACTAAACTTAGTGCAAATATATGGGAGTCCAGAGAGGCCACATAAAGCTTACTCGCCAAGTCCTTTCATCCCACAAAGTCAATTACAAAATGTCTTCTTTCTTTTTTGCGGGGACACTTATGAAGTATTTACACGACACGACTCTTAATAAATCGTTGTCATAGAAAAGGAACTTCAAAAAGTACAGCTGGCTAGTTTGCTAGTTACAATGAATTATTGATTGTTTCTGAGGAGACTTAATACCTGAATCCAAAAGTACATATTTTTAAAAAAAATTAAAACACATGCTTTTCATGAAAATCAATGTGTGGCTTCTAAAAATACCTAACAAAAAAATTGCATATTGTGCACAATTGCACGCCAAACTACTGATCAAAACAACATGTACAGGTACATGTATGTAGTTGATAACAGATGGCAAATTTCACACCCAGAAACCCTAGAACGGCTAAGGCCAAAAAAAAAAAGTCTCCGGTTTCTGGTATGCGCGCGCGTCGCCGTAGCCATGCGCGTCGGCAAACTGAAAAAGGTTTTTTTCAATGAAAGATGATGTCTCAAAACCACCAAACTCACTGGTTTGACTGGAATCCTGCTGCTGCACAATTTGAACGTGTTTTTAGATGGGGTTATGATCGAGAATAAGCTTTATGTGGCCTCCCATATATTTGCACTAAGTTTAGTAGGGCACCATTTTGCAGTCATCCGCCAACATTTGAAGCAAAAAAAAAACAGGTAAAAAAAAATAAAAAGCCGCGTCGCCGCACCACTTTTTGGGCAAGCTCCATACCAGAAGCCGGAGACTTTTTTTTTTTGGCCTAAGGAAACAAGAACAGAATTTGGATATTGTACCCTTGACACGGTCAGGAAGATGAAAATATTGATTTAAGCTCACAGAAAAGATGAGAAAGTGGGAGAACAATGGCCAAAACATCTGCAAGTCAACCGAGAATAATCAGACAACTGTTGTCCATTCAAGCAGGTTTGTAGTAGAGCTACGTATCGGTACATGTACCGGTACCTGTTCATTCACTCTACAAGTGTGAAAGTACACAGAAACACCAGTACAATGACATGCATAGGGCCTCAATCTTTTCGGGACAATGAAGGGGAAAAAACACAAAAGACCTGATTTCCAAACTTTGAAGGCCAACCAAGCTTAAATTTAGGCTAGAGTATTCCTCAAAATGCTGAGAATATACACGCCGCCATTTCTGGTCTCTATCACAAACTATAATAATAAAATTAAATCATTCTTTGTTTTCAAACAGCTTTAACCCTAACCCTGCCAGACGCAGCACAGTGCATCAGGTGGAAAAGTTTGGTGCACTTTGATGGAAAATGCTACCAACACCAGTGCAGAAACCGGCCACTTCTGAGACACTGAGAGCTAAGTCCCATTGAACAATGCCACAGTTGTATCCTGCTGCGTGCGGTGACCACAGACTCTGAGGCAGTGTGGCCTTGAGACTTTTCCCCTGGTGGATCTTGCTACACTGGGCAGGCTTGTCACTTAGTCAAGTGCTGCATGTTGCTGCGTTTGGCAGGGTTCTAGCAAACATACCCTGGAGGGTTAGGGTTAAGGAAGCTATTTTGTATTCATGTGTGACACCTTATGTAAATGAACAAGAATATGCAGTTTCCAAACCAACTATCCGGTTTTCAATTAAAACCGACTACTGGAATTCAAACTGAATGTTAAAATATCCGGATTAATTCCCAGCACTATTAAACTCTGAATCAAAATCGTGATTCAACCTTTTTGAGGTAAATGATTCCCTGTAGTAGTTATAAAGACAAGGTACATGTAGATGGGATCACTTCTGAAAAATGGTTAAACTTACATTATAATGCATGTTCACTGGTGCCGTGTCGGTTTTCATTTTTCTTGTTATCCTACATGTACATAACAGTTGTAAATACTTCTGATTGTCTCGAACCGTGTGCTACATTTCAAAACAAATTTCTCGAGATAGACGTTCATGTTATTCAGAGAGATTATTTGATGATCTCTAATTAGCAACATCATCCACTGCCTCTTCACGGATGGAATTTTCTCCAATGTTAGTTTTCGCCGGGGAAGAACTGAAAACGAATTCGCATACATGGCATACCGAGCATCGCGAATCTTGGACTGAATTGGTATCGGAGCCTACTGTACTTACATAAATGTACACGCTAATTTTGGTCCATTTTACAAGTGCTGCATACATGTACATCTACACAGTACAGATTCAGAAATTGGTTTTTTGGAAGGTCAAATTGGGAACCAAATTCCAATGCGGACCCTCTCTTTAACTATTGGAAATCAAGATTGTCCCTCCAACAACGGAAGTGTACGTGACAATGAACATGTATGCCCTCGGCATGTACAACATGTACTTTCTGCTCCGTTGATTAGACTAACCACCCAGACTTACTTTCTTTCACTATTTTTAACGGTGAAATCTGCTGTATTTTCTGATATTGTCACCATCAGAAGTATCTTATGTCTTAACGTTTGTTTCTCTCATGAATGAGTAGCCCATTTGAGGTTAAAAAGCTAGTCTTAGAAAAGTGATGGCAATTTTGAGGGAAAACAGCATCTGCCGTGTTGGAAAAAAAAAAAGCAGTGGATGTTTTGAAGAAAAAAAGACCATCGCCATCTTGGATCATCATTGGCCCCCCCCCCAAAAAAACAGCCTGTATCCTTCTTGTTTCAAAAAGTTCCCACGAGAAACAAGTCTTTATCTCTTTTTTATTGGGCCTAAAGTCGAAGGTCCCAATGACGACCTGAATTTTACAGACCTACAAGTACGATACCAACCTTATCAGTCACAGGAAGTATTTTCTTCGATAATGGGCGGAAACGATGATAACATGTAATTTGTGATTGAGTGCCTGTGTACAAGCGTGGGACAGTCATGTGTTACCGATAAAAATGCCTTGAGTTATGCTCACTGTCCTGTTTTATTGATGTTTGCTCTCTAGCCAAAACTGAGAAAGAAGAACCCAAAACAGTCCAGCACCCGATTTCATCAAACTCTTTGTAACTTACGATGCATCGCAGCGCTGCGACGCGTCGTATCTCTACGACGCGTCGCAGCTGCGACGCGTCCTGCGATCCATTTCACTAAATACGTCATAAGTGCGACGTGTCGTAGGTGTATTTATAGCACAACTCGGTGACTGTTTTATGTCTTTAGTCAGCGTACAGTAAATAGTCGTCTGATATTCAACAAAGAGTCGTCAGATCTCAGCTCGAAATTTGTTAAAACGTAAAACAAAATGGCGGCCGTGCGATGCAATTTTGAAGGAAAACAAGCTCTCATTGGACTGTATAGCTACTTTGAAATTTCAACTCTAATATTCCAGTCTAATTCATAATTATTCAATGAATTTTCTATTTACAACTTTACACACATTGCCTCGGTATTATAATCTCGTTAATGTAATGTTTGTGGCATAAAACTGGCTTAGAAATGACTCTTCTTATTTTGTGACGACCACTAGACACGTCGTAACTTGCGACGTGTTTTAAGCCGTTGTCAAGGAACTTACGACGCGTTCAACACATCGCAACTTTAGTGAAATGGAAGATACGACGCGTCGCGAGTTGCGACGTGTTACACGTCGTAACTTGAGTTGCGACGCGTCGCAGCGCTTCGTGAAATCGGGTGCAGACTTTTGTACAGAAACAAAATGTGTGCTAACACTACCGCTGGACGAGTAACCCGATTATTCGAGTACTCACGAGTAGTTTATGCTACTCGTTGCTCTACTTGTGGTTTTTCATCTACTCGAGTACTCGTCCTGGCGCGAGTAGAAGCAGGTACTCACGAGTAGCAATTTAGGGTTTAGGGTTCACGGCTGAATACGTCCCCAGCAAAAAGGGAATCACTCCCTCCACCTCTCTCTCCCTCGGATTCCATTCGTCAGCCAAAAAATTCAAATAAATGACTTAAACACTGAAAACGTCGCACAGTAAGGATCTCAGTGCTGAAAGGTGTGGTGTGACTTGCAAGCTATTTGCGTGTAGTCACACGTACCTCCCATCATATAAACGTATTTTTTTACTTTCATGGGAATCTGGTTTACTCGTGAATACTCGACTACTCACGAGTAATTTTTTAGAGAAAAATCCACTACTCGCCCAGGCCTAGTTACATGTAACAGAAAGCACAAAGCATAAATGTACATGCACTCATAAACTTTGTTTTTTTTTGGGGGGGGGGGGGGAGAGAACAAATCAGCCTGAAACGGCATCCTTACTTAGCTGCTTAGTGGACAAGGGCTACATGTACGAGCTAAATGATGCTTACCCACGTGAATCACTGCTATCACTGGTACTCGTGGCAGAATGCTGTCTGAGATGAAGGAAGGCTAGCAGGACTGTCGCAAGAACAAAGATGACGGCAGTGTTCCGTACAATCTTGCCCACGTGTACCCTCATGGCTCTGAGTCTAAAGGAACTAATCCAAATCAAAGAAAAAAAGAAAAGTATATTTCCTGTAAATTTCTGTATTCAGAGTAGAGTTTCAAACCATCAAGCATGTCTGTAAGATTGCTGACTTTATCATGACAGCTCCATATTGAACCATTATGTCTTGAAAAGCTGGGATGCTTGAGTGAAATTGTAAACTTGTTAAGAGATTCTTGTACTCATGCATATCAAAGTGGTACAAAAAAATCCCTGCCTTAGGCCAAAAAAAAAAATACTCGGTCTCTGGTCAGCGCGCGCGTCGATTTTAATCATGCGCGTCAACCTTTTTTTCTTCTTCAAATTAACACGGAAGCTACAACAGCGCCCTCTATTGCCGCGCCTCCTCAAATTTTTGTACCAAAAAGCACCAAGGAATGGGGAAATTGCACCAAGGCAAATGATAAAGGGCACCAAGGCAAATTATGGAGGACACCAATGTATAATGAGGACACAAAAAAGCAAAATAGTATCCACCTTGTCTGTACAATACAAGCTTGAAAAAAAAAAAGCCACCCCCCCCAAAAAAAACCGCGTCGCCGCATCAATTCCGGAACTTCGGTCTGACCAGAGACCGACTATTTTTTTTTTTTGGCCTTAGTTGGCTGCCGTAGTACTTACCGGTACTTACATGTACGTGCCAAAGGTCAATATGCTGGCATTAATCTTGACGTGTCGCACAGGTTCAACATGGCATTATGATGTATTCAATGATCCAAAAGCTGGACAGCTTTTTTCTGAATGTTGACCAAAATTCGGCAAAGTACACTACAGGTACATGTATTACAGTTAGCAAATTATGTGTTAAATTTAATGAGAGATTCTATCGTAGTCTTGCATTATTCATCAGTATACATGTAGTCATGTACATAACAATTTACCCATTCCTATTGGTCATCAATATATACATGTAGTCATGTACATAACAATTTACCCATTCCTATTGGTCGAGAGCCCGTCACACATTTGTCACATACATTGTATGGCAGCTGGCTTTACATGGTTCAAAACACAGGCTGGTCGTAAACACTTTTCCAGTGTCACACAAAATTGGACTCCCACGTATTAAAGTGAAAATACAACATTTGCAAACATCGAAGAAAAAAACTACCAAGTTTTTACGAAATACCTTACTAGGATGTTGGTAAATGACAGTCTTAAGCATCCTGTAAAATTATGGCACCTTGTGTGAAGTCATTTTCAAGAAAGTGGTATTTTTGTATACATTTCCAATGGTGGTCGGCCGACCACCGTTGGAAAAACCTAACTATTTTTCAACTACTGCTCCTACTTTACAATTTGTTCAGTCCAAATGTTGTTTGCTATTGGTTACATGTTTATGAACGGGTGCAGGCCAGCTAGACTGGTTCCCTTACCTTACAATTTTCCGACATCTATAAATTGATTCATTTTATCTTTAGTGGAGTCAGGGAACCAGACTACTTAAACATTTTTGTTTTTCTTGATTTTTCCAGCATTTTCGAACACAAACCTTCAAACATGTCAGTTAAACAATATTTGATCTATTATACTAACCCCTCAAATAGTTCATTTCTGAAAATTACAGCAAAAGCCAATGATGTACATTCCCTTTAAATTAACAGTAGGCCTATACGGACTCCAACCTGTCTTTAACATATATGTTTAAAACCGACCAAGCAAACATTTATTCCCTTAATATTAAACTTCTAACTTGGGCAAAACAATGCTCCCTTCTAATGCAAACTTATGAAGCTCATGAAAAATATTTTTGGTGACTTGACTCGACTCCACTTCCTAAGGGCAAATGACTCAACTCGACTCGAGTCACTGCGAGCAAGTGACTCGACTCGACTCAAGTCCCTCATCAAAATGACTCGACTCGACTCGACTCGAGGAAGGCTAACAAGACTCAAGTCCCAAAAATAAAAGCAAAACTTTGCGATAAATATTTGCAATGACTGCCAGTGCCGGTTTTTGTTCACGTCACGTTAGAATGTTCGTGAATAAGTGTTCAAATATTTGTGACTCGAATTGACTCGAGCTAAATACTTGACTCCACTCGACTACACACTGTGACGCAACTCGACTCAACCTTCTTTACCTAATGACTCGCTTCAATTTGAGTCACTTCTTTAAAATGACTCGACTCGACTCGAGTCACAAAAATCAGTGACTTGTTACAACTCTGATCATTCGCAAGATAAGTAATGCAATATGTAGGAAGTCATTCACAAGATGTACGGTAGTAGGATCCTTCACATGAAAGGAAATCATTGCATAATTTAGGACTGGTATCATTTTTCACACGTTTTGATTACAAGCTGTCATATTCCTAGCCCCATAAATGTGGCCTATTTACTGGACTGCCTCCGTAAACATAGGCCACACATCCACATGTGCAAAAACGTGTCGCACTTTGCCAAATTTTGATTTTCACATTTAGGCTTAGTTTGTAGGATTTTTTTGCTTTAGAAGCATACGTGTACTCACCCTCTTTATCGGCTAGTCAGAAAGTGCTGCCTTTTTCAGATGTCTAATTTTTGTGAAATTTCATGTTGAAATTTGATACGCAAACGTGTAAAAATGAATCTGGAAATTTCACGAAAAATATACATCTGAAAAAGGCAGCACTTTCTGATTAGCCTATAAAGAGGGTGAGTATGCCTCTAAAGCAAATAAAACCTACAAACTAAGCCTACCGGTAAATGTGAAAATCAAAATTTGGCAAAGTGCGACACGTTTTTGTACATGTGGATGTGTGGCCTATGTTTACGGAGGCAGTCCAGTAAATAGGCCACATTTATGGGGCTATCATATTCCTGATACATTGTGGGTGAACATGAAAGTTGAGAATGGCTTACCTTTCCTGTGTATCTCAAATTCTCAATCCCAAATCATAATAAGCATTTTGCCTCAACCACATGTAAGACTGGGGCGCTATTCTTTAAGCACTTACAATGTATCATATCCGGCAAAAACTGGCATGCAAATGAATCTACATGTACCTTCACCCGGCACCTATAGTGCACGGACCCACCCTCGCATAGCCCTATAGCACATTCACTACAATTTGCATTACTTGTTATTTTCATGACCTTCGTTTCATTGTTGTGGTTCCTATTCATCATTCTTGTTGCACTTAGCAGCCAATTCATTGCATACAGTATTTTACCTGACAGGCAGTTTTGAGTTGGACTATTCATGCAACAAAAGATAATAAATTATCTCTTTCAAGTGATGACAATGCAGCACAAACCAATGCAGAGACAACTGCAGTTGTGACAATGACAGCCCCAACGGTGTCACACAAATGTCATGGACACGTAATTTTAAGCTAGATCAGAAACATCTAAGAAGCTGCGGGTCAACAAATTCTTGCTCATGCATGAGTCACGTGATTTTAGCCAGGTTTTTGACCCCAGTGACCCCATGATGACCTTTGACCCAAGTTTGGTCATGTGACATGTTGGGGCTGGGCTACTGATACTTTTGACCAGGTTTGGTTGAAATCAGTCAAAATACACGTATACATGTAGGAGCAATAGACAATGTCAACGTTTCTCACTAACTCACAAACTGACTAACAGAGAGACAGATGATTTGATGATGAGGCACAGAAATATTTTTTCAACATAAATACCGGTATCTAACTCAGTTGTCAAGCAAACAATGGGAACAGTATGAAATTAAAACGTTTTTCAGTTTTAAGCATTGACATGTACACAGTATGGTACATGTATGAATTTGAACAAATACATTCTCAGGGATTTCAAAACACATTAAAATTTACATGTTATTTGCAGTTTGACGTCACAGTTAACCCTAAAAGAGCCGGGGGGTGGAATCCGCCCCCCCCCCCCTTCAACTTTTTCTGCGATACCCTTGCAAAATATTTCCGGACTTTATAGCCAGGAGTCTTGCGAATGTTTCGATACCTAAAACATAAAATTCCTACAATGGGTTACCCACGCAGCGAAAAATCTTTCAGCGCTGTCCGCTGTAATTTACTGAATTTCCCCATATAATAGGCCTATGTAGTGTACACGAAGCAGAATTAACATTGGTGCATATGAATAATTAATTAGCCATAACTCCAAAACCCTTTTATCTATATATCTTTGGTATGTTCATATGAAGTTGCTCTATGCATGCACCGAGTTTTATAATTTGTTGTAACTCGATGGCCGAGATCTGAGGGGAGGGGGGGGGGTGGCGGAATCCCCATTTTCGGGCAATTTTCATTATTTTGATTTATAATTATGATTTCTATCGAGTTATATATTGTCTGCGAACTCCACACTTGTTGGAGAATGAAGCAACACTATCCAGCTCTCTATCCATGTAAAATACTAAGCACTGACAAATAATTTCACCTTTATTCGCATACAAGGTCGTCGCTGAAAATCCAGCAACAAAATAATGAAAAAACATAAACCTTGGAACAACCGTGCGCCGTGCACGGTTGTGCCAAGGCGCCTGACCAGCACCAACTATTTGCATACACATAGCCCAGCCGCGTAAGGTTGCTGTTCGCACTTTGTAAAGAACGTGTGAGTGTATTAGCGCACAGCTACTGTTTATATTAGCGGCTGACCATGGATCATCGGACTCTATCGTCGAACGCCTTGACCAAGGCTATGAAACATGCTGAACCCAACAACTGTTTTTTGAGTGATTCTGATACACAACTGAAGTTCTTTCTTTTGTTTTTGTTTGAGTGGTTTTCCACGCCAATGCGGCACATTCGGCCAAGAAGAAAAATGACAAGGTTGAAGCAGGAATACTTACAACATGATACTCAACTGTCTTTCTCCGACGACAAACTTAGACAACAAAAAACTATGCAAGTCTGGCGCCTTTGTTTAATTCATGTGGCGCAGCTGTATTAATTACCAACCATGACAAAAAAATAGTCCAATTTGGGACATAACTGCTGCACGCAGCGGCCAAGTAACAGATGCAGCTGGCTTCAGATGAATACCGGTGTATTAAATGCATGAGCCTTGCACAATGGGAAATTATTTCAACAAAAAGGTCCAATGTACATAATCTGTATTGATATTAGCTTCAATTTGCAAATAGCACTAGTGTGCTGGAGTTCGGTCTGAACAGGTGCAAGCATAAGCGAACGTGGAGTCAAGTGTACTTTGCACTTTGAAGAGATTGTTTACCAATAATGATGATAATAAAGTGGCGCAAATGACTCTGGGCATGTAGATGGCGCTATGTGACAACCGGCCAGGGCCATATGCAGGACATATGTGGGCACTGAAAGGGTTACACGTCAAATGCTCAGTTATGGTGCAAAGTACATGTACGTAAGACTATTTTTCAACGAAATTAGTGGTGGGAGATGTTGGCCATTTCAAAATCCGGTCATTCTAATGTCGGCTTAAACCCGCCTAGGCCCTTTTTGCTTAGAACCATCCTCAACCCTCCAAAATCCTCCAAAGTTTTGCAACTCCGCCTACATTTTTCAAAATTGTCAGACAGTCCTGCCTCAAAATGCATTCATCGTCAATCCTCCAAAATCCTCCTCATCCCAACATTTTGCACTCCTGTTTAAATGAAGGATAACCAACGCCAAATCCTTCAAAATCATCAGACAGTCCTGCCTCGATATGCATTAATCCTCAATCCTCCAAAATCCTCTTGTGCTTCAATCACCATTCATCCTCAATCCTCCAGAATCCTCATTTGATTCAATCACCATTCATCCTCAATCCTCCAAAATCCTCATGTGCTTCAATCACCATTCATCCTCAATCCTCCAAGATCCTCATGTGCTTCAATCACCATTCATCCTCAATCCTCCAGAATCCTCATGTGCTTCAATCACCATTCATCCTCAATCCTCCAGAATCCTCATGTGCTTCAATCACCATTCATCCTCAATCCTCCAGAATCCTCATTTGATTCAATCACCATTCATCCTCAATCCTCCAGAATCCTCATGTGCTTCAATCACCATTCATCCTCAATCCTCCAGAATCCTCATGTGCTTCAATCACCATTCATCCTCAATCCTCCAGAATCCTCATGTGCTTCAATCACCATTCATCCTCAATCCTCCAGAATCCTCATTTGATTCGATCACCATTCATCCTCAATCCTCTAGAATCCTCCAAAACTGCCAGGAGAATTTTGGAGGAGTAAGAGGGTTAGGGTGACTCGACCCGACCCGAAAATTGCAAACGCAAAACCGAAACCGACCCGACCCGACTGAAATGATGGACAAACCGACCCGACCCGACCCGAAGTCGGTTTTTGGTCAGTTTCTGTTTCGGGTCGCTCTCGGTTTCGGTTGCGGGTCGGGTTTGAACAACATTACGGTACTTCACACTTACTGGTGCTATTACCCCTGTTTGTCAGGCCATGATTTCAGTTTTCTGCAGCAGTTTAAGATCATGGGCTGACAGATCAGTCCTCTGACAGGCCTTGCAGGTAGTCAATGGCTATATGAATGGATTGAGGGAGGTAGTACAGGTAAAGTATCTTGCAAAAGTGGCATGCTTCGTAGCCTTAGGCCATTCCCTTTCAGTGCCGGAACCAAAGTGGACTGAGAGTCGGACACCACTGCGCTAGTTTAAGAACTGCCATATTGCCATTTGTTGTTTCTGAAATTTGTTGCTGCATCATAGTTTTCAGCTCAGCAGGAAACCCTAACTCCCTAGGCCTTTTTGCTAGGAAGTAGCCTCAATCCTGCAAAATCCTCCAACTGGCCTCATGGAAAAATAGCATACATGTACATGTAACCTCAATCCTGCAAATTCCTCGGCTATTTCTTGAATATGGTCCATGGAGAGGTGACCACTGCCTGAATCTGCTATGACAATAGGCTGAGGCTGAGGCAGAGGCAGTGACATCCTGGAGCAGTGCGGAGGATGTCAAGTATAATCAAGGACTAAATTTATGCACGGCTGAGCATAAACAACACAAGGTCGGGCCCAAGACCTTGACACAGTGCGTACTCCGAAATCAGCAACGCACTTTTGCCATGTAACCTCAATCCTGCATATTCCCCCAATTTGCAAAAAGGATTTTGGAGGATTCAGGGCGGTTAGGGCTTAATTAGTCAAGACATTTCTAAATGTAGGCCTACATGTACCGGTATATGCCAATCAAGTCTACGTGACTAACAGCAGAAATGATCCAGTATGCGTGTGATCTTTTCGATGTTGGAGTTTCTAAGATGAAAAAATAGACTCTGAGCAGGGCGGTTTCTACCACTATATAATTAAGAGGGTGATTGTGCTTCTACCATGTTTAAATAAACTACAAACAAAGTCTAGACAAAGTTCTACATTTTCGGGTAAATGTTCCAAGCAAAGGGTGACCCTATATTTACGGAAGTAGATATATATAGTCCAGTAAATTGGCCACATTTATGGGGCTAAACTCTCTCTAGACTTTCACCTTTGTACACAACTAAAGAAATGGCGCCCACTTAAACAGCCTCAAGATGTACTTCAACTTTCAAACATTTTTGCAATGACTGACCAGGCTCCACTGAGACAATCAGAATATGATGCATGATGAAAAAAAGGTGGCGTCAGGATGCATTCCATTTCCAAAACAACATTCGTTCCATACACATCGTCAAATGCAAATGGTTCCACATTCAACCATGGAGGAATAAGAACACATTATTCCTCCATGATTCAACATGATAAATAAATTTAACATGATAAATATACTAGGCCTAGACCCGTGAACGTGGCGTTGTATACAACAAGCCACGTTCACAGGTCTAAGTTAGGCCTAGCGTTAATTAAGTGGAAAGATTCCCATATCTGGCCATCACTTGGCCAGTCTCAAACCCTAGTTTGAGACTGGTCTGAAAATTTAGTGCTTTCTCAGTAAATACTTCAATATTTTCCCTGAAAAAAATTGAATTTTTAGGACAAATTATCACTTTCTCTGATGGCTGATATATAGTGGTGATACTGGCCTACCGTCACTGATATTGATAAGTGAAAGTGATAGTCCAGTCATAGCTCCATGGTCGGCAACATTTATGGGGCTATGGGAACAATTACTAGATTAGTGATGGCCAGATAATGAGATATAGATATGGGAATCTTTCCAATAAAAAGATTTATGAATTTCAAACCTGGTCTTCACAAATCCATCACTTTAATATCAGCAATTCACACCAAAAACAATTGTTACATCATGTTTCTCAGCAAGTGCATTCTCTCTCTTAACGGGGCCCGGGGGAAAAATGCATCACCAGGCTAGGCGCGCCGGTCCGCGATCCATATCCGCCGCACGTCGACCTCGTCGTACCCGTACCCGGTACCGTACGTGGCGCCCGCACTTTCTTGACGATTGGGGGCGCTCTGCTTTCTGAAGGCTCAGTTACTCGATCCACGGATATCCTGGTCCCTGATCCGATCCACCGGCCACGGCCCGGATCATACACCTTCTATCTTAAGTTCCTGATGATAAAATTTAGTCTTCTTTTACAGGCAGTGAAGGCCCACGAATGCTTGTAAACCTTTGACTTGGTTTACCTAGGCTATTCTTCACCTTTCTTTCACTTCAAAAAATGTGCGAACTTATTTCATAGGGAGTTTAGTCCCATTACCATCTTTAAACCAACTTTGCTTTTCAAGAGTAACTGCGTCAGGTACTTTTGGGATCATGAGCTGCAAACGATATACTCCACACCCCTCCTCTAAGGTTTCCCAGGCCAACGAAAGTGCCCCTCTCGATCGGCGGTTATAATGTGCCCCCTCTAGATGAAAATAAAAACGCCCCCAAACTCACACGTGTGAAAGCACATAATTATGATCGCACCACAAATAAAATTGTTTCCTCTTTTGTAAAACAAAACTGCGGCCCCTCAAAAACACAAATACCCCTCTCGCATTTAGAAGATTGTGCACCTTCTCGAGATGGAAAACTACCCCTCGAAAGCACAAATAACCCTCTAGCAATAATAAAATTGTGCCCTCTCGAGAAGCACAATTAGTGCTCCGCTCGCAACATTATTGTGCCCCCCCCCCCTCTCAGGGAAACATGGAAAACTGGACCCCAAAAATAATAGTGCTCTTCACGCGAATAAAAATGTTCGCTGAACTGGCCACCGATTTAAGCAACAGTGCCCCTCGCCTCTCGCGATAAAAAAAGGTCTCTCCACATAGGTAATACTGAGAAACACAAAGAGCAAGATGGACAGCGAAATCATAATTTGTTTCTCGTCGTGGGTTTGTAGCGAAATGAACGGGACCATAGTCTTTCCCTTCACTTTCACACCGACGGAAGGTGCCCCTTTTCTGAGCAAGTGCTCTTTTTGGTGTCCCCCCCCAGTTTGAAAAGCGTTCCACCGCCCCTGTTTACAGTTCTGCGAGCCTATTTATAGCTCGAGTTCAAGCCCAACTCCAAAATGAGTTGCTAAAGTTAATACTACAGCACGTGCATGCACGACACCAGTGGTATTCATAGCACATTTTTTATAAATGAAAACAACATAAATCATTGTTGACATTATTATGTTCACATGAATACAACCCCGACGTCTGGTGCTGTTATTTTGACATTTGCAGCTGGCAACAGTCTTAGCAAATCTCAGTGGGGGCAAAAGGAGCACACAATCATTTCTAGGAACACGCGTTATAACCGTAAGAGAAGCCGTTGTTTTCGGCCATCTTACAGCCGGGCTCCCGGGGTGGATTCAGAAATATAACCAACTATATTTATGAAATTGCGAAAGATAAGTAGAAGTTTGTGAGCTTTGTAAATACGCGAAGTTTGAGGTCAGTAAAACAAGGAGTTTTTATATGCAATCATGATGTAAACCAGTGTACGTTGTAGGACTCGAGTCCAAGACTCGGACTCGAGTCACGTTTTTCGTGACTCGAACTCGACTCGAGTCACATTGAAAAATGACTCGGACTCGGACTCAGACTCGACCATGCAAGCTTGGTGACTCGTGACTCGAGTCACGTATTTTCATCAAGAGAAAAAACCCATAAGGTTACGTATTTGTGCGACGAACGTAGCATTCTTTTTTACTCGAGTAGTTCACGGCGCCGCGGTAAAGGGGCCCCGCACGCTGCAGGCCCAGCGCCTGCACGACGAATAGGGCCTGGTGTCTCACACACAAGGTAAACTATATAATTTGGGACCGACTGGATGATTGAAAAATAATTTTAAAATAAATTTGATTAGTTTGGTGAATAACTAAGAACAAGTGACTTGTGACTCGGACTGGGACTCGAGGCTAATTGTGACTCGAGACTCGGACTGAACTCGGACTCGAGGCTTGTGACTCGGGACTCGGACTCGACGTTGGTGACTCGACTACATCACTGGTAAATAGGTACGTTTTCCTATACACGGTCTGCGTAAAAAAAAATTAAAAAAAAGATTTTTGGTACACCGTGACAGAAATATGACTTGCTTGAATCTGGGGCCTGTTTAAACAAAACGAAATCCGCCAGACATCAGTCTGCAAACTGATCGAGGCTCCTCGTGAAAGAAAAACACAAATCACGAGGAAATGATATCGGGGGAAAAGTATACGGGCTGGATTGATTTCCGCCCCGTCTCTTTTAGGGTCAAACACGATTTTTAGCAAACTTTTGCAAGAAATTGACCCCTCTTGCAATTCTTATCGTGCCAAGATTACCACAACTTCTCCTATTGGTCCCATACTCTGGCTGTATTGAAGGAAGATATAATATACATACATTTGGAGGTACGCCCATATAGAAAATTACCACCACAAGAAGACAGACTTGCCACGGAGGATGTTGCACCAATGGTGGAAGTTGCTTGCTCTGGCCCTGAGCTGTTGGGTCTCAGCATGGGCTTCATCTCCTCAAATCTCCGGAGACTCGTTCCTCTTTGTCCAGAAGCATCCTCAGGAATTCTTCTGTGAGGCAGACTTTGGTAAGATGCTCTCATTGTATAGGTGTGCATGTGTGTATTTTATGTACTTATATACCAGGGAGAGTTGTTTGAGCTGAGAGGGGATGCATGACATGATTCATGGGGAAGGTCAAGGGCAACATTGGGGCTTCTATACATGAACCCTCCTTCTGTTTACAAACAAGCCACCTTCCATGCTCAGATTTTGATCAACGACACGGTGGAATGCTAGCATCATTGTTACAAGCGAGTATTTCTTCTTCTCTTTTGCCAATTAAACCTGAAATTGGATTGTGACAAACTACATGTATGAATATTTATACAGGGTGAAAAAGTGATTGGAGTAATGATCGTTCCCCCTTAAAACCAATCAAATTTGATAAATACAGCGAACACGAAACCCACTTGTCGGGACCATTGTTTTGGTGAAGTTCTGCATCACTTTTAAAATCTCAGATATGAGAGCCCAATTCATAAGCTTTCTTTCAGTACAAGCATCATTCGAATCACGCATGTACCTTTCAAACGCAACCACCGTTTTAAAGTTCTGCCCACGGATCACAAAAAGGGAAGTGCTCTTTCAGCAAAACCAAAACAAATCGAATGTGTGAATGGTTTTCGTTTTGCTGAACGAACGCACGCCTTTTTTTTTTATCCGTGGACATAACTTTAAAACGGTGGTTGTGTTTAAAATTTTGTAACCGTTACGTGAGTGATTTCAATTATTCTTGCGCTAAACGAAAGCTTATGAATTGGGCTTTCATATCCTAGATTTTAAAGTGCTACATGTAGAATTTCACCAAACAATAGTCCCGACATTTGGTGTGTTTTTTTTTACTTACCCTGTATGTCTTAATGACTGAATTACTGAAGTACTGAAATTGATCGATGCTATCAAAAGTTATGCATATTATGTTTGACTAAAAAAACCCCATTTTTATAGCTGTCCATGGAATGCCATTGGAAGCTGTTGAGCTGAGTGAGAAGTACAGATTTCACACAGGCATTCAAATAAAAATGAGATTTTACTAATTTGAGTCAAGACTGAAACATAGTTTTTACTGCCAAATTTGGTGTTTTGATTAAAGGAAGAAGTCAACTCTCTTTGTCTGAAATATTGATGGTGATTTTTGTCTATTTTCCTTTGCACGTTGTGTTCTTTCGTGGAGTTTGGAAAACGTCCACGTTTCATTGTATTTTAATGTCTATTCATTAGTTCGTCGAACGGTAAATGATCAGTGGTGGACAGCTGAATTTTGTGTTATTTATATTGAAATAGACATTACTTAGGAAAAGAATATGCAAATTACGTGAAATTTGCAGTTACAATTGTCAATAACATACAGGGTGAGTCAAAAAACGAAACCCAAATGTTGGGACCATTGTTTGAGTGAAGTGCTACATGTAGCACTCTCAATATCTAGGATATGAAAGCCCAATTCATAAGCTTTCTTTTAGTACAAGAATCATTCAAATCACTCATGTACTTTTCAAGTTACGGAATTTTAAACACAACCACTGTTTTAAGGTTCTGTCCACGGATCACAATAGTCCCGACATTTGGGTTTCGCTTCTTTTTTTTTTACTCACCCTGTATATTTTGTCCATAGTTTATAACATGGAGCTAGCCACCTTTTTTTCTAATTCAGTAATTTTGCCTTAAGTTGACTCACACTGTACATGTACAGAGAAATAAAATAGGCGTCAGAGTCGAGTAACGTGTAAATGGGGATTTCATTTAGTTTGAGCTGTATGGAGATTAACTTCAAAAGCATTATGCCAATACATTGCAAGTATCAGTTGACTACATGTATAGCCTAATGGATATAATGGCAGGTGGTATTGGGTAACAGAGGCGGATCCAGGGGGCATGTAGGGCGCACCCCCTTTTTTTCTTCAGAAAAAAACCTGTTACACACGCTTTCATTAATTTCACCCGGACATGCTAAATTTTGCCGAACAAAAAGCATGTATTTCTGGCGCATCTGTCATCAAAATGTACATTCATAACATCAAAGCCATGCCATGCTGCTAAACGTAGAGTTCTAACGAGTCAATGATTTTTGTGACTCGAGTCGAGTCATTTTAAAGAAGTGACTCGAGTCGAGTCATTTTAAAGAAGTGACTTGAGTCGAGTCGAGTCATTAGGTCAAGAAGGTCTAGTCGAGTCGAGGCAAGTAGTTAGCTCGAGTCAATTTGAGTCACAAATATTTGAACACTATATACAATAAATATACACAAAGTCAATTTTTTGGCTTTGTTGATTTTACATTCGGGCTACTACATTGTGTTCATGTGGTCCCGGACACCACATTTGACTCTTCATTAATTTGATTCAACTAGTGGGGACACTGATCAAACCACGTATGTACATGTATATGTATACATTATTAGCGAACATTCTAAAGTGATGTGAACAAAACCCGGCACCCAGCGTTAAGTCATTGCACATTTTTCGCAAAGTTCTTTATCGTTATTTATTTTTGGGACTCGAGTCTTGTTTGCCTTCATCGAGTCGAGTCATTCTGATGAGGGACTCGAGTGGAGTCGAGTCATTTGCTCGTAGTGACTCGAGTCGAGTCAAGTCGAGTCATTTGCCCTTACGGACTCGAGTCAAGTCGAGTCAGCAAAACTGGAGTCGGACTCGAGTTGAGTCATTGACTCGAGTCATTAAAACTCTGGCTGTACGATGTTCGGCATACGGTAGCCTTTCACCAACGCCATCGTGGCTTAACTTGCCCGCATTAGACAAAGCGGCGAAACCGCGAAGCCACTGGAAATGGAGACCACACACGTGAGTGGCGAAGCCACGAGGGCCTTTTCTAACTTGTCGAGAAATTCTTATGTTTTTCTTTATAATCTCGATTTTCGCTACCACAAAAGGGTAGCAAAATTCTAACCAATCATCAGCCTTTAAGTGCGTGCGTGGCTTCTACCCAGACGCGTCGACGCGCCCGGATGCTTGCCCAAAATTTAAAAAACAAAAATGCGAGTCTAGTTTTCCACGAGATCGTGGCCGCGTAATTGTTCTTACATTATCTTATTTTAATTTTACTGATAAAGGTAAATTATTTGAGTGTATGAACCTATTTTTCATCTGAACTTACAGTTATTTGCTCTTGCGTTTTTCTTACTCACCCTTCTTTTAAAAATGGAAGCGACTAGGCAAAATCCGCGACTAGGCAAAATCCGCGGGAAAGGCCTTGTAGCTTTGCCACTCGTGCCTGCTGACTTAATCTTTGCTCCATCGCTTCGGGTCTTCGTAACTCCGCCGCTCTAATCCACGATGGCCTTGGCGAAAGGCTAGGCATACGGCAGTGCAGTGCAGTGCCATCGCCATTCACTGGTTCCCACCGCGTGCTAACAGAATCAAAGCTAGGAGGTAGGACCGGAACCAGTAGCAATTAATGCTCCATTTTTCGTTACGATATTAAACTTTATTCTTTTCCTGTAATCTTTATGGTACTAAAAGATCTTCGCCATGTTTTTGTTTATGAGTACGATCTCAAACTACAATGTCATGTCTTCGCCAACGCCAACACGCTAGGAAAATGATTTACTGATGTGCTGTTCTGTGTAGGCCTAGTTGTGCGAATGTGCACCGAAAACAATGTTGTCAGTGAAGAATAAGTTGTTTTCCAGACCAACCGGCGACAATCTTCAAAATAATAGAACAAGGGTTTCCTGTGACGTCTGACAGCTGGCTCAAAATGGTGAAATGCCCGATATTTGACCTCTAACATCATTCAGTTATATAAATAACTTTCTGACGACCGACGCGCTGGGAAACGCAACCAACTGATTATCGACATTTAATTTTAGACTTTTTTAACGATTCTTCCGGTCGCATATTTCCCCAATTTTCGATTGGAAGTGATCTGCACCGTGTATCACTTGCATGTCGACATTCAGTGGAATTATAATTTTGACAATGATTTATAACCGTAATCAATCCTGAGAAACATTCATGTTGGAATTTCGTATTGGCATTCCACACTTTTGTTTTCACATCGCGTACGTGCGTGAGAAAGAAAATGATAACCACGACGCGAACCTTTTACCTACCTACATCCGATGGATTCTAATGTACTCGGGCTTGCTTGAATAAAGTTCTTATCAACGTGTCAAAGGATATTTTCAAGTTTCTTTTTTTCAGTGTACCCATATGACTATTTCGGAAGTGAGAGGTAAATTTTTGGAACGATGTTTCTCTTTCACGTCAAGCGAATTTTCAGTTTATTCCACTAATTTCAGATGCCAGTAACAATTTCACAAAGGCCCTGAGGGTGATTTTCTTTTTAAAAAAAAATCATTGTACCAAAAATTTTAATACTCCGACTTTTACCCGCTAATTTTCCTATTAAAGGGGTCCGGAAGCGCGCCACCATGGGGTCAACTTCACAGGCTCATGAGTCTGTATTTCATATAAATCTAAATTCACGCTGCACCGGTACTTGTTGGGTACTCGCACAAAGGGAGCATTGTACCCAACAAGTCGGTCCCTTAATTGGCCGTTCCAGAAGAGAGATAAAAGGAAAACGACGCAAGTACCACATAAACCACACCGTAAGGTTTTGTACTTGTTTTCCTTTACGACTGAGGACTTGGGACAATGGGGGATTCGTGATAACAAGAACCCCGAGGACCTGAGCCAAGTCCTCGGGAGTACACACAATAGGGGAAAGGGAACAAAATAGGTCCTCATATTAAAGTATAGCATATATCACGACTGGGTGTGTGAATGGGTCTGTTTATGGTGTAAATCGAGGACACACAGTGTGAAACATCCTTGTGTATTAAATTGAGGACAGAAGTCAAATCGAGGGCGTCCTCGATTAGAAAACGTGTACAAAACCAATGAGAGCTGTTGCAAAAAAGTTAGAGTATGAACAGCAGATCGATCAGTAATGAGGAACAATATAAAATCTTTGATTTACACCATAAACAAATAAAACGTGTGTTTTGAGTTTGAAAATGTGGTTTCAAAATGCTGCTATATATTTAACCAGAATTAATTTCCTGGGCTGAAATTCGGACTCTGTAGAAAATTGCCCTCTGGAGACGTAAACTTTTGTTTCCTATTACACACATGTCTCCACAGGGTACCGTGTATCAGACCCAGTACACGAGAACAAAGGAATGACCCGATCCAGAAGGATACAAATTCCAGTACGCGTGTGTTAACGAGCTGGTCGCCCACGAAGCCAACTGATATTGAGTTTTCCAGCCCCTATGTTGGGCCTTGTTGGCGGTTCCCAAATTTGTCAATGTCTTGCATTGTTCAAGGGGCGCTAGTCAGAAGCCATTAACGCGTGTATGTCATGTAGCCAGGGATCACGCTCAAGTCACGAATACCCGGGAAATAGGCTAAATAGCAAACGGAGAACCAAGGGCGGATCCAGAACACATTTTTTTTTTGGGGGGGGGGGAGCCTCGAAAATTGTTTGGATTCTAAATTCTCTGTGGTGCGATCTGAGGCCATTTCTGACCACTTTTGACCATTTTTTTTGGTGATGGTGGTGAACGTAGTCTCTGCCTTTGTAGCAACGTCACTAAAAAAAAATGGGTTTTTTGGGGGGGGGCATGGCCCCCGTTGCCCCCCACCCCCCCCCCGATCCACCCTTGCGGGGAACACTCGTATGTTAAATGTGAGAATTTTCAAGTAACCAAAGCTTGCATGCCAGTGTAGCCTTTTGTTTGAAAGCATCCGTGCAAAGGTAAAACATATGAAGCCCGGGAAGGGACAGGGTGGAATTTGTTTGGGGGTAATTTGATAATTCGTTCCCACGAATTGCTAATTCGTTCCCACGAATTGCTAACTCGTTCTCACGAATTACCAATTCGTTCGCACGAATTACTAACTCGTTCGCACGAACTGCTATTTCGTTCGCACGAATTGCTATTTCGTTCGCACGAATTGCTAATTCGTTCCCACGAATTGCTATTTCGTTCGCACGATTTCCTAATTCGTGGGAACGAATTATTAACTCATGCATCCGGGAACGCGTTAGTAATTCGTGGGAACGAGTTGGTAATTCGTGGGAACGAAATAGCAATTCGTGCGAACGAAATAGCAATTCGTGCGAACGAGTTAGCAAGTCGTGCGCACGAATTAGTAATTCGTGCGAACGAATTAGCAAATTACCAAAAAAAAAATCCACCTTGTCCCTTCCCGGGCTTCATAAAATGCAAACCAGTTTCATTACAGAAAAAAAGTAGACAGGTCACATTCTTGCTTATCTATCTCTGACGTACAGTACTGGTTGGCAAAGTGCTGCGTAAGACGACGTCGAACGTATCCCTGCGGAACTTCCATCACGTAACAAGAATAACAGAGCTCCGCCCATCTCCCACTGAGACCAACGTCCTATTGGTCAGGGTCAAGCGCGTGTTCAAGGGGCGGTCCTACGCCAAGGAGGGCAACACCGTGGCCCTGGTTACCAGTCGAATTAAGACGGACTTGAAGGTGGTGCTGCGTCGGTCTTACGTCTTCACAGGTAATCTGAATTTTCGCCCCTCCCCCAAGATCTCGGCCATCGAGTGACGAAACATTTAGAAACTCAGTACATGCATAGAGCAACTCATCATAAACACACCCAAGAAATTTCATGACTATACGTCAAGAGGTTTTGGAATTATGGCTTATTAATTTTACCTGTGTACGAATGGTAATTCTGCTCTGTGTACACGACGTATATGGGAAAATTCAGTTTTACCGCCGCGTAGCGCCGGAAAATTGTTCGCTGCGCGGCAACCCGTGGTCCGATTTTTTTGTGTTTTTGGTATCAAAAGATGCGCAAGGCTTGAGGCCTCAATCGGACTATTGACTGGCGGGAAAATCTTTTCGACTTTCTCAGTCCGATTTTTTTTTCCACCCTTTATGGACCTAATGCATAATGACGTCATGCTTTGTTTACAATGTGCGCCTCTTGCCTGTGTTGTAGTACTCGTACTCGGTACTCGAACTCGAGTACTACTCGAGTACTTTTTTTAAGAGTACCCGTACTCATACTCGTACTCGTACTCGAATGTCAAAATACTCGTACTCGAATGGTGGTACTCGTACTTGGATAGCAAAAACTCGTACTCAACATGTCGAAATTGTGCTCGATCATCAAAGTACTCGTACTCGAATATAGCAGTACTCGGGCAAAAATATGGTATAGCTTGACTCACCATGGCCTTATTTTATCGATACTTTCAGTTTGAAATGGTTGATTGGCTTGTGGAGAAATCGAAGTTTTCTGATTTTCCTCTGTGCACGTCCGGACAAACACATTTAACAGCTAGCCTTTAGTGTGTCTGTATATCGGTCTGACTGGGTTTGGGCCAATTATGCACAATAAACCATTTGCCGTATGGCCGTATTCGAAAAAAGGAGTACTCGTTCTCGGAATACAAGTACTCATACTCGTACTCGTACTGGGAAGTTCAAGTACTCGTACTCGGAGAGTGTCCTTGTACTCGGAATTACAAGTACGTATCGTACTCGGTAAATTAAGTACTCGGCAGTACTTGGTACTCGGAAAAAGTACTCGACTACAACACTACCTTTTTTGTGGGAGCCAGGTGGGAGACGAGAGCATGCAAGCTCCCATGGGAACAAAGTGTGACGTCATTATTTCCATCTCCCTCACCAAGGCTTTGTCCGCATAGCCAACGTGCCTGACGATTATGGCCACTGCTCCAGTCTCCTACACACTGGCAGACACGTGTTTGTGGAGAATCAACTCAACTTCATGTGGGGGTGTTCATGGTTCAAACCCCGCCCCCTCCTGACGTCAGAACAGAAGCAGGGATTGTCTGGGATGTACGCCAAAGGCTGTGATTGTCAGGTAGGTCTGTGTTTGTATAGTGACTGGTCATTCGCTGGTTCCCATCGCTCTTTCCATGGAGTTAGGTGACTTCTAATTCCGCTGAAAACTCGATTTATGGATTTCGTTTAAGCTTTGACTCGAGTCAACACTCACGCGAATGTACAAGCATTAATTGATCACTGTATTCGAACTACCAATCATGCATTCCAACGTCGGCGTTTCCTGAACAATTATGTGAAATAGATAAGCGGTCACCAGCGAAGTAAAAGTGTGGGTACAAGACTTTAGTGATGACTGCTGAAGGTTTCTTTCTTTGGGTTCTGTGAACTTCTGTCCAGTATCCCCCGAGCGACTAAAATGCGAAACACCGCGCGGTGCACTTATACATGCATGTATACCTTGGTATGCAATATGATTGATACTATAATAATGGTTTTGCATACCATTACCAGCGAAGATGGTGCTTTCACTCACAATTTAACTGGTTCCCACCTTTCCTTACAAAGTCTGAAGTCAGCAATGTTATAAAAAATGTCCGGTCCTGGCGGCCACTTCCTTTCCTTGTTATGCTAACCTTGCCCCTGCCATACCATGAACGCAATGCCGTATACGACTTAATTACCGCGCAGATTGTTAGGCTAAACTGCGCAGACTAGTGTATTTATCTTTTGATATTTCACTATTAACTGTCGGTGTGCGAGGATTGTCCATAAACAAAAAGATAACGAGTCCTTCTAAAGTGGTATACAGTGGAACGCAGCTACAACAGAAATCGCGGCATCCGAGACAAAGTTCGTAATAGGGATTGTTGTGCGGTTAGTAAGGTTCAATGGGGTCTAGGCACCTTTCGTAGTGTTCCCTTTTAAAAAAATAAGCAAAATTAAAAAGTTTGAAAAACATTGAAGACATATTACTTTCTTTTTCTGTGAAGATCGTGAGATGCCACGGTCGAACTGACGACCCGAGAAGGTACTGCTTCGGCGACCTCCAGGGGGCGCTGTTCGGTGAGGGCTGCGTGATGCATCACGGGAACGAGCAGCTAACGGTGCCGCTGATGACATGTTCCCGCCGCAGCGGTGGTTACAACGACACCTGCAAGTGGATCACGTGCTCTGCAGCCAGGCATTCCCGCCCCGAGGGTAAATTCTCTGCAGTTGGCGCCGGTATTAAGCCCCCGGTTGCAACCTCCAGCCCAAATGCAACTTGTGGTGACTTGTGCTGAAATCGATTCTCTGTCATTATAAGTTATCACTACTCCCATGGCAACGGGATGCCTTCGTTACTGGCAACGGTACTTGACGGTTGGTAACAGAAAGACAAATGAGATGCTTTGTTTATTCAGGACAATGTGACGATGTCGGGGAAGGATCACACATGACTTTGTCTACCTCATTCCCTAGTCTATCTATCTTTTGTATTCTGTATTCAACCAGTATTGCCTCCCAATATATACGTCTGCTGCTTAACATAAGAAGATTCACTTCAAAACTTTGCCTGTTTCGCTATTTTATTTATATGAAAAGGAAAATGTGTAGGTCTAAACAAAAGTTTGTATAAACTGTCACTAATGATTTGTCTGACCATGAAAAAAAAATAGTATGCTTTTCTAGAATGAAAGATAAATACAATGCAGATATAATTATGTCGTATTTCAATGAATGTTCGGATGTAATTTTGTGCAGGGTACAATCTCTCAAATTTGGATGATAAATCTTTCCTTTGTGGCAGGTATCGACAGTTTTCTATGGTCAAAACTTTGCATTACCAATATCGCAAGATATGACAATTCGGAAAAAAAGCAAAACTCATTTGTTATGTTACAATAAAAAATTCCAAACTGCTCGACAGGGATCATTACTGCATGTAAATAAGATCGCGTAACTTAGATTATAAGGCCTGCTGGCTGCTGCAGAACCTTATCCCGCTCAATGTTTCAGTCTTTCCAAGGGCCTAACCAGAAGGGCTAACGTGGGCCATCCTCCCCCCCCCCCAAAAAAAAGACATTTTTTTAAAGTGACGTTTCAATAAAGGCAGGCACTGCGTACATCACCATCTTTCCCGCCAAAAGGTTTGATTCAAGTGGTCAGAAATTGCCTCAGATCGCGCCACAGAGCATCTAGAATCCAATTTTTGTCGTGCCCTTAAGCGGTCCCCGAACCCCACTTTTTGGGGGACCAAATGTTTGTATTGCCCCCCCCCCCCCCCCCCCCCCAAAAAAAAATGTGTTCTGGATCCGCCCTTGATTATGTTGCATTACTTTAATGTAACGTGACATTTTAATTAATTACATTTGTCGAGAGCACTAAGTGTGAATTCAGACCAAGATGGTGTTTTATTCCAAAATATGGTGGTATTGAGCGGCACGGGAATCCCCCTTTTACAGTAGCTCTCTTTAAGGCCAACAAAAAGTCGACAATTTCTGGTATGCGCGCGCGTCGCAGTAGCCATGCGCGTCGGCAAAATGACAATTATTTGTTCAATGAAAGATGATGTCTCAAAACCGCCAAACTAGCAGGTTTGACTAAAATCCTGCTGCTGCACAATTTTAACGTGTTTTTTGATGGGGTTACGATAGTACAAGCTTTATGTGGCCTCTCTGGCCTCCCATATACATGTATTTGCACCAAGTTTAGCCGGACATTATTTGCAGTCATCAGCCGACATTTGAAGAAAAAAAACGGTAAAAAAAAAAAAGCCGCGTCGCCGCACCACTTTTGGGGCAAGTTCCATACCAGAAACCGGAGACCTTTTTTGGGGCCTAAGGTGTCTTCGTGAAAAAAATAACCGGCTTAGGCATTTAATCATATCTGATATACACAAATGTGGCTCTTCGTTTGTTGGAGAACCAATTTAACGTTTCAAGCATCCGCCCAAGAAAACTCCGAGCATGATCAGCGTGGGTTGGAAAGAGCGCCCGAGCGGGTCGGCCGATGAAGGGCATTCCTCAGGCTCAGGCTGATAGTACCCCGGACTCGCCAGCCACTTCTTGACTTCATTTTTGATGGCCTGAAGAAAGATAATAATGGAGGGGGACATTCTAAAGGAAAATTCCAGCCAAGGGATAAGAAAGACACAGATGAAGCGCCAAACAAAAGGAATCGTTGAAACTACTGTTACACGAACGCCCAAATTCTCTTTAAATGGCATTGGTACACGATATGCTACTGAACTATTTGAATAGGATTCCATCTTGGATGTTTTTCCCCAAACCGGCTTCGTCTCCGTCTCTGGCTTCAGGCATACAGTTTGGCAAAGCAACTGCATGGGGCCGGAGACGGAACCGAAGCCGGGGTTTGGAAAGTGGCCCTTAGCGCAATCGTTTCTCTGCATTTCACGTGGATATACTTTTTCTGGATTCAGGAGGGCGCTGTTGCCATGTTAATCAGCTACTTTCCCGCCAAAACAGTAAAACTTTCTGACACTTTGACATCAACAAAAATCCCACAAAATAATGCCAAACGTTAATACAGACATCAAATTGTTCAGTATTTCCGAACAGACCTGTTGGCCCCAAATGATGCAGGAATTTTAAATGTGGTATTTACAAGGACACACGTGTGTAATGGGACCATATGCATATTCATATAACCTTTGACCTATACCTCCCATGGTTACTTGATTGTACTGTACATGGAGCGTGGAACATGACCTACAGAACTTCACCTAATAAATCGCCTAGTCTTGTCATTATTCTATCTGTATTATCGTATCACAACGTGTTTCGAAAATTACCCAAAAAAACCATCCGATTGCATAGCGCTTAGGCTATTATAGAACTTACGATTCTTCCAGCTTTGAGTGCCTCTGTGTCGTAACTGGTGGTTGCCCTGGTATCCTGGCAGTGCGATCCACCTCTGATCATTACTGCCTTCATAGACTCAGCCAGATTTTCTTTGACGCCGAGTGCATGCCATGGATCGAGATCACCTGTCGACAAGAATGGTGATCGAGAGATATAAAGAGTGCAATGTTGACACAGGTCAAAGGTCGATGAGAAAGAGTGGATAACCATATAGGTAACACGTCATTCACCGCAAAACTCGCACGATGCAGCAATACATCAAGTATTCTCTCGATGGTTTAATACAAAGTTTCGTTGCTAAATTTCCTTTTCTTAGACAACAATGACGGTTTCTGTAGGCCTATAATGACGCCATTTTCTGCGTACGTATTAAATGAGTATATTTACTAAAACATCATGTACACTGCAACTAAATTGTGTCTGTACTTCATCCTTCAAACAAACTTATAGAAACATACACTCTAAAAAGTGTTGGATTTGACCCAGAACCCGGAATCTGGATCACATCCAACGCGAGCCTTTTCAGATTTATGCTACTGATCTCTATAAAATAAAAATTTGGATCGCCCATCGGGCTGTTAGAAGTGAAGTCGCCTTCCGCCATATTACCACTCCCATAGCAACGGAATTGTTAACAAATCTATCCTAATGTAACCGTAAACTTTGCCTTTTTCCCACACTTTACTTGGACACTTTACTCGGCCATATATTGTACGTATTCATACAACTCAAGTATTACAGCTTTGCATTCGAAGACCGGTTTTGCAAACACTTGCGCATGCGTCCAATTTTCATTTTATTTTTTGCATCTTAGATCACGTCCCATTTCTTTTCGTTTTCTGTACTCTCAAGGTACCGGTACTGCCCGGGTGCACGGACAGTGCCGTTTAGCAGTCTTCACACGTTGATCCGGAGGCCGTGGGTTGTACAACTTGGTACTTGTTATTAAATCTATTCATTTTCAAATAAAAAGAAAATCATGACTTAAAGTATTTTTATACTAAATTCTGTTTACATTTAAACTTTCATTCTTTTCTATTCAAATGTTATTATGTACAGTGGTTATATACTGGTTCCCGACACATTATTGGAGCGGAGGGGATCGGAACCAGCGCGTAGCTTCAAATGCGCCTACAGCCAGCAATGGCCAATGAGCTTTGCAGATTTGTACACTTGGAGATCATAATTTATACCAATAGATGGCGTCGGTTGGGGCGCCCCCAATAATGGCTGTTTGACCCTACCATTCGCAAACACTATCCTGGACCCCCAGGGTTTATCAGCGCCGTAGTACGAGTTAGTGAAGTCGACGTGATCCAGCACCTCGGATCCAAGCTCCACTCCAAAGATATCCTTGCATACTTGAAGCCACCAGTCAAGATCCACAAGGTCCAGAAACATACAGTTGGTGTCGGCGTCGCACGTCTGGTCTGAAAATGGCAAACAAAACAATGTAACCGGAGCTCACGAAATGAGTCTTAAAAGACTCGTTAGTCTTTACATGCAGTCGGAAACACATAATTTGCTCATTGTTTTGATATAGCAGTTTGACATCCAAATATTGTTTTACAGTTAATTTATATATATGCCTTCATGTTTGTAGAAGAACGGCTGACTATTCCAATTAATTGCCATAATGAAATACTTTGTAAAAAAGGCATTACTCAAAAGTAGTTCTGGCAGCTTGTGACTCGTTTTGTTGGATTGGGTCACAATTATTATTCAACCTCGTCCCGAGTGCTTACTTTATTTCCAACCTCGTTTCCAATAGTAAGTAATGGATTTATATCGTGTAGTTGGTGTTATTTCCAACGTGCATTGACGTGTTTTCACAATCATTATAATTTATAAGGGGGGGGGGGGGGGCGCTTGGCTTGCTGGACACCACATAACACTAGGAGGCGCTGTTCATGATACAGATGTACATCTTATGTACAATTACACCCCTTAATCTTACATCAATAGGCGCATTTAAAGCTTTTGTACTTATTTCCCCTTTTTCAGTAGTATTGGTTTTCCCGGCTATTTTAACACTTGTACCACACACATGCCTTGTATCGATACTTTAATTTCGGACTTGTGTGGCAGACATAATGAGGTGTCGGACTTATGAGGCATAAATAAAAAAAAAATGCGACTCGGTCCGACGCCGCATAAGTCCGACGCCTCATAAGTCTAAAATTTTGGACTTATGAAGTGGACTTATGAGGCGTCAGACCTGTGAGGCATAACTGATTAAAAAAATTGCGCCTCGGTCCGACGCCGCTTAAGTCCGACGCCTCATAAGTCCGAAGCAACGTTTGTCCATTGTCGGACTTATGAGGCGTCGGACTTATGAGGCGTCGGACTTATGAGGCGTCGGACTTATGAGGCGTCGCCTATGAGGCGTAATTTATGCCTCATAAGTCCGACGCCTCATAAGTCCGAATTTTGGACTTATGAAGCCCGGTTCATACTCGGCGCGAAAGCGAAAGCGAACGAGAATTTGTGACGTGGTGTCAAGTATTCGCGCTGCGAATTTGTAAAAGTTGAGCACATTTCAACTCGGGGAAATTTCGAAGCGAATGTTTCATGACGTCAAATTCGCTTCGCATTCGCATTCGCGTGGAGTATGAACCGGGCTTGAGGCGTCGGACCTATGAAGCGTCGAACTTATGATACGGCCCCGGTGAGAGAGCTATAATGGTGGGCGCATACTGCTCCCTGCTCGACACCCTGGGGACGAGGTTGGATATAGTTCAATCCCCGTTTTAACAACTGCAACGATACGATAGAAACTGCCACAAATGGGTGTTATAAAATGACATTGCATTGACCTAGGTCAGTTGACTGGATACGCTTAACCCCATTACTTTCAACCCAATACGCACTTCAATTAGGCTCAGCGTGGTGTACGATAAATTAGTCACAATCAATCGCATTTTGCTAATGATAAAGGAAACTAAACATTTGGAGAGCTTGAGTTTTCAAACCTGACAGGATTTCACAAAGTTTTTGGCTTAGAGAAAGATCCTTGTAAAATGTTAACTTTAGGCAAGCATTCAGTGGCGTAGCCAGGAATTTTTCAGTGGGGGGGGGGGGGGGGGGGGGCGCTGGGGGTCTGTAACATTTCAGGGGGGGGGGCGTCAAGCAGGGGCGTCAATCGCTTTTCAAAAGTGGGGGGGGGGGGACATACCTTGATCATTAAACTGATGCAAGCGCGAAGCCCTTACGGCGTGGGGTTCGGGGCCCGCTCAAGGGCCCCGAAAAAATTGGATTCTAGATGTTCTGTGGTGTGATTTGAAGCAATTTCTTACGACTTTCCTCCATGCTTTAACAAATATTTTCTTGGCAAAAGATAATTATTTGAACATCGTTTTCGAGGTTGGAGACATTGAATCAGCTATCGGTATTCTGAGCTATTGGCGTGGGGTTCGGGGCCCGCTTAAGGGCCCCGAAAAAAAATTGGATTTTCGATGCTCTGTGGTGTGATCTGAGGCAATTTCTTACCACTTTAACCAATAATTATCTTAGCACAAAAGATAATAATTTAAACATAATTTTCGAGGTTTTCTCAGCTAAAGGCATAAGAAAATTTTGTGAACATTGTTTTCGAGGTTGGAGTCATTGAATCAGCTACCAGAAGTCTGAGCTATAGGCGTGGGGTTCGGGGCCCGCTTAAGGGCCCCGAAAAATTTTGGATTCTAAATGCTCTGTGGTGCTATCTGAGGCAATTACTGACCACTTTAACCAATATTTTCTAAGCAAAAGATACATTGTAGTACATAATAGGGCCCTGTAAATGACACACGAGTTCAAAAATGGGGGGGGGGGGGGACATTTGATATTGTGTCCCCCACGTACTCTTCAAAAGGTGGGGGGGGGGGACATGTCCCCCTGTCCCCCCCCCCCCCCCAGGATTGACGCCCATGGCGTCATGTAGATCAATGATAATTTTTTTAGAAACTCAAAATCTCAGTGGGGGGGGGGGGGGGGGGGGGACTGGGGGGGCGACAAGGTTTCATGGGGGGGGGGGGCGGTCCCCCACGCCCCTCGCCCCCGGTGGCTACGCCACTGCAAGCATTATATCACGCCAATCCGAGGCAGTACGCAGTTGATGTCGGCTTTTTATTTCCCGTGCTTGGGGAATTTGAAAAGGAGGGGTTTGCCATCATGCATCGTTCTCGCCATATACAACAAGCCATGTATACACACTATACATGGACATAAAGTGCGTTTGACGCCCATTCCCCGCAGTTGCCTTTACGAGAGGGTTGCACCCTCACAAGCATCGCGATCGCGCTATACACTTAGCGGGAACAGTGCATTTTCATGTTCGTATATAGGCCAATATTCAGTTTGGTTAAAACGCACTATGATTTTTTTTGGCGGGGGGGGGGGGGGGGGGGGTGGGGGTGCGGGGGCATTGGTGCTGGTAGTCTAGGTAATCTATGATATGCGAGCAGATTCGTTCATTAATTAGGCATGGCAACCGCCTCTTGACCTCTACATTTAGACCAATCAGTGGGCGCTTCTATATTGGGTCTTTGGTCATTCGCCCATTGCGCGTCACAGACAAAGGGATAAAACAAACTGTGTCACGCGCTCTGTATCATGTTACGCGATAATGCGCCTGGCTGTTGTTGTACTACAAAACACTGCATTAGAATTAACCAATCAAACCATTTAGTCCTGATTTGGGAATGAAATGAGGTCACGATTTAGTAAAGTCGACTCCGATTGACTTTGTTACATGGATAACGGGTGATACTCAGACTATGCTGATGGCGTCCCCCGCGCAAAAATTACTTGGGTCATTCCCATCACCCGGGCCGGGATCGCCGTCCGCGTGCATGACAGTCTATTGATACCGTGTTTTTTTAATATAATTTGTGTCACTTACAATAGCCATACTCTGTGCACGTCTGATACAGCCATGGTCGTGTAGACGTCACGTGGGAGTCGTTGCGGTAGAAGTTGATGAAGTTACTGTATGAAGCGTCTGTGCATGTGGGTCCGCTGACGACCTATACAAATATACAACATACACGTTTTCCAGGTGGAATTGAGAAAGAAAAACTGTTTACCAAATTTTTGATAGATTTAAAATCAAATAGCAATGAAACGCATGCATACGGATATATTTTTTTGTGAAAATATATAATAATGCCCAATTTGGACCGCTTTGAAATCGGGTTCCTTTTACCCTTTTTATTAATGAACGTTCACAGTCTAGTCTTCACTTAGGCATGCGCAATACTAGTCCGTATTTCACTGATGTCCATTATAAAGACTGGATAGGACATCACGTAAAAACGCTGTCTCACGCGTTTATGGAGATCAATGCTGTTATTTCGTTTACAAATTCACACTACACCGTCACCGCTGCGTTCTGCGCCTCACCGCACATTATAGTGCGCGCCACGCGGACTGACATCACTCGCGAGAGGCGCATCCCATAACATAGCTACAAGGGTGTTTACAAGAACATGAAATAAATTTGTTGAACAAAGTCGTTGAAAATGTATAATATTTTATTGTTTTGACTTTTTGACCCAAAGGTAGTTATGAATGGGAATTAAGTTGTGCTTGGCCGGTATTAAACAAGTACGTTTAAAACTAACTTGGGGCCCAGGTCGCCGTTAGGCTCAATGTCCCTCGCCTTCGGCTAGGGCCATTATCAGCGTCCAGTCCCAACGCCGGTCTTAAACGTACCTGTTTAAAACCGGCCAAGCGTTTTATTCCCTTTTTAAAGTCGACTTACGTGTTTGAAATACACGGCCTTCAGCGCGTCAAGAGGATCCGAAAACGACTCGTTGGTCATGATGTTGCAGATACCTCCAACTGTTGGCCTTGTGCTCGCATAGAGAACATTGTACTGCGCAGCACCCATGAAAGTGTCCTGAAGGGTACTTGCAAACATCTTCCTGTCGTTGATGTCCGTTAGAGGGAGGCAGATATTGAAGGCCTGCTGAAGCTCACTCCATTGTTCGTTTGCCAGCATCGTGCCCACTGCCTGGAATGCTGACTTGATACGCGAAACGCACTGCAACAACCAAAGAAAATCGCTCAAGACTCTATCGCGATATAGATCTTATTCGATACCGGTAATTTAAAGCAAGTTCGATCGAGCATGGAAGTCACCTTATGATTGAGCTTCGACATAACTTTACACCTGCGCACGTGAAGCAACGTGCGAGCGTCTCTACTTAAACAATGGTAAAAATGTCATTCCGGTTTTATTTTAGGGGGAGGGGGAGTTCGTGCATTAACGCATAGGGCTTTTGGTAGGCCTCCCGTCGATGCCACAAACGGTAAGCGGGTTACGAAAAATCAACAACATTACTCGCTTGTCAAATTGATATGAACAGCGTGGGTCCTAGGCGAAGATAGTCGAAATGATTATGGTTAACCTCTCGCTCGAACTAGCATTTGAATAGGCGCATGACCATGCAGCCAGGGAAATATTATAACAAACATCACCAATTTTATTGAGGTAGCCTGCTTATTAGCATAATGATATGACCTAATTTAGAAAAAAAAATGAGAAACTGCACTTTATCATTGGAACAAAATTTTTGGGGAAAATTGAAATAGTTTTACATGATTTAAATGTAGGCACAATATTTCCAGTATCCTACAAAGTAAAAGCAAGTAAAGTCTGTCATGCGCGAGCCAATGTGGCCCATCAGGCTGGCGTTTATCTCCAGTTGCAGTAGCATGAAAAGACTGAGAATATTTTTACTCCCCCTGGATGGGATGCTATTCCGTCGCAGGTTACTCCCCAGCTAATGCTGGTACCCATTTATACTCCTGGGTGGAGGGAGGCAAGTTGGAGTGAAGTGGCTTACCCAAGGACAAAGCACCTGTAACAGCAGCTGAATTCGAACCCCTGACCTTCTAATCATGATCGAGTCACGAACCTTAACGACACCAGGTCACACTCCCCACCAATAGCATCCTAAGGAGACGCTTAATTGGAGAAGAAGAAAAAAGTGACTCTTTAATTTTTGTTGAATGACTTCAGACACGTACTTGTTCAGATCCCAGTGCGACAGGGTCACCGAATGCTGACGTCACTACCTCGTTGTACTCTCTGAAGTTGGCTGCGGCGCGCACCGGACCAGATGACGAGACGGCCCCATGCACTAAATGAGGGTACTATGGAGCAAAAGTCGGGATTAGAGTTGAAGGATCGATTGTTTCAGAATTCATGTCATGGAAACTGGATCGTCATTACTGCATGGGGCGTGGCCAGTGGCGTAAGTACTGGGGGCCACGGAGGGGGAGGGTGCCCCCACAATAGATGTCCCCCCCCCCGTTTAAAATCTTGAATTGAACAAAGAATAAAAAATATATATATCATTTGCCTTCAGTGCCCCCTTGAAAAAAAATTATGCACCCCATTCCAGGTGCCCCTAGAAGTTTAATCCTATTTATATCGCTGCTGGGCATGGCATTACTTGTCGTACGCGCATCTCAGTGCTCCTTTAACTACTACGCCAAGTTCGATCTGTGGGGGCGCTATAACGAATCTACGTTGAGGGGACGAACAGAGGTGATTTTGAGTTTATAGTGAAGCAAGTTAACAAGTTGCAATATAGTTTTTCAAAATTATTTACCTAGTTACTACACCTACTGAAATTTGCTTAATCAGTGGTATGCTTTATACCCACAAAATAAGTCTGGTTCCCTGTTCCCATTGTAATATGGGGACAGGTAGCTAACAGTGAATCCTGGAACATTCGGACGCTTTTCTCCTAATGTGTGGACCTTATATGCATGACGTACTATTTGTGAATCCCGCCACCTAAATTCAAAATCACAACAGCAATATTTGCGCTCAACCAGCCTTTTGCAAAATGACAACACAAGCCACGAGTGTGCCATTTCGGAGTTGATGAGCTTCGCATTTTGCTAAATTCGAAAGTAACCTACTTTTAAGATGAAATAATCTCTTGATAAATCATCTCGGGATGTCGACATCCTACTTTCAAGATGTCGTCATCCCGTGATTTACTGTCTCACAATGTTGGGAATCCTACTTTAAGAATTGTGCAATCCGTGATAAAGTATCTGAGTATGTTGGCATCCCTCTTAAAACATGTCTTTATTCCGCGATAAGTGAACTCAGGATGTCGACATTTTACGTGTATTAAAGATGTTGTCATCCCGTGATAAATTGTCAGGATTTCAGCACCTTGGATGGCACCTCTAGAACTCCGTAGGTATATAGTAGGAATATAACACCGTAATGTTATTTGAACACACGTCTACCCCTCAAAATTTGAACATGGCAAAGTACCTTAAGCCTGAACCACGCCGTCAGCGCTCCGGGATAGGAACAGCCAAAGCTTATCCAGAGGTTCTTCTCTGTCAGCTTAAATGTCTTGGTGGCGTAAGCATGGAATGACACAAGATCGGCAAGCCTATACAGAAAATGAAATGAAATCGTTGAACCTAGGAAGGTAATACTTCATCTGATGATGGTGGATTTAAAGGTGATATCATAACATGGTCCCCCCCCCACAAAAAAATGCAAGTATATCGGATAGATGGACCGCGAGATGTACTTCCACAACCTCGATGAGAACAATATAACCAGGATGGTGACCTTCTACCCATTATATTTGCGAGAAAAGTCACAAGCTTTACTCGGTTGGGACTCGAACCCACGACCTTCTGCTTATAGTATTGCGGAGTTATGTACCACTCGACCACTGAGCTTGCTGGGATCGGGTAGCAGGTTCGATCCTGATGTAGCAGCGGGCACCGTAACTAAATTACTTATTAGATGCCGGGGAAAGGTCGTAAATTCCATCGTTTAAAATGATACAGCTATAGCGTACTATACTGGTCGTCATACGAGGTGGTCTTGAAACTTACGGACTAATGCGCTACACGAAGAGTTTGTTTGCTGCACAAAATGGCAGCCATGTTTATTATATGAAGTGTGTCGTCAATGGGAAGTTGGCAGAATGGTGCCTTAGGCCTGAACGACTGGATGCGTCTCGGGGACTCATTTGTCAACTAATATAGGCTGCCTGCGCTGCCCTCAAACCGTGTTACTGTTATACCTCTTTCTTGAATACTGTATTTTCATTGGCCTCGAACGATCACGTGTTAAGTTTATGAAAAGTCATAGCACACTCCCTATGGGACATCACGTACGTGATATCCCACAAGGCGTGTGCTTTGACTTTGTACGTACGGTACGCACGGTGTGAAACGCTTGTATCGTTGGTACCGCTATTTCACCATGTTTGCACACATGAGTGGGAGCAGCCAACTAGCAGACGATCAGCTGTTTCGAGCACGCGACATGCATGTGAGTCACGTTCGATTGTCATGATTGTTGTGTTTGCTGCTGTTTGTTTTCGTGATTTTTGCATCACAAACCAAAGAATCCAAGACAGAGGTATAACAATTAATTCGCCTTGGGTGCTATGCGCCCCTCAGGTGTTTAAAACGTCCTATCGCACATCACAGCAGTCAACAATAATTGTTAATTAAAGTTGCACGGTGACCGTTCATAATTTTGTGAATCGAAGATGTTGATGACGATGGTGATGATCGATGACGGTGGTGATGATCCTTGTTTCAATTCTGAAACATGTTCCAGGTGTAACTTACGCTTGCTGGCTCGACAAGTAGTTCAACTGATCGAGTTTCATGTATTCCTGTGAAATGATGCCATAGAATCGGTGTTCTACCGCCAGAATGAGGGCGCCCTCAGTCACTGCCAAATCGGCGATTGGACCTTCAGAGAGCGACACACAGTCCGTCAATGATTTTAGAGTGGAAAACTACCCGAATTTTGTCTTAAGACAATTGTTATGCGGTGTTATTTTCCCTCTCTCTCATATTTGTAATTTAGTATCTGGGCATGGCAATGGTTTTTATCCTTTTTTAACTTAACTGTTACCCAGCACATAAACCAATAGAGGACACGGGTAGACTCAATTTAAGAGAGCCCTCATCGGTTGCCAGACCAGCGGCGAGATAAAAAGTTAATGCAAAATCTACGAGTCACTGATTGTTATTTGCTGCACTGACGTGATGGGTGCAAGAGTGCAATGACATTCCCATAGACACAAGTGCTAAATGCCCATACTTCAAAATTCTTTTAAAAATACTCAGAACTCTCACAGGTATTTCAGCTGCACAGTAAAATGATAATCAACATGTCATCTTTTATTTTATTTTCATTTTTTGGTGGGTTGACCATTGACTTTTCAAGGAATTCTCACTCAAAGAAGATGACACTATTTTTCCCAAAGCGGAAAAGTAGCCATCTTGAAGAAGAATCCCTTTACAACACGGCAAAATTTCGCGCCCAATAATTGCATCCAAAATGCTCAGAATTGGAAGGCCCAAGTCCGGGCCAGTAGTTTATTGCCATATCTCTTCAGTGCTATGACGATTATTCCCCTCATTTGTGTATACCTTGCCAAAAAAAACGCTATGTCGATTATTCCCCTCATTTGATACGGTGGCCAAAATTTTGGACAGATGCTGATGGCCTAATAAAAGGTACGAAGCGCGAAACAAATGAACAGTATCTAATGAAGTTGAAGAGGGGGTAGAGTGGGACCACGTTTTGACGTTGGAATAGGGTAGAAATCCAAGAAATTACCGTTGCTGAATTCATATGGATTCATTGTCCATTCCCCGCCAATGTATAGGAAGACTGGTCCGTCAGGTTTGCGCCAGTACTGATCAACCACGTAATACTTCTGTTGGTACTGGCCCGTGGTCTGCACCTCGAAATGGTCAAGCGGTTGCGGCAGGTAGCTAATCGTGTAATTTGCAGCTCGCATCTTGATCCCCAACCTCGCGATCTCGTCCTCATCCAAGCGATCCCACAGTTGCTTGTGTTGATTAAGCACATAGCTGAAGTGATTTTCTGCAAAGCGACGTAAAGGCGACTGGTTACGAGGTTGACAAAGCACTCAGACCTACCCACTTTACTCATCTCAGGCATAAAAAAGGTAAATTGTACTCAGAAATTATTAATAATAATAAATTATAGGTTTTAGAAAATAAAGATAAGAATAATATAGGAATAACAAGAGATGTAGGGACCCACACAAAAACACAGCTTGTCGATTGCGAGTCCCTGAACAAAACAACAAAGAAGATAATGGAAGACAAGGACGAGTACAAACAAGTACAGTGCGAAAGCTAAACAAAAGCGGAGGATGACAAAATATAATGACTATCAAATTAAATATGAATTTTAAAGGAATATGAATGAATATAAGTATACGGGGTTCCAAAACAAGCAAACAAATTCAAAGGAACATGTCCAGAAAGCCATAGCAGCATAATGATGTAAAATACTGCAACACGATGAAGGAGAAAACACTTGGGGTGATCTGCCTTGAATGTTAATATCTAAGCTGTAGCGGTAAGCAAGGGCGGATCCAGGGGGGGGGGCCAAAGGGGGCCATGCCCCCCCCCCCCAAAACGAAACCAATTTTTTTTTTTTTTTTATGTGACATCGCAATAAAGGCAGGCAATGAGTACACCACCATCTTTTCCTCAAAAAAAATTGGTTAAAGTGGTCAGAAATTGCCTCAGATCGCACCACAGAGCATCCAGAATCCAAAAATTTTTGGGGGCCCTCGCGGGCCCCGAACCCCACGCCGTAATTTTTTAGACCCACTTTTTTGGGGGACCAATTTTTTTTGGCCCCCCAAAAATTGTGTTCTGGATCCGCCCTTGGCGGTAAGTCACATGAGGTTTGGTTGTAAAAAAAGTTGCTCATTCGGGGGGGGGGGGGGGGACATAATCGTTTTGTGAAAATTCGACCTCGATTTGTGTAATTTAAACAAAAAGAAAACTTGGTGCCATGAATTCAGAGGCTTATAGACAGGTCTATAGTGTACTATAAAGATCACTGGTTAGGACAGACATAACGCCTTTTAAGTGATCTTTATTGTACACCATACAGGTCAAATATCGGTTGGATTGTCGGTAGACATTTGATGAGTTGATTTAAAGCCAGTTGTTTGAGCTGTCCTTCCACAACACTCACGACAAAAGTGGACAAAATTTGGGGGCAAAGAGTAAAACTTACCAGGCTGCTCTGTAGCCATCACATGAAGTGCGCCACAGCACACCACAAGAAGCAGGCTTGTCCAGCCGTTCATGGTTGCCTATTAAGCAATTGATCATGACAGCATCAAAGAGACGTAGTGTTTTCTTTTCTTTTAGGGGGTTCAAGAAAGATTAGTATTGTATATGGAATGAACATGTTCTTGTAAATTATGAGTCCATGTTCATAAATAGACAGAACTCCGGAGAAGTAAAACAAAAATAATGGGCGTTGCCACGATTTTTTTTTTCCAGAGGAGGACAAATCCCTTAACCACCCCGACGCCCATGAGTATAACCAGAGAGAACGCAGCTATTGTATCTGCATTTCCTTATAGGCCTACATCGTATTGTGTTGGAAACGACTAAAGCCAAAATTGCATCCAGTTTCTCACACCGGCTGATTCAGAACCCTTTTTTTCACGGGGGAAGGGGACGACTACAGACTACGGCATCGACTAATAACAATAGATTTCAAATAAAAATGGAAACAAAAATAGGGGGCCCGGGGACTTGGCCCCCTTTGCCTTCCCTGACACGCATCCGCCAAAACTGTGACCGATAATCGATCACATTTCAATTAGGATTTGCATGGAATTTAAGCTGATCATCTGTTTTAGTTTAACTGACATTTGCTTTGAATATTTAGCAAATTTTCGCTCTAAAGGGCTCTGGATGTAGTTAGACAGGGATAGCATAATACAGATATTTCCAAAAGGTAACAGTTAATAGATGTAATGCGCGTCAGGTATCTTAGAGGGTGTTCTTAACTTCTTTATCTTAATTTAATTACAATGAATACACAAAAGTTTCACTCATGCCTATCCAGGCGATACAAAACCATTACCCTCTAACTCCGCCTTAACGCGTAAGGCCTATACGAAGGGGAAATAACTGAGAGAATATCTCATAATTAACTCACTGCGAGAGAACATGTGCACACTGAGGTGAGATAACCACTCAAAAACCTTTTGAATAATTATCAAAATCGTGTCAATATCAATCAGCAATAGGTAACAATATGAATCCAGGGCTGATTTGCAGCACGCTTTGGGGTTCTGTCAATAAGGAACTAAACAACTGGGCTGCAACATTAGTTCAAAATAATACGGTACGTAGAAACATGATCTTACCTTTTTCCGGGTTTTACTTCGAAGGCCTAGCACCACTTTGCAACAGGAACACTATGATAGTCCAAAACTAAAAACGGAAAAACTGCGCCTTTATAAAGCTTGATACAACTCAAAGGTCGTTTTTCGTGTTCGTTTTTGGAAGTTTGAAGAAATATTTACAGAATCAATTAAACTTTGGATTAACCTGTTCGACCTTGCTATCTCTCCTTTTACGTCAATTGTAACCTTTTCCTACAGGAGTGTGTCTGCCTTTGTGTTCATGATATGGTTCAATTGAAAAGATTCACAATTGTTATCTCGTGTTCGCACGAATAAAATGGTACCATGTTGTACTTGTGTTAATCAAGTTCATCAGTTCATGACAAAAATTGAAGCTTTACCGAACAAGCAAACTCTTCAAAACGTGAGGAAATATAAACGATTCAAATGTTATCCCATGTTCACGCGATTAGATGGTTTATTGTGTACAATCAAGGGGAGTGGGGGATTGGGGGATGACCTTGATCCCAAAATTGCCCGACCATGGACATTCGAAAGTCAGGGGGGGGGGGGATTGGAGGAGCTTGCTGGACACCAAATTACACTAGGGGCGCTGTTCATTATACAGTTTCACATCTTATGAATGTTACGCGTCTTGACCTTATATTATAATGGTACATTTAAAGCTTTTGTACCTTTTCCTATTTTTTGTTTCAGTGCTATTGCACATTTTGGTTATTGGAACGTTCGAAATATACCTCGAATCCGCCTTTTTTTGTTTCTCACTACGGAAAAGTGGCCGGGGATGATCCAATAGCCCCCCCCCCCCCCCCCCACGGTCAAAAAGTGGGGGATTTACGCCCCTGGGCAAGCCCACCGCCTTCAAGGTGCCTGGGACCCTAATTTTTTTTCTTTTTACAATCCCTGAAGTACAAGGGCCACAAGTAATTTTGTAAGAGAAAATAAATTGACTAAAAATCCTGGCCTGCACCCTCATACTAAAGGATTTTATTTTTGGAGCAAAACACGGATCCCATAATTGACCATTATCATGTTGCGACCATCTTGATTTTTTCCCATTCAAATCAACGTAACCAAAGCGAGGCTGGAAGGAAAAAAATAGTCTGGGTCCTTTTTGCACCAAAAACATTATCATTCGGTACTGTTATTGATTGCAGGGAACAAGACTGAACTTGAATGGTGGCAGCATGATAAAGGTCTACTGAACCTGAGCGTCCACTGGGCCTTGGCTATTTGGAAACCGCATCCGGAACGAAGCCAAGGTTTTGAAAAAAGCCCACAGTATTGTTGTACAGGCACAATACCACGATGATGTGTTCTTTCCAGCACGAGTGCACAATAATGAAACGCAGTGGCTAAAGTTCACGGCTGTCATTGTCATGTACATGTACAATATTTGTCGTCGATACGTGTGAAAAACGATCCGTGAACAACTAAAATGCTGGGTTATTTAGAGGTTCACAGCAACAACAGTGCACCACAAAAGGCAAGGTTGAGAATATACTGGAGGGGTATACTCTCTGACCAATAAACGTTTACGACGGTTCACAACCACCAGTAGCTTCGGTTGTCCAGTGTGTGTGTTTTTTCAGCGGATCATGGGGAAACCAAAGCCGGGGAAGGACGGCTTCCCACCCGGCCCAAAGACGCTGCCTCTGCTCGGTAGCATGGTGGACTTCGGAACCAACGACGCTTTCCTGGCCAAGTGGTCGGAGTTGGGCAGGGAGTACGCGTACGGGAGCGTGTTCAGCATCAAGACGGAAGGCCGGTGGGTGGTGTTCGTCACCGGTTGGGAGGCAGCTCGAGAGGTGCTGGTCAAGAAGGGGCTGGACTTCTGTGACAAGCCTCGGTACCCGTCTGCCAATCGCTACAATCCTGAGTACAAAGGTGCATACAAACGTTTAAAAACATAGACATTTTGAATAAAAGGGTAAGAGGGTTATGGCATGGTGTATAGGCATATGGAATTGAAAGCTAAGATATTGATGGATAGAAATTATTTGTCTACTTTCGGTCCGTGCTCCCCGGGTGCCCCCATTTGAAATCTTGAATTGTACACAAACAATATATACATTGCCCTCAATGTACGTCTCCCTTGAAAACACGTTTGCCACCCCAGGCAGATGCCCCCTATAGACCATTATCATGTTGAAGCCATCATCTCAATTTTTTTCCCATTCAAATCAACGTTACCAAAGCGAGGCTGGAAGGAAAATAGTCTGGTTCCTTTTTGCACAAAAATATTATCATTCAGTACTGTTATTGGATACAGGGAACATGACTGAAATGGTGGCCGCATGATAAAGGTCTATAGCAGCTTAACCCTAGTTAACCCTATATTGTGCCTATTTTACTGTCTGAGGTTAATAGGCTTCAAGACATATAATCCTTGAATTTGCACTAACGTTTAAAAGGAGTTGTTCATAGCTGTGGGTGTTGTATATAGTATTTTAACCATGATGCTAGGTTTACAATCTTATTTTACAGTCTTCCGAAACAGCAGACCATTTTTTTTTGCAGGCGGCCAGATTGTCGCCACGGCTTTCCATTAGCGCCCTCTATTGTCGGATTTTGTCAGAAGTACATGTACATGTACTACATGTATCTACATGTACATGTATCTACATGTATGCAAAACCATACAAAACGGTACATGATATGACAGTGTATTCATTATATAAACAGTGCAACAACGTGCTAAAATGTTTGTACGCTGACTAATATGCGAATACCTTCTTTTAAATAAAAAAAATAACTAAATATAAGATTAAGAGCACAGGACAGATGAATTAAAAATTCAAAAAAGAAAATCGGAATGGAGTTTGATTTTCCGACCTAGTAATAATATTGATTCCGTTTTTGTGCACCTAAAGTCATTTCCTGTTCTAATTGTTTCTTTGATAAAAATGTGAAATCTGAAAGAAATTAAGTGCAAAATTTACTGAGATTACAAGAAAGAAAACGATATAATTATAAAATAAGTCTATAATTAATTTCACTGGTATAGAGCTGAATAGTTCAGTCTGCCGCATGCATTGACCATCCTTTCGTCATATTAACGAACCTTATCACTTAATATCAATGGACGCTGGAAATAAGAAGTGCTGGGTTGTTTTAAGCATTCCCCCCATACTCATGGGGTGATTGCAAGGCTCCTATGTGACGTCACTGGTCTGTTGCTAGGCAACGGGATGTCCGTCGGTCGATATGTCTGGGTGATCAGATGTGTTATGTTCAGAAGTTCATGTTAAAAGTCGCACCAGATTGTTTCTGTAATGCAATTCTGTAATGTTTCTGTAATGTAATGAAATTCATTGTCCGATTAATTGACAGAAATGACAGCTGTTTATTTATTAATAACACCGTATGTATTTTTAATTAGGCATATATCACCTGTCTTTATCATAGGCCTATTCATAAACTCAAGTGTAGGTCTATAGGCCTACCATGCATGCATGGCCTTCATGAATTTTGCCGATATGCGGCAATGAATTTGCACAAGTGTTTGCACAATACTGTTTCCTGAACATGAGTCTGCATGTTGTTTGCATTACATACGAGAAATGATGACTGCTAATTGAGTAAAACCAGGAAGCGAAACCGACTGTGGAATAATGAACCTAGACTTGCGCAAGTCATCCATTGTTTGTTATGTTTTTGTCAGCTTCGGCGAGAGAGAACGAGGGACGATGTGTTTATTCAACATTTAATTAACAGGCCATCAGCCTCGGTCCAATATTTTGGCTACCGGTATCAAATGAGGGGAATAATCGTCATAGCGATTTTTGGCAAGGTATACACCTCCAGAGTAGGAAAATATGTGATAGCATTGCAGGGGTGGCAGCTTTTTGGGTGTTATCACCTTTTTTTCTCCAAAATGTCCATCAAAATGCTTGTTACCACTCTAGGGGCGGTATACCTTGCGCATGCGCACTATAATCATTTGTGCCCTGATATGATACTGACCAAACCCCAGGATGATGAGCTATTACTTTATGATGAAGATTGGAAAGATCAACCCCAAAATCACATACGAGAATATATGGCCCAGCAGATATATTTTGACTAACTTCAATCAGCTGTTTCAAAATAATAGGGTATTTTATACATTAGACGACGTCTCAAGAGTGATGCATTCATGATGATGATGAGGTTTTGCTTAAGACGTCCCTGAGTCGCATCCTCTGACGTCATCCGCCCAGGGAAGGCGAATAGATCAGGGGACTGCTCAACATGTCACTCAGCAGGCACGGAGGAAATTCTCGTCTAGAATAATAATGATTGCACTTCTTATTTACTGGGGTTTTGTTCTGGAGAGAAAATGATGAGAACAAAGAATACTCATGTTTATTTTTTACAGTGTGGGATGGTTGAAGTATAGGAATGTTAATTATAGAAGGAACATATTTCGATCAGTCAAGAAAGGGGCAAGTCCAAGAATTCGAACACGCTATGCCCCATACGTATTCATGGATTTCAGTGTTTGTACTGTTGTGTTTGACATTTGCAACGAGAACACCTACCCGACTTTTTTTTTTTATAGTCTTTGCAATGATTATGTAATTAATGAAAACAAGGTGTTATGCTTGTGACAAAAGGGGACCTTTTCTTGGACTTACCCAAAGACAGAAAGTTAAGGGTCTGTGGGATATTGGAATTTCTACCGGCGCTATGTTATGTTCGTTGTAAAAAAAAAAGCCTAAAAACAATCCCAGAATTTTTTAAAAGCTTATTTTCCCTGCTCGAATGTTGCGTTTTGGTTCAGCGCCCCGAACCATTGTATAGATTGCAGTGTGAGACAGCGGAATCAATGGGCAGTGGATTTTTTTGCCCTCACGTTTTGAAAAAAAAACCCAACGAAAATTAACTCCTCGCCCACATTTGGATTTCAGCTATAAACACACCGATGTACTGTGCCCCTCCCCCTCGTATAGGGAGACCTTTAATTGAAAATGGAAACAAATAGTTTCCCGCCAAATTGTTTTTAGTTGAGGGTATTAGTTCTTAATAAAAAACAATTAATAAACATAGTTTGATGTATTTCAGGGATTTTTGACGCTCCATGTAATGACCAGTGGAAGTGCCAACGAAGTTTTGCGCACACGACACTGCGCAGCTTTGGCTTTGGCAAAGTAAGCCTGGAGGGCGCCATCATACAAGAAGTCATGGACCTCATGAAGAAACTACAGGTAAGGTGGGAACAATTCACAAAATTAATATTAATTTTTCGTCGGATTAATCATGACGTCACAGACACCACGAAGTAACACTCGTGTACACACAAGATTTTGCTTTTTAGGTTTTGCCTTCTCTTTTTGACTTGATTTTCTTATCAGTATTCTTTAATATCTGTTTTGATTTACCATGGAGAGAAATTAAATGTTACCAAATTAAAAACGAAAACATGAAATGAAATGATTTCAATAAGTCTTGTCCCTAAATCAGCAGGATGGAGTGAATTTCCACTCGTTTAATGTTCTCTATTTGAAAATAAACATCCAGCACAAAGACTGTTCCCTATAAAATCTTATTAAAAATCCACTTGATTTCTAAAGTTGAACGCCTTCTAGAACAACACTTTGCGTCAAAACTGCAGAGTATTTTCAGTTGGGTTTTTCATTGTGGACATTTGATGTATTGAATTTATTAAATTTGCTGTTTACATAAAATCCAATCCACCTAGTAAAGCAGAAATCGAACCAAACTTATAAGATCCCCTCTCCCCTCCCCCACCGATTCTTCCTTCTAGGACCAAGGGGACAAGCCTCTGTACCCCCGGGACCTCCTGGGAGCCCACACCGCTAACATTCTCTTCTCGATAACCTTCGGCGTCCACTACTCTCACGACGACCCGGAGTTCCAACGGCTGCTGGACTGCTCCCGTACCCTCATGGTCGACTACGGCAGCTCCCGTTGGTCCACGGGGAAAGACATGGCCCAAGCGTCCCGAGGTTTAGAGAAATTTGTCACGGGACAGATCCAGAGTCACGCGGAATCCCGCGTGGCCGGCGAGGAAGCGCGCGATTTCATCGACGCTTACTTGGCCAAGATTGACGAGGACCCGGCGGCGTTTACACACGATGAGCTCGCCTACGTCTTGGTGGATTTGATCGGTGCTGGGATCGAGTCTGTGTCATTCACTCTACTGTGGACGCTACTGTACATGAGTCGATATCCAGACATCCAAGACAAAGTGCACGAAGAAATCCAAACTGTGAGTATAATGGGTCATTCATAAATACTTAAGACAGTTCACCCATTTCTATTGGTCGAATCAGTCACGTGAGCGGTGTTCACTGAGTAAAGATCAAACCTTGTATTGAAAAAAATAATCTTCGAAAGGTTTGAAATGCGTCTGGTAAAAAAAAGAAAGAAATATTAGATAAAAGAGTTCAGAAATTTATTGTTAGCTATAAATTTAGGCCACAAATATGATTTTCCCAAAACTATAACTGCGTTTATTTTTCAGAGTCGAAGTAGCTGTCTTTGAAAATAAACAACTATTATTTTGCGACTTTAAACTAAATTCTCTAATTCTTTAGGTTATCACGATCTTTTTTTATACATTTCTTTTCTTTATACATGTATAGGTGATAGGGGAACGTAATATCAAATGGGAGGATCGGAATTCGCTGCCTTATAGTCAGGCTACCTTGATGGAGATCCAGAGAGCCGCCAGTCTATCGTACATGGTCGTCAGGGCAGCATACACAGACTCCACCATCTTTGATTATAAGATCCCCAAGGGAACCGAGGTGTGGGTGAACATTTGGTATGTATTTTGCCGAGGAAAAGGGCATTGAATCTGTATGAATTGCGAACTAAACTGACTGGAATTTTAAAAAAGAGGAAATTCCATACTGCTTGAAGCTGTGCGTGTAGGCCTAGTCGTGATTTTGTGGTTTTTTGTTTACGTGGCACGTATGGAAATGAAAAATGAGGAAATCTGCTGACCCTAGTGAAAATTGTACTATGACCAACTTATGTAAGTTCACAACCACATCCTGCACCGAACACACATACAAATCATCGTTTTCCAATGAGTGAAAACTAGGGACCAGACGATTGAGAGTGCACATCACTAAAAACAAAACAGATTTTAGTTCCTTGAAAAAGAATTATTCAAGTGGGCACTGGAGTGCAGACTCGATCTATTCGATTGAACACTGTATAACTATGTTTCTAAATGTTTGCTTGTTTTTGTATTTTATTATGTGTTTGTTATGGATGTCATGCCTTACACAAGATTTTGCTTTTTAGGTTTTACCTTCTCTTTTTGATTTCTTATCATTATTCTTTAATATCTGTTTGATTTACCATGGAGAGAAATAAAATGTTACCAAATGAAAAACGAAAACATGAAATGAAATGATTTCAATAAGTCTTGTCCCTAAATCAGCAGGATGGAGTGAATTTCCACTCGTATAATGTTCTCTATTTGAAAATAAACATCCAGCACAAAGACTGTTCCCTATAAAATCTCATTAAAAATCCACTGGTAATCCTTACTTTTAGGACCCCTTTCCTATATAAGGTTAAAAGACTCACCAAAACAGCTGACTAAATGACACTCAAAAGTGACATTCTGATATTTATTGACACATTTGAACATTTGGCATTTAGCAATGACACCTCTTGAATATCAGCAGGTTTGATTTTGTAGAAAGAGGGCAGGGTTTTGATTTATGAGGGGTTAAAGACGACGATGACAAACAGAAAATAAATTTAAAAAGCAAGATGGCGAACTGCAAAAAAAGGTAGGAAAGTCACATTTTCTTTGAAAGTGCTTTCAAAATTATAACTAACATGAGTTTGTTTGAAGAAAAAAAGACTTCTTTAGCCTGCAAAAGTCACTTTGGTACTGGACAGTCATCTGCAAAAGTCAGTTTTGAACAGAACTCGTACAAAATAGAGGTGTCCTAAAAGTAAGGATTACCAATCCACTTGATTTCCTCGCATGTACATATTTAAATGTCTTGCTTTGAAGGTCAGTCCACCACGATCCCAAGGTATGGAAGGACCCCGAGACATTTAACCCGGGAAGGTTCTTGAACGAGGATGGCACGGAACTGGTTCGTCACGAAGGTTTCATCCCTTTCTCTGCTGGTGAGAAATTTTGTGATCCAAACAGAAAGATCAACAAGGCTGACTGGTCTCGGATTGTGATTAAACTGATTTGACTGATCTGATTGCACTGATTGAATCGATTGAATTGATTAATCTGATTGCACGGATTGAATTGGATGATTTGATTACACTGAATTGATTGATTGATTTTGATTGCACTAAACTGATTGAATTAATTAAATCGATGTGGTTGATTAGATTGCACTGAATCGATCTAATTGATTGAATTGCTTTGACCTGATTGAACTGATTGACCTGATTGAACTGATTGATTTGATTGAACTGATTGAATTGATTAAACTGATTGAATTTATTGCATTGATTGAATCGATTGTATTGATTAAATTGATTATATACTGATTATATTGATTAGATTGATTGATTGAATTTAATGATTGAAGTGATTGGAGTGAATTGATTCAATTGATTACATTGATTGGATTAAAAAGATTTAATTGATTGATTTGGTTGCACTGATTGAATGTTTGAAGTGATTGCACTAAATGAACTGTTTTGATTGCCATGATCGAATTGATTGATTGGATTGATTAACTGTTTCATTTTTGGTTGCAGGACGTCGGGGATGCATGGGCGAATCCCTTGGCAAGATGGAACTTTTCATATTCTTCACATCTCTCATGACACACTTCCGGGTGGAAACGCCCCCTGGTGAGGCCCCGCCCACCTCGGAGGGGGTCCTGGATTTCACCAGAAATCCTAAGCCTTTCAAAGTCCGATTTATGCCGCGATAGACAAAGGGAATAAAGGGGGGGGGGGGCTTTCTGCAATCATTGTGAATGTTTGGGAAGGTCGTTTAATGAACAACATATAACTCCCATTAATAATTATTCGGTAAGAAAATTCGTTAGTCATTAAACTGCCTTAATTTTGTTATACATTGTAAATAAATTATTTTATGAATGAGTGACATGACTTTATTTTTGTGCTATATTTCGAACTTTGTAAGAACAATAGGTGGCATATTTGCAATTCAATATGGATTTGAACGATTTGTTCGATGAATAATTTAACTAATGAAGGCCAACTATTTACGGTGAATGGGCGTAGATATGTAAGGTATATGTGTATATGCACAGTGTATAATGATTATAAGAAAGTAACATAGGCAAGTAATGAGCATTATTTTGGAAATAAACTTTAGTTCCACCATTTCTTCTTTTTTTTTCCATGGGATAGGGATGAAAGCAGTATACTTGAGCACACAAAATAAGACACATACTTTATGCAAGTCTTCATCATTTTTGCAATTTATTTAATTTCATCATACCATTTAAATAACAAAATTAATGGAAAAATCTCACCCCTGCTATACCTCGAATTACATAGACATATAAAATAGATACAAAATCCCCTAAACAATCCTATATATAACTAGACTGTTTGCAAGTTGTTATTGCCCTCTTTGCGAAATTTGAATATTTTCACCAATTGCATAATTTTTTTTTATTTCGAACAGATGCTTGCAATTTCTTTTGTTATTCCGGATACTGGTAAGAATGACAATTTTATTTTGAAATATATTCTGTTCATAACCCAGTTTACATTTGGCACGAACCTGAGTGCGAAGTATTTTTTGAGACAAAATGAAATAAGTGTAGTAATGTCTCCATTATTTGCAATTTTATGAGTGGTGTACACATATCGAAGGATAATGTTTTAATCTACATTACATGTCTCACCATTATATTTGTGTTTCTTAATATGAATGTATATATTTTCAACATTTTTGTAAAACTAAAATTCACTTCAATCACACCGCAAAATGAGAATAGATTCGGTAATATCCAAACACCCTTATTAATATCCCATCATCCTTATTAAGTAATTTGCCTCGTTTATTAAATCACAAAAAAAGCATTTTCGTCAAAATTGAAAGTTGCATAATGTTAAGTGCCAATTGAACGTTTATGCATACAGAAATAGTAATTTTCATCTAAATTATCTACTTTTTTTATAATAAACTTGACTTTGTTTTAGCCCACAAGTGTACTTTTGTCTTACACATAGAAGATTTACATATGACATTCTCACTGCAAACGTTGAGTTACTCTCTCAAATATGATTACAAGAATATTGTAACAGACCGACTCATTTCATAGCATTTAATGAGCGCATGTATTACAAACGAGGTATTATTGTAGCTAAAACCACAGCCTAAGATCTACCTGTTTATGGGAACAGCGGAACGAAAGGAGCTAAATTTGAATATTTTTGAAGATCACAGAAATGATAAGGGTTCTAGTAAAACAAATAGTGTATGTACAAGTGTACATGTATTTCAATATTTAATAATACTCGAAAATGAAATGATTCGCGATATATGATCAGTTGTTTGGTGTTTATAGTGGAATGCTCCACTTTTACATTCAGAAAACTTGATTGACAAGTTTCAGGGGGATTCTTAGTTTATAATCAGCATTTGGGATTATCACGTGAACATAAGCTGGTGTACCTGACCTGACCCCTCATACCGGCCTAACCCAATACAAGTCAACGGGGGAAAAGTGACAAATAAGATTAGAAACATACGGCTAGTTCTCCTAGCCAGATTTTTTTTTGGAAATCTAACCTGACATTAAACGGAAATATTCAAACAAAATACACAAATAAACGTCTTAGGAAAAAAGTGGATTAAACGATACATTATATTTCAATCCTTATTTCTGTTTCAGCCAAAAAAAGACAAGGGCGATAAATAAAGCAAAGCATTATACATGTACAATGTACTTAACATTGAAGAGAAACGAAAGACTCTGTGACAAAACAATAAAATTTGTCTTAACATGTCTACTGCAGTGCCTCCGATTTTTTCTTTAAAATGTGATCCATCTTGGTGCCCTACCCCAAACCATTAATAAGTAATGTCTCTAGTTTAGATCTGAAAAGAAAAACACGATTGGGTTGATTTAATTACTTTCCAGCGATAGTGACGTCAGACATAAGTTGAGCAAGAACCTGGTCAACATTAGATGCATCCGCCTCCTTACTGACGAATTTATCTTCTAGAGCCGACAGTAGGTTGGCTCCTCTGATCAGATCCTGGACCAAGGAGTACTCGGTGAAGCCAAGACGTCTCCAGTTGGAGATGTCGACCCTGTCAACAATGGCGGAGTGCTCCCCACTGCTACCCCGGGCCTGGCAGTTGATGGTACGGGCCATCTTGTCAATCTCTGCAAGACCAAGAGCTGAAGCAATGGTTGGGACTCCGATGTGGACGCTGCCACGCATAGCTGTACCCAAGTTGGATGGACAGCAGGTGATAACGCCCAGTGCGGGATCACTGGCAAAGACGCTCTCGCGGCCTGTGACCTTCTTCACGCCTTCTTCCATGGCCTTAATGGCGCGCGAGAGACGCGTAAAGACGCTCTTGATGTCACCTCCTTGCTCCATGGAGATGATGCGGAGGTGGTCACCTTCGTTCACCCAGACGACGAAGGTCTTGCTCTTGTTGAGGAAGATGCCTCTTCCCTTGGGCCAGAAGCGATGGTAACCGGACGCAGCCTGCATCTTATCTTTGCCACGGAAGAGGAAGTGACCGTCAACGAGCTCCTGGGTCTCCTCAGGCGTCATCTCAGTGTGGCGGTGGAAGGTACCGGCCAGGTCAGAGTAGGTGTCGGAGTCCTTGAAGGAGTCGAAGACCTTGGACATGAGATCTGCAATCTGATTCCTGGTTTCCACCGTGCCTCCTGGGTTGAGTGGGAAGAAGTTGAGGTTCCTAGCTACACGGATACGGCTGGAGAAAACCTTCGCCTTGGCTTCGTCTTTGAGAGCTACGGTCAGCTTGTCTGGATCCATGTCGGTGATGTGCTTCATGGATCCATCCAGCTTGTACCCCACGTGGTACTTCTCGATGACCGGATGAAACAGCTCCTTGAAGATTTCATAAGACTCTGGATCCCCGGCGTGGCATCCCACGAAGGAGGATTGGTAGCAAGTACCAGTGTTCATGGCCCTAGCGATGGTCCATCCTGCCGTCTTGGTCTTGATGTCCTTGAGCTTGTTGAAGAGCTCTGGGGTCATAACCTTACCCATCAGGGAGACATCCTTGCCTTTCTTGCCTTCTTCTTGATGGCTGGTCAGTTGCTTGGGCCACTGATTCTTGGCCAGGTCATCGTCCATGATCAGGTCAAAGAAGGGGTCATGCTTAGGATCCTTGGCCGCCATAGACTGTGTAACATATTCGGAGGATGCCATGTCGCTCTGTGATTGAGAAGCCTTCGGAGATGGTTCTGATGATGGGTTGTTTGGGGTGGTTTCGGTAGAATTACAGCCACCTGCATGGAGAGAAAACCAATTGAGGATGACAATAAATACAACCGGTGAATACTTTCTGCGCAGAAATCGATGCAGCTTGCTTAAACGATGTTCACGCGCGAGTATTATTGACAGCACATCATGTATGCTATTATTTTGAAGCATACGTTTGAACTCTGGTGCGATCCACAGGTCGTACAGTTTATGTGGTCTAAATCACCTCCAGGTGGCGCTTTTCATAGGGGTAGCGTGATTGGGGGGTTTGAAGGGGCTGGAACTCAAGGCCACGAGGGCGCTGATGTACAGCCGGGAATGCGCATAAAAGCTGCCCATGCTCAGGCCAGATATCAGCCTCATGTATTTGTTTTCTTTTCTTTCTTTTTTTGATGCAAATTTGGGGAAAAACAGCAATCTTTCAGGTTTAGGGTACACCCCATGTAAATAGGCAAAACATCCGTCCATCGAGCTCATGAATCAAAGTTATACACTCAAATTATTTTTATTAGAGAGTTATGAGAGTCATGGATTGGGAAACTGAAGACATGTGGCACTCCACCTCTGGCCTGGACTTGGGTTGCCAATTCTGAGCATTAAGTTTTGGATGCAATTGGGTCCGAAAGTGGCGCTATTTAGCCATGTTGGGGAGGGATCCTTTTTCAAATGGTAACTTTTCAAGTTGGGGAAACATCGTTCGTTTTCGGGGGTGGTCTTGGTGAGAATTTCTCCAAAAAGTCTTCAGTCCAGTGTCAACCCACCAAAAATCGAAAAGAAAATGTGAGGTGACAGGTTGATCATAATTTTACTGTGCAGCCTGAACACCTGTGAGGGTCCTGGGTATTTTTAACAGAATTGTGAATTATGGGGAAGTGTATCACTGGTGTTTAAGGGAATTTGCATACTGGGGGGTACCAGGTATAGCCTGACGGCAAGAGGTGTGGTTTTTTTTCTGTATAAAAGAGAACACTTCGACTAAAATAACATCGACGAATATTGTGTGCGGTGGATGGTTATAACTTTTCATGGGTGAGTGAGTCTGAGACTCTAGTAAGCAGGTATATTGAAGTAGTTCTCGAAATAAGGCATACGTTGTTTTCTGAATGCATGACTTGCAGGGAAGCGTTATAAGTATCACAAACCAGACCATGTTATTCAGGAAAATGAAAGTACATATTAAAAAAGTACTGAATGTGTTAATGTTGTTATTCAGAAAAATGAAAGTACATAATATTTATTAAGTACTAAATGTGTTAATGTCGTTAATTAATTTCACACCACACAGCAAACCTTTGAGCCAAAGTGCGATTCATCAGGATAATGATGACATACTTAAAACCAGTATTGGTTAAAGGGTCTTTATTCCATCCCAATTTGATTGGGATTGGGACAATTATTAATGCCCCCAAAATACTTTCGCTTCCGATTACATGGCATTTGAAAATACAGTGGGTAAGTTAAGTGGGGAATTTGTTTTTCTTTTTGGCTTTTTTTTGTGTAGGCTACGATCATAATGGAGATGTCTGCGTGTAGTCACGGGTAAACCGTAGTAATGAATGGTTTTCGGGGGGTTTCCAGGGGCGGATCAAGGAATTTTTGCAGGGGGGGATTCATCGGGAAATCTTGGCTGAAATGTAGACAGATTTTTTTTGTCCGGACACTGTGCCTCGTAAAATCAATAGGGGGAGGGGAGTGGGCTCGTACCATAGTTTCAATGGGGGCGCTGTTCAAATTCGACGATATTTAACATTACAATGTATATTATTACAGAATAGTGCTGGCTGACTTTTCATTTTTTTTTAAATAAAAACTACTAAAGGACGTATCGGACCGTGTCTGCCTTCTGTTAATCCATTATCACAATCACACATGCAATGGGGTGAATTTGGGTGGAGTTAGTGATGATCATGCTATAAATATATCTATTCTTCCATGCTTTACCCATGGTTTATTGGTACAATTTGAAGCAAACGCCAGGGGGCGTCCTCTTTCTGGTCGGGATTACGTGCTCAACTTGGGGCGCTGTCCAATACTGCGGACTTTTGGATGTTCTCGTTCATGCAACTCTAAAAAAATAAAATGGTGGTAGAAACTGCAAAGGGGAGAACTAAAACGCAGAAACCGAAAACAGGAATCACACATGCTAATGTTAAAAACGGAAAACAAACAAAATGGTCTACATGTACCATGCACCAGATCTCTCATATCCATGAAATATTTTCAATTTTAGTTGCACGAAATGTTTGGATTTTAAAAGGTAGCAAAAATCCTCTTGGATGTTGTAACTTTTTATAGCAATACCAATACAAACTGTATCAGTGAGGGCAGCAGAAATTAAAACGTTCTAATATAAGGGTGTTTTGAATCGTCAAGACCAGAGGGCGCACCATAATTTATGTCAGAAAGCGATATGCATATAAAGAAAGCAGTATGGATGTTGAACTTGAAATTGGTCATCGCTGCACTGAAATTACAATTCCATCGCTGGATGCCTTGAACTGCGAACACGTGACCCATTTGTTATATCGACAACGAACAAAAACCTTGCTATATTTCTCACAGCATTTTCGCTCTAAGCGCACCCTTCATTTTTACTGTGCAGGTAAAACATGAGGTTGCTCTAGGAACCACATTTCAATAAAGTGAAGTACATTCCCTACAGTGTGGAATATACTATCGACAAGATTCTGACATAATTGATATTGTCGTTTGTGCTTTGTGATAGCAAGGAGTGTTTTTATTCATTATAGCAGGCCAAAACCACGCATGTATACAATGTAGGTCCGGTTGCGTAGGCCTATGGTGACTGGCAATTTATTGCATTTCCGCTGAAGCGCAATGAATCATGAGAACTGCGTGTGGTCGATTGCAATTTATACTGTTCTGTATACAACCATATTCTCCGGAGCCAGCCCTGCCCTATGTGTGCATAATGTGCGGTTTAAATCAACCACGGAGGAAAATAAATATCAGTGTTGCAGTTTTAATCACAGAGTGTGTTAACTATCTAAGGGATTTTTTAAGTCTTTACCCTCCTATGCAAACATACATTCTCAGTGTGCCAATTCTGTCCTTTCAGTCACAATAAATCAAGCGACTGTCTTGATACGGCTGTGCTTTGACTGTAGGTGATTGATAAGAAAGTTGTGCCTCCGTCTGTGATTCATTAGATTTTGATGTAAAATCACGACAGCAAACAGCAGTATAATATGTAACACAACAATCATGGCAATCAAGTGAACGTCTACTCGCATGCATGTCGCGTGCCTAAAACAGCTGATCGTCTGCATGGTGATTCGCTGCTCAGCGCACTCCCTGTGGGATATCACGTACATGACGTCCCACAGGGGACATCACGTACATGATAACCCACATGGAGTGTGCCATAACTTTTTTTATAAACTTAACACATATCGTTCTAGGCCAATGAAAATACAGTATTCAAGACAGAGGTATAACAAATGTCTTTATTTCATAACACATATTTGTAAATAATATAAATAAAACCTGATTGTGATAAAATTAAATATTTTTCCGTGAATATAACTTATCCAAAACTACATTCCCGAGTTGAAATTCTGACCAAATATCCCATACGTAAAATACCTTGCGTCGGATAAGTATATACCTTGGAAATTCCTAGTTTTATGAGTAAAACCCATTCTTCGTGAAATCTTTGTGGAGACCTATCCATAGAAATTGCCCTGTGGACACCTTTACACAATCGTTTGTATCGTATTCTACCAGGGTCTCCATGCACAAGGCGTCAATTTTCAAGTTAGTTGCAACTAAAAGATACCAAACACCTTGATGAGAAAGAAGACACCAGAGAAACCCATCCACACCATCTATTATATTCACGCAACAAAGGCTAAAGCACTCAGGGGACTTGAAAGCTGCATTATTTGAATATGGATCCGAAGATGCCAGACTGGTCTTCTTTAAGCCGGGAACAATAGCGGACAGCGACATTGACTTGTGATCAGGGAAACAGAGCAGTAAACACCAGAAACACAGATCGATGGAAGGTGGATATCCGCCAATGTCAGTATTTTCTTCCGTGTCTCATGTTGTGTTTAGAGTTTTGCCTCGCGATGGCGTACGATACATTTAGCATCTTTTTGGCTCCTTATATCAAAACAAAACAAAACAGACACACACATACACATACACGAAACAAAATAACCCCTCAAACATGTCAAAACAAAACTTCAATAAAATTCGAAGTATTGGTGAACTAAGGCCAAAAAAAAGGCTCCGGTTTCTGGTATGTGCGCGCGTCGCCGTAGCCATGCGCGTCGGCAAAATGAAAAAGTGTTTTTTTTCAATGAAAGATGATGTCTCAAAACCGCCAAACTCACTGGTTTGACTGGAATCCTGCTGCTGCACAATTTTAACGTGTTTTTAGATTGGGTTATGGTCGACAATAAGCTTTATGTGGCCTCTCTGGACTCCCATATATTTGCACTAAGTTTAGTCGGGCACCATTTGCAGTCATCAGCCGACATTTGAAGCAAAACAATCAGGTAAAAAAAAAAAAGCCGCGTCGCCGCACCACGTTTTGGGCAAGCTCCATACCAGAAACCGGAGACTTTTTTTTGGCCTAATGATCAGCGATGGATGGCTAAATTTTGTGATCTTTTTATTAAGACAGTCATATTTTGGGAATAGAGTGTGCAAATTAAGTGAAGTTTTCACAGTTACTAGTGCTTTACTCCTATATTATTTTTTTTATGAAATAGAGCGAGCCACATATTTTATTTTTTAAATAGTCCTTCTAACTCGTTCACTTTCTTTTTGACTCGCCCTGTATTGCATTATACTCTAGTCAAATGCAATGCCCATTGTACTTCACATGAAATAGCCTTGCTGGTTTGCACCGCGTGGTTGTAGACTACAGAGTTTGCCTTTTCAGCCACACAATTTTGAATTTGAATATGAATTGTGCACTGAAAGCACAATAGGTCGCTGCCCCTGCACACCTTGTTTGACACCGTCGCAAGTGGGGGGTTGTGATCGATGGTTGCTAGGTTAACACAATAGTGGAAGGACCACCGCAACGTGCTATTATGAACTCGCGTGTACACATTGAAGCATGGTTGTATTTCAGTTTGTTAATTTTCTGAATGCAAACACTGTTTAAGTATAATCTTCAATAAAAAAAGTATGATTTCTCCAATGTTACTTGCTCTCTAATGGAGTGAAAATTCACTTCATTCCTGTGAAGATTCACTCCCACAGTCGGAAACTAGGGCCTTGACGTTTTAGAGTGAAATTTCTTCAATCGTAAAGATCGAGTTTTCACTCGAACTTCGACTGAAGTGATTAATTTTTCAGACTATTTCAATCGAAAATGAGAGTGATTTTCACTCTAAAACGTCCAGTCCCTAATTTCACTCTTTGGAATTTAGAGAGTGGTATGCAAAACTGCAAAGAGCAATACTCAAATCAACCGAACTTAAAAAAGACAATAATGGATAACATTTTCTTATAAACATTAATAAGTGTATAAAGAACACGACACAAAACAATAATTGGGGAATGTCTTCACATATAAATTTAGTGATTTTTCTTGAGCATGTCTAGTTAGATTGGTAGGAAACGCATGTTAGTCATGTTAGTGAACTCTCATACGAAGGCCACATAGATCATTCAGATTTAACATCACAACTACTGTTTGTTGTCACGCACTAAAAATAAAGCTAGCCTGCTCGTAACTAAGCAATGAGCGTGTGACGTAAGTGGCGGTAGGGTTTTGTGTGTGTTGTTATCGTATGACTTTGAATGCAAACTTGCTACTTGGCCGAGGGTCGAGTGGTTGACGGCAAACACCAATATGAATTACTTCCAATCTGACGATAACGTTTCATTTTACAGAAAAGTTGCATTTGGGTTTGTAAAAATGAGGGCATATCTTTTACGCTATGGGACTGTTTTTCACACTGATTTTTATCTATAAGTTTCCTCCATGGTTAGATTTAGAACGACAATCCTTGTAAACCGTTCTATAAGATATACTTTACAAGGAGCTCATATTATTTGCAAAATATGTATGAAACCATTAGCGACATGATTTAATATGGAAACTGAATTTAGCCGCGGCTGGGAGTGTTTTTTTTTCTCTTGACTTTTGAAACATGTACATGTACCTAACACGGTAAAAACAACATGAATATATATTCAACAGTGTATTAATGCCATTTACATGTATATCATGAAAGATGCTTTCCAGTGCTATTTCGAGCTAATTCACCATGGAAATTTGGTTTGTTTGTTCAATTGATATTTTCCTAAAGTAATATAAAAGTTATTCGCTTTTGAACGAGACATCGAACGAGAAACACATCGACAGTGTATTTATTGAATTATTTCTTAACAAAATTCCAATTATTTGCAGCCGGCCCCACAATAATTCGGCTCTCGCAGGGCGGGTTCATTTGTGGGCAAAATGAAAGCCTTTGATCAGAGTGCTTCGGAAGCCAAAAATCGAGGGGAAAAGTAGGGGGTTGGTTAAAACAAAACATTCGAAATAATTCTATTATAACAAAATTGAAATTGAAAAATAAAAAAAATCTTTTTAAAGAGCACGAGGCGATTAATTGACAACTCATTTTTTTTTTAACCAACTCTGTGATATACTAGCCTGAGCATGGAACACAGATTGTGTATCATCCATAATAATGTGCGAAGGTTATATTTTTAGAACAGCAAAATTGGTCGTTCATGATTTTCTGAATCAGCGCAGGGGCTACACTGCACACATGCACACACTGTACTGTGCATCTATTCATTACCATTGCGCTATACGACAGGATGTACGTACATGTACATAGGCCGGGGTCAAATTGATGCCTGGCAGCAGTGAATGACATAGCATGCCCGATGAAGACAGCGGTGCTATGTCAACTATGTACGGATCCCCAATGGGGGTACACCTGCCTTATATGGCTAGGCCAATTAAACAAGCAATTGCCTCCCAACCAAATCCATTAAGAAACTCACCACGATACGCTTGGAATATGCTAAATAATTCACTTGGGTTCAATATCACATGTACGTCAGATTTAGGATAATCTAACACAGTAATAACAGTACAATTTTCTCGTGAAGACCCTTTCACACAAATATTTTGAACAGAATATAATGATATAATCAATGACTTACCGGTTAGATATCGGTAAGTTAATGCAAGTAAGCACGTCACAAGCACTATCTTCCCCGTGCAGATTAACGTTGGGCGCCTGATGACTGATAGTCTTGCCGTTCTGAAGGGAAAAGCGACCGCTGCAGTTGACGCGACTGTTCCGTGGTTTGGCGGAGGTAACAGTGGACCTCTCGGGCTAGGCGTACGGTGCATAGCGCATAACGCACGGTCAGACGGCCTTGTGACGAGACATAAATAATTAAGCAGTCTGCTACGCGGGTGATGGCGTCCTAATATGGCAGCATGGCAATGGGCTGTATGAATAATTACAGCATGTCATTTTCTAGGCATTGGACTCTAAGAGTGCATAGTCCACGGTCTTTGCTATAGGACAACATCTGGAGCACTTATCAAAGATTGATTGATTGGAGCATGGAGGTAGAATTAGACCTCCATGATTGGAGGGATTTCTTCCCTTTTTTTAAATATGAATGTTTGAACCCAGTTGTGATGTGGACGCAATTAGCTAGAGTAGCGATCCGTTTTAGCTAAAGATGAGAGAGCAAGCCGTGCGAAGACTAACGTCAATTTTCAGGATCATTACTTCACAACCAAGGGCGGATCCAGGGGGGGGGGGGGGGCAAAGGGGGCCATGCCCCCCCCCCCCCCCCCCCCCCCCCCCAAAAAAAAAACGAAACCATTTTTTTTTTTTTATGTGACATCGCAATAAAGGCAGACAATGAGTACACCACCATCTTTTCCTCAAAAAAACATTGGTTAAAGTGGTCAGAAATTGCCTCAGATCGCACCACAGAGCATCTAGAATCCAAAAAAATTTCGGAGCCCTTAAGCGGGCCCCGAACCCCACGCCGTAATTTTTTTGACCCACTTTTTGGGGGGACCAACATTTTTTTTTTTGGCCCCCCCCAAAAATTGTGTTCTGGATCCGCCCTTGTTCACAACATACTTTTCCAATAATTACAGGTGTGTTGGGTCGGCCCAGGAACACTGATTTAATTAATTAATTAATTTAAGAACTCTACATAGGATTTTAGTTTTCAAGATAATTCAAATCTATTAATTTATCACGATCCTGAAAGCTCTCCATGCTTCAATGTCATGTAGTACAAGTGCGTCAGTCCAGAAATAATTCTGCAACTCAATGGAGATGATCGCTGCGCGCGTGTCGAAACGTTGGTTAGTTTCTGGAGGAAGGAACTCCTCCATGGTTGCAATAGTGATTCACTAGACGACTATTGGCCTGTAAATTCAAAGGCAAGCCGCGCACCTCGAAACCTCAGCTGATAGATATTTTTTCAAGTCTCGAATTTGCCTGATATCTTGTTTCTAATAGTTTTAAGCTCTAAAACTGTGAGCTTTCATCTGCATCTTAAGGCATCAGTAACGCAATTCAATCATTCCACAAGAATCTTGCAACATACTGTTGCTGATACACTGGAATGCTTGAAGTGGACCCATGCTCGAGTCAAGAAAGCCTGTCAGTTTCAGCCGAAGATGACGGGAGCATGCAGTCCGAAACGACGGTTATTAATGCAGTGGCATTCCTGACTTTTATGTCAATCATTCTACAAGTGTTCTTCAAGATATTGCTGATTTTGCTGTGGGTATTGGTATATAAAAAAAAAATGGTAGCATACACCGAACAGACCTTTTTCCAATCAGTGGAATATTTTCCTGGGGGAAGCCTCAAGTTTCTGTTAAAAAAATATAAACCACGACATGCGCCCTCAACGAAAGGTTATCTTCATGATTTCGCTCGTACCCCAGCCCTGCAAACAGGGACTCTGGGAGAGGCTGATGGGTGCTAAAAGCACCAATTTAGGGCCCGATCGCATCCAAAATGCTCCGAAGTGGAAGCCCCAAGTGCGGGCCAGAGGTGTATTGCCATATCTCTTCAATTTCCCAAATCCATGGCTCTCTAGAAAAATTGAGTGTATAACTTTTATTCATGAGCTCGGCGGACGGAAATGGTCTATTTACTGGTGTGCACCCAGTTTGCAGGGCGGCCGGGGCACGAGCGGAGTTTATCTCCTTACTGCAGCATCTTCACAACATGCGGCAGTGTGGGGGCGCACTTCACTAGGGTCGATCCAAGCTGTAGATTTATTTTAGCTATGCACCGGTGCGGTTGATTTTGAAGTCAGTTATAGATCAATTATGTGCCCTGTTACGTCATGCTGACAGGCAGCCGGGCAACCCAAATCAAAGTATCTTTAGCTGGTTATTTGCCCACCTTTAACAGTATAATTAAGTAGGCCCCCTAAACACTTTTAAACCATTTATACAGGTTGTCCCAAAATAAGTTGCGCAAGCTGATATCCTTTAATTTCTCAAAAACTATTCTGTATTTCATCTTGATGGAGCATATTAATTATACATGTACTCTTTTGACTTCCTAAGTTTAAACGTGGCACATGTCTAACTAGCATGAGTAGTGCCAAAATATACACAGAACATAATGTATTTGTTTGGATCATTCCATTTTGTTCACAATAATACATCTCCCCCCCCCCCCGTTAAAATGCATAGAAAAAAAAATAGCATTGTCATTTACAAAACAGCCTCTCCGCTCTCTCTATTTCTTTTCAAGAAAATCAAGGTGAACATATGGCGTGGTATGCATTTATGTATGACTTTCAAGGCAGGTCTTCGTGCCACTCTATGGTTGTGGTGCCCATTGTGGGCCTTCAACCGCCTATAGTGTGAATCGAAGCCTGGCTATTGATAGGTGTGAATCAAAGCCTAAGATTACGTGTTAGAGGTAAAATGAAAAAGACCAACCACCAAACAAAACCATTAACGCAGAAATGTGATCCCCGTTGATCAATTCCACATCACGCACTATCAACAAAGTATGGCAGGCTTCTTTTCATCAACATTGTGCACCAGTTGCAGTTCAAACTTGTAAGAGTGAATTTCTATATGCCCAGTCCGTTTCTCTGCTTTTTCCGTACATGTTTACAACATTTTCAAGGATATTGCTAGTCTGGCTACAAGACGCTAATCATTGCGAAGTTCTTTACCAATCCATACTTTCGGTCAATTATTGAGCATTCAATCGGGGCACAAGCCTAAAATCTCCGGTAGAGTTAATTTGCGTCTTTCGGTGATTATTACGGATGTTGACCTATTTATCGTTAAAATCGGGGACACAATTATACCATTATGACTTTTTTGAAGACTGTTTCGTGGCATACAATCCCCAATGAACTTTAATAGCAATTACAATACCTATCAGTGAGCATATCAGCCTAACTCATATGCAGAGTAGGTATCACGGGGCATTTGGGCTGAAGAACAAAACAAAAGAAGCGATATTCTAAAAAGCGAGAGCATATGCATCAATAGCATACATTGATGCAAATATAGGAGATTATTGCAAAAATATGTGCAGTAGACACCCCTTTTTACTGTTTGGTACAGACCACAGAGTAGACATGAACTTCACTAACAATTGTTTATTGATATTCAAATCTAGAGGGTTGGAGAGTTGGAACATTTTTTTTAAGCTTATGTAGGCCGGCAGTGCCCATGGTTCAGAATGTTCTATGCCACAGACAGAGCAACGCACGATTTGAGGTTTGCATCATTGCCACAAAAAGGTAAACAACATTTCTTTCTTTGTTCTTCTTGGAAGAATTTCTGTTAGGATGATTAAGAACGACAACAGTAGGCAGGTTAACATAACATCAAAATTTTGTTGGTCTTTTTATTTCTGTGAAGGATAACCATTTGATCAAGCTCCTATCACTTAAGGCACCCAAAAATAAAAATGCATCACATTTTGGATCCCGAAAGGGAGGCGCAGAATCCGCCCCTGCCCTCCGACCCCCCTTCCCCCAACCCCTTCCCCCACCCCACCCCACCCCACCGATATCATTGCCACGCGATTGTTTTTCACGCTGATCCTTCATGGGTTTTTAGACTGAAGTTTTGAGGATATTTTTAACAAGTTTCATGTTATTTTTGAGGAAAAATTCTTTGAAAAACGTTTCACATTGGAATTTGTCTCGAGTGAAAACTCATCTCTTCGGTTGAATGAATTTCACACTAAATCGGAATTTTCCCTAGTTTTGGTCAGACGGGTTGAATTTTCAGAGTGACTGCTCACTCTTTGATAGAAACAATAGAGTTTTGTTCTCCTGCAACGATTTTTGAATTCTTCTTGTCACATCCATCCATGGAGAAAATTGCTCTCCGTTTTTATAATTCTATCAGATCAATTTTCTTTCGGTTTCCATTATTGTTAGTGGGACACTGCAATGATGAAAGCAAGTGACGAGGATGATCTGACCAGCCAGAAGGCCGGTAAGGGGGTGATTCGAGGCGAATCCTCCCCTAGACGGCAGGTGTTATTTCTGATCGTAGCTGTGGTGATCGTTGGTATCGTTGCGATCTTCGCTGTGGTGCTGTCAGCATTGTCCCTGGGCCGACCCAACACACCCGTTACCACTATGGTACAGCTACCGAACGGGAGCTCGAACGGGCCTACAATAACGTACATAGGTACATATACTGTAAAAACTCGATCAAGCGTTTCAGAAAATATACCAAAGAAAGGCCCCTCTAACAATATGTAACCTCTAAAAAAAGTGCTTTGTTCGGGTTAACGCTGAATAACTAGAATTACTGTAGTCAGCCTATAGAATGTGTACATCATACTGCCAGTGTGTTATGTACCGCAGCTTGCAATGTGATCACAATAATTTCCCGATTGTGTATGCTAAGTTGACTACTAAAACAAAAACATTACTAGTTTCAACGCGATTAAAACACTGTACATTGAAAAAATATCTTTAAACGTGATTAAAACACTGTAAAGTCCAAAAAAAAAAAAATCTCTATCTGTGCCTATGATAGTTTGAGCTGAATTCCTTTGTAGAAAACCGTGGTATAATAATAGGTACCACGGTTAAATTTGTTATCAGATTAATTATTAGAATGTGATCTTCCTTGTGGTGGGAAAATGGCTTATATCTTTTCCTAATTGATCTATCCCCCGTACAGCTTCACACGACGGTGCATGACGTTCATGACTTTACCTTTAATGATATTTCAGTCACTTTGTTTCTGACTTTCAGGAGTCCCTAGCCCTTACGGTTTCGAGGACCCCAACAAAATCTGGGTGTTCGCAATCGGGCACGACGGTACCAACTTGGAATATATGTAAGTTTCACAAAGGAAAGGCATAATTAAGTTCCTCCTGCAAAGTATACAGCATCCAAGTTCGAGGTTTTAAACAACGCTCCTCTTTGTACTTTCAAAGATTTCGTCTGAATGGTATTTCTATGGTTCAACTTTCTGTAACAGTAGCAGTCATAAAAAGTGACTTAAGTTCGGTCTTTTATTTGTGCACCAAACAGAGACAATCTGGCGGGGACCTTGAGGGGATTCCATGTTGACATTGTCGAGGCTGGTAAGTCAAAAAGTGAAGTCAAACCCTAATCCAACCTGACCTCACCCAACCAAACCAAAGCCACACCTAAACCAGTCCAACCCATTAACCCAGCCTAACCAGAACCAAACACAACCAAACCAAACCCAGCAGAACTCAACCCAACCTAACCCAACCCAAACCAACCTAACCAAAGCCATCCCAAACCCAACCAACAAACCCATGCCCAACCATAACCCAACCCAACTCATACAATAATATTGTGTTAATCGTGGACCCTAGATTGTCCCTCTTTTGTTTGTACTTTAACTTTTTAGGAAGACCTCCCAAATGTTTTGTACACGATCGTCAGTATTGTGGACATTCGGGAATTGTGGACCCTATTGTCCTCTCTTGTTCAACGTCCCCTATATGAATGCAGAAACAAACTCAACCAAGACCAGTCCGAGTAACCCAAACCAATCCAAACCAAGCCAACTACACGTCTCAACCGCAATCCAACCCAATACAACCCAAACTAATTTAACCCAACCAAACCTATAAACTCAACCAAACAAACCCAACCCAATCCAGCCCAAATGCACCCAATCCAGTACTATCTTTAATACCAAACTCAACCCAACCACCCTCACCAACCCACCCAACCCATGCATATAAACCAAACCAACTCAAATCAAATGGTAATATGCAGGAGGTACATGCTAGTAGCAATTTTTCATAAATGCCGGGTATGGGCAATATTTTGTGGAACTAAAAAACCCAACTGAGCTTAGCACGGAGCCCTTACTCAACAAAATCAGAAAACCTGTCACACGACAGAGCATTATTCGTTTAATATTTTGTTTTAAAAATTAATGGAAACTTGGATGACGAAATCAGCCCCGACCAAGTGTGAAAGGATACCCGCCGATAAAAACAACTTATCTTCTACTTTCTAGTTTGCAACGTGGCCAACAAGAACTGCCGCCTGATGTGGGACATCTATGAGAACTGCTATCGGTCGAAGGCTGGGCAGCGACCACGCCCAGGGCCGGGGCTCGTCAGTCGCTGGTACGATGGCTGCACTGGTAAGACGAGATTACAAGAAACTTCACGTGTTTCCAAACGTCGGCCTTGTCTCCGACTTTGGCTTCATCTCTGGCTTGGTCTTCTATGTTCACGATGTTATAGGCCTTAAATCTCCTGAAACCGAGGTGGCAGTCAAGGCCACGTTTGGAAAAACTCTGACCACGTCTTCGTTCCAAAACCTACTTGGGTTTTTTTGGCAAGCTTCAAACGATCATGTAGTGTATTCTTTTCTTAGTGCATTATTGCACTCGATTCATAGCTGTAGTAAAAGTCGACACCCCTTGTACATTTGTTTGATTGCTTACCTACTTGCACTTTCTGAATTCTAATGATTTTTGCTTTGCACGCTTATAGGTTGGTTTCAAACCTACGAGCGGATTTCCTCCGTGTCTTTTACCAAGCCTTTTCGCAAGCCTCTGGAGAGCCTTTTCTATGTCAAGAGGGGCAATCCAGGAAACTTCAGCAGCCTGAACTTGACTGGCAAGACCATCGGGTTTGCGGATGGAGACGCTTCCAATGAATTCTGCATCCAACGAGAGAAGATTCCGGTATCATTATCATTTTATTTGTTGTAATATGAAGCCGAGGACTTGCTAAAAGCTACAGGACTCCGCATACAAATACCACAAGAATAAAATGTGCTTAAAACTTATTTATTTTTCAGATAGCTATGGCACAAACCCGTAACGTGTTCGCGTGAGCATCGGGCGCCTTCTATAGCACTGCATTCAAGCATGGGTCCTACAATCCTGGCCTCCCTGGCCCCCGTTCAATGTTGTCTCTCATTGCGCGGTGCGTGCTCCATCAGCTGAAGAGAACAACATTGACCGGAGGAGCGGGGAGTGGGTGACCGTGGGAGGCTAAGGTTATTTCCAAGTGTCCCAACCATTTTGGCAGGGAGTAGCTCTATCATTAAAGGCATCTTTTGAGTGCAGTGGTATCCACCAACTCACACATTTGACAGTTGAGGGGGGGGGGGGCGGGGTTGATCCTTCACGGTTTCGGGCCTGAGATCTGAACTATACTAGATCCGCAGAAAGTATTCGTTTAGGAAAGTGAGGGAGGTCACCGGGTGGTTCTAGTGAGGTTCTAGAAAGGAACACTTAGGTGTTTTTATTTATCAACACCTTGGGTTCCTTTCATCTTTCGTTTCCTCCCACAATTACCCAAAGTATGCCGCTTGTGATAGGTGGTCATAGTAGTGCACTGCAACCAAAGTTTAAACATGGCTGTTAATCTTTCCTAACACGTCGCTTAAACAAATCATGAACTGAACGGTACCTTCGACTAGAATCAAGTTATAAACTGCTTGCCCAGGTTGATAAACGAGTTGGCTCTTTCCGTTCAGGGAGCAAATCTTCCAGCAGCTAACATTCGTCACTATTCCACCAGAGAGGAAATCATCGCAGCGGTCAATAATTCTGAGGTATGAATGACAGCAGTCTATAGACGCGTCCATTTTATTACTAAAGCTTTTGGAATGGTTTTAATCTTACACCTCAACTAATCTGATTTCGTTTTATCCCGATGGCCGTACATTCACTTTAATTAGTTCTGTTTTACTTTATGGACGTTTGTCTATTATGAATGACTACCAAGTACAAAGGCGTCCATAATAGAGACAAGAGCCGCCACGGTGATGCAATGAAAGACCCAGTGTTCAACCTTAACTTTTTTATTCACTAGCCAGCCGGGCTACTGAAACAGACTCCTAAACTAGCCCGGGGGCATTCTCACTAGCCCGCCTTTCTTTTTTGGCTCAAGTACAAAATGGCGTATTTTCAGGCTCAATTCTGAGGCAATTTTGTCAGTGTTTTTAATAAACAGAACTAATAATTTTACCATAAAATTATGAATAAATTGATGAGGCTTTCTTTCATCTTTGCCGTAGCCCAATAATTTTTTTGACTCGCCAGCCGGGCTACTTAAGGAATAGTTTGACTAGCCCGCCGCTGTTTCGACTTGCATTTGGCTAGCGGGCTACCGCTAATTTCGAACCCTGAAGACCTCTAAAGAGCATTAACCATATAGTTCTGGGACCATTTAGAGTTGACTTTTTTTTTCCATGTCAGGTGGATGCGCTGTTCACCAACGAGCAAATCTTCGATCTGAAGTCTGATCTGGACGTGGTGATGGATCGAGCCCCTATCACCACCTGCATGCTGGCCGGTGCTGGAATGATGCTCCGTAAAGATAGTCTGGTAACCAACTGGTGGGACCCAGCATTTGACCAGCTCAAGCAGACGTCGGCGTACCGCAAAATCTGCTCCGAAGTTCTCATGAGACACAGTAAGTTCAGTCGAGTATCAGATTTAAAATATCAAAGGGGGGGGGGCGCAAAAAGTTTAAAAAAAAAAAAAAAAAAGGAAGAAAAAAATTCAAAAGCATACACGAAAACACAAACCATGCATTTCAATCCGGGATTTAAAATTTTTAAGATCAAAATGTAGTCATTGCTTCGTCTTCGGCTTTGCCTCCGACTTCTGATTCACTGAGAAGCAAACTAAACAAAAATATTCCAAGTTTTGGCTTCACATCAACCGATTGAATGTTCCTGAAGCATAACAGGCACCAAAATGTAGCTGGATTTCCAGAAGTTAGGGGCCTAAAATCTCCTTAAGCCGAAGACAAAACCGAAGCCAGTCGTTTCGAAAACGCTCTTAGGTCAGGTAACCTCACAACCTCGTCCCCAGTGCTTACTTTCTTTCCAACATAGTTTCCAATAGAAAGCCCTGGATAGGAAACTTTCTTCCTGTACCGTAATTGGCTTTATAATCCAAATGGATTTATATCGTGTACTTGGTGTTGTTATTCACAATGTGCAGTACGTGTTTTCGCGATCATTCGTCCATGCCTTCTCGAAAATATTCATTTTCTTTCCCATTTGTTCATATAAATATGAAATGTGATACTGCAAGTTGTCTCGATAAGATCGGTAACAGTTTAATTCAAATAAAATCGTGTTTTCGTAACTCACGCCATGCTCGCGCTGCGACGAATTGAATCTGGGTTTTTTTTATCAGACACCGCATACAAAAACGAACGCAAATGTAACGCACAGGCAGGCACCAGACTATTCCTCATTTTGCTATATATTTTTTTCCATTACAGATCAATCCGTGCACTCGGTGGACTGTGTTCTCTGATTCGCCCGCCGTAAGAAGACAAGCAGACGGGGGAAAACACCGTATTTTCCGCTAGCAAAAAATAAAAAATAAAAAAAAAATAGTAAATAAAATAGTACATGTATACAGGATAGAAAATGTTTTTCAGGCACTTAAAATTCCCTTTATGAATGAAGTCATTTTGAGGGTAACATTACTAATATGCTTGTTCCAATGTTACATTCAATTTCTAAAAATGCAAAATAATATGGGTTTTTCAAATATTTAGATTGGAAAAATACTACGCAGAAATGATACTTGATAAAGTTGGTGATGGTAACAATTAAACAATAATTATACACAGAAATATACAAAACTTTCAATGTGCAAATCGTAACTTCAGGATATATTCTTCTCATTTTCAAAGCCATTTTCTTACTGTGTAACAGTTAAGTGTCCATACTGTAAGAAATTCTGTTGTCTTTTATTGAGCTCAAAATGGTCAAACTTGATTTTATAATATTACATTTACAGGGAATTGTCACCACAGCTGAAATACAAGGCTAAACAATTTATATCCCTGCAAAATCATGTTCACCTTTTTCAAATGAATTTGTCGCGCTTTGGAAATAAATTCTAATTTTATCCTCTCTTTTCGTCAATTTGACCACGTTAAGAACTACGGGATTTGAAACGACCCTGGAGAACTATTGGATTTATATTTTATCCTTATTTTGTAAAGTTTTACATTATTATACATTGTGTAGCAGTACACATACATTGTGCAGGGTGTTTACAAAAAGTAATCCAAAAACATCGGGCTCATATGTAAAAGTTAAGACATTGTACACTAATAAAAGTAGCTCCATCTTTAAGGATGGTTCATTTGCTTTCACTTAATACCTTAGTTGCATCTCTTTAGTCACGGATGAGTGAGCACCATTGATTGTAAAACGGAGGCCAAAAAACTCTTTTCCAAGTTTGCTGAATAAGTGGTGAGTTAAAGGGCCCGAGAAGTGAATATTTCTTGGGAACTTATTTCGTGCTACCTTCTAATCCTCTTAAGTGTATGAAGACTAATTGACATCCCTTTTGGTTAATTTTACTGAAAAGTGCACTTCTTTAAACATTAAAACGTTCCATGCTTTTCCAGACAAAAGAGGGCGCATTAAGAACCTAAGCTAAGAAACCTTTTTGTGTTTCACGGTCTTCGGCTTCGGCTTTGTCTCCGACTTCTGAATCACTGAGAGGCAAACTGAACAAAAATATTCAATTGTTGGCTTCATATCAACCGACTGAATGTTCGTGAAGCATAACAGGCATCAATGTAACTGGATTTCAAGAAGTTTTTAAGGGGCCTCAAAAGTGTCCTTAAGCCGAATAAAGGCGCGGGCCAAATCACAATTTGTGCACCCTCAAATTATTTGCTATTAGAACAGTGTGGGCCATGAACTTGAAGGTTTGCGAAAACAAAGATGGGTGGAAATCGTGCTCAGCTGTGTGAGCTCGTATTTCTGTAAAAAACTTCATGAATTTTGCGCCCTAAAATTGCTCTACTTATTTTGAAATGGATAGAACGCAGGCGCGGCATCATTTTAGCCCGTTTTTTTTTCGGGGTGATCATCTTTGGATGGACTTTTTCCCAAAAGTTATCAGATATAATAAACAGAACAAGAAATTGAACAGAAAATGAAAGATTATGATATGAGCTTTCATTTTATGGATGTGTCAAACACATTTGAGAGTTGCGAGTACTTTCAATAATTTTTGGAAGTATGCGTAATTATCACTGAAGTATGGGAGTCAATTTGCAGGACGTCTGTACCGTACCCCGAGACGAAGCAAAAGCAATCGTTTCGAAAAGATATAGCGCCCTCTAGAGAATGAATTTGCGTCACGTGAAACAACAACTAAAAGTTTTGGGGACACAGAAGTTGCAGCACCTCATATCAACTGAGGTTTTCGATGTCTTTTTTCGATGATCATTTTCAACCAGTTTAAAGAACATGACAGATTTTTGGACAGAGAACTACTGGGTAATGTTAACAATTTTATATCTCATATGGTTTTCAAGTCGAAATCCGTGTTGTGGGTGTTTCGTTGGAGCAGCAGTGCAGTCTACAGTCATGAAAGTACTCGCCCAGGCTGGACGAAGTCTTCATTGCATTACGACTGACGTCCAGGATGAGAATTCTCTACGTAATACCACCCGAAATTTTGACCAGATTTTTGTTACGTTTTACCTCATTACAAAAGCTTATTTCACACCTACATTTTCCATGTGTCCTTATCTATTGGGCCGGGGGGTTCAGGAATTCCATATGTGATGCTAACCGACGTTAATCAGGAAAATAAACTATAAACTCTAAACCAACGTTAAACTTGTACCTTTTTGTAGTCTCTTTTCATCAGTTTATCACCGAGTCGTACAATGACGTACGTGCGTACGTTAAGCGCGCACGCACGCTAGCGCCCTCCTTTGTTTAGTTTTGGTTGGAACAGTGACGTCACGAAATCGCTCAACCAATGACATGAATGACCAAAGCCGAAACGTGTTTCTGGTAACTGGCGCGAAAACACGCTCAGTCATTGGATATTAAGCGACCGCACCTTCAAGTTAATGCGCATGCGCATGAGGGCGGTTGCTAAGCAAATCGCACGTGCGCACTGCGCGTTCACGTTGCACGAACTCGGTCATGTAATGTATACGTGTGAGAAACTGATGAAACAAGTCTACAAAAAGTACAAGTTTAACGTTGCTTTAGAGTTTATTTTCCTGATTAATGTCGGTCAGCATCGCATATGGAATTCCTGAACCCAGTGGCCAAATAGATAAAGGTAAAAATATTAAAAATATTGGTCATAAAATTTTTCCCCCGGTTTTGAGCACTTCATATCATGGACTCCTTCCGTAACGTAGGGAGGAAAGGGGGTCCACCTGGGCTATCGGTGTACAGTACTGCCTAACGTAACACTAACACAACTAGTTTGGTTTACTATACCTCATACATATTCATGATCGAGAGCTGAACTCTCACTGGTCAATTCACCATCACGTGCCAGATGTTATTTTTGCTGTTTACCAAGCGCGCGCGAGGATTCACGCTCAGGTTAAATATGCATGCGTAGTAGACTGTCGCACGGGTTACCCGTGCGACAGTCTACTGTGCATGCGCTTTACTGAGCAATCGTGGAACTGTCGCATGGGTGTAGTACGCACGTGCGAACAGCGCCCAAAAGAGCTACACACGAAGAGATGGTTTATATGCGGCGCGTTATTTTCCCGAGCTCAATGATGCCGAACTAGAGAATATTTATGGACAATAAAGATGCATCCTGTACAAAAGAATGTTGCACACAAACTACTGTATTTTACAGCATTTCAGAAAAATAGAGTTGACTTGTTCCTCATATTCAAAACACAAATCTGTTCCTCATGTTCAAAACACAAATCTGACAGTAAAAATACTGTTTCAGTCTTGACTCAACCACTCAACTGATTAAAAATGTTGAATGCCTGTGTGTAATCTGTAATTCTCACTTAGCTCAATAGCTTCCAATGGCATTCTATGGACAGCTGTAAAATTGTTGGTTTTTTATAGTAAAACATGCATAATTTCTGATAGCATGGACCAATTTCGGCTTTTTTTTTTCATATGAGTGGAAGAACATGCTCTTTTAAGACATACTTCAGTGGTGTATCATATTTGATCGCTTTTTAAGAAAAGATTTTGACTCACCCTGCGTCATTACTGTTTTTGTCCTGCTGATATGATTTCTTAATGTGTTTAAATACTTTCTACAGGTTGCTATTCTCATAGGTGTCGGCGGTCTGATACTGTTAATCCTAATTCTCATTGCTGCAATCTTCTGTTACAGGTTGGTAAAAGCGAAATACATCTTCAAATATAAGAGAGGAAAAAAATTCAAACTATTGTATGGGTATATACAGAACTTAGGCCAATAAAAGATAGTTCTGCTTCTGGTTACCCTACCTACCCTATTTTGACAGCCCCTACGCTAATTTTTTGGGGAAAAATGAAAAAAAAATTCCCATCAATTACTACCTTTTATCCTTGACTACATGCAGACACCTCCATATGAACATACACACACAAAATTGCTAAAAAATAAAAATTCCCTACCTACGTGTAACTACCCTATTTTCAAATGTCATGTAAGGCCAAAAAAAAATAAGTCGGTCTCTGGTCAGCGCGCGTCGATTTTAAGCATGCGCGTCGATCTTTTTTTTTTCAAAATGTTCCGCGGTAGCTCCAACAGCGCCCTCTATTTCCGCACCTCCTCAATTTTTTTTATCAAAGAGCACCAAGGAATGGGAAATTGCACCAAGGCAAATGGTCGAAAGCACCAAGGCAAATTATGGAGGACACCAATGTACATGAGGACACCAAAAAAGCAAAATAGTACCCCACCTTGTCTGTACAATCCAAGCTTGAAGAAAAAAAAAAAAAAGCAAAAAAAAAAAAAAAAAGCCGCGTGGCCGCGTCCATTCCGGAACTTTGGTCTGACCAGAGACCAAAAAAAAAATTTTTTGGCCTAATTGGAAGCAGCTTTTTTTTTTTTTGGCCAAAATCCAACATGTGGTTCAGCCTACAATGTGTTGGTTGTTCATTTTTAGGAAATATTTCAACTGAGTAAAAAAAGATGCATGCCTCTCTAAAACGCAAAGTGAATTTCTCAGTTCCTTATAACAAATAACTGAAAAATTTAACAATCATTTAAACTCAGTGTGTACATATGTATTAAGCCTGCACAAAAACAGTACAATTATTTTGTATAGGCCTGCTTAAACCAAAACTGATGTTTATTTTAAATATGCCAAAGTTCGCGACTTTTCCCCTGATAATTTTCCCGATAGTTGAAAACCAGTAGCATCCATTGAACACACCTCGCTTTAACCTTTGAACTTCCCTTCGGAGTCTAACTGATTTCTGATAAGATAAGTTTAGTTGCGAATCAGTGTTTGTTTGGTGCATGTACGTGTATGTAAATAACAATTGAATGATTTGTTAATATGAAACTCAAGCCAGTTTTACAAATGATTCTGTGTACAAAAAATATCCAGTGACCTCTGAAAGAAGCATTGTACAGTAGTCATAAGATGTTTCTAACTTTTTCAGACCCTGAACACAGTGTTTTCCCTGCCCATTCAAACGTGAGGCGGCCTACCTCGCTACTTTCTGTGACCACCTCGCTCACTTTTTGCCAATATCAGCACCTCGCTGTGAAGATTGGCAAAAAAGGAAATATCAATTGAAAAATTTTCATTTTGTGTAATATATAAGCGTTTTCCTTTACCTCCATGTATCAAGAACTCACAATTTCGATGTGTTTTTGGAATCATCACGCATTTCTGTGAGCGCTGCATCCTTTTTGGTTTGCAGACTGTATAAATTTCATTTCAATCATCAAATTGAATTGTTACCACCTCGCTCAGTTCATTAGCCAGGGGAAACATTGCCTGAACATTCCTATAAAATCCAACAGCTGGTTTTGAAGTATTTTAATGGATGTAGGACTGAACTGGCCTTTACATCAGGTTTCATCCATTTTATACCATTTTTGTTTAATGGTTGAAAAAATTTGAAATTTACAAGTATTTCTGGAATACTTTGCTAGGAAATTATCCTAACTTTACTTTTGGAGAAGCAATAAGTATGGCTTATTCACCATAAAAAATGAATAACAAAAATTAGTAAATTGTAGTTCGGTTGATATCTGTGGTATACCTATTCTTTTGTGCTGGTCCCAGAGGGCGGCAGCTACAGTCCTCCTTGTACCACTCACTTACTCACTGAATCACTGTGAATTGTGGGCTGGGTAGTGCTATTGTATAGGATAACCCCATTGTGTACACGAATGCATGAAAAGACTTCCAGTAGCCATTCTGAATCAATATTAGGTTTTGCACTTCACCAACGTATTTTTTATATAAACACTGTATACTTACTCAGTGATTGCCCCCGAGTGATTGTGAGAAAAAAATCACTCGGGTCGGACTCGAACCCACGACCTGTGTACTAGCGCAGACATATTACCACTCGACCAATGAGCTTGCTGGGTTGGCCTGCTGGTTCGGGTGGTAAAATGCTGCACTTGTAAGCAGGAGATCTTGGGTTAGAGTCCCACCCAACTGATTTTTTCTCATAATCACTCGGGGGTGACACGGAGTATACAGTGTTTATAAAAATATGTTGGTAAAGGGCAAACCCAATATTGAATTTGCATCACCCTGGCGCAAATATTCCGTTTTATGAATACATTCTGAATCAATTGAAGAGATTTTGTGGGCTCTGGGACCTTGAAACACATTGGCAAAGGAAGCTGCATGATTTTCAAAGTTCAGTCAATGTTTTTTTTCACAGACGCTGTTCCCGATATGACTACACACCACTACGTGATTACATGTCACTGCCAGCCAAACTTCAGAAAGAAAAGAAAATGGAAAGAGACACCGTAAGAGGTACAGTTGTATTAAAGAAAGAAGGCCAAAAAAAAAAATGTTCGGTCTCTGGTCAGACCAAAGTTCCGGAATTGACGCGGGGACGCGGCTTTTTTTATTTTTTTTTTTTATTTTTTTTTTTTCTTCAAGCTTGGATTGTACAGACAAGGTGGGGTACTATTTTGCTTTTTTGGTGTCCTCATGTACATTGGTGTCCTCCATAATTTGCCTTGGTGCTCTCGATCATTTGCCTTGGTGCAATTTCCCATTCCTTGGTGCTCTTTGGTTAAAAAAAACTGAGGAGGTGCGGCAATAGAGGGCGCTGTTGGAGCTACCGCTGAACATTTCGGAAAAAAAAAGATTGACGCGCATAATTAAAATCGACGCGCGCGCTGACCAGAGACCGACTTATTTTTTTGGGGGGCCTAACGTCCAGATTTTATTCAACGCATGTGTCCGCCGTGATATGATGTCAGTACGAACCAATAAATGTTCTAGTATATTTGCAAAATGCAAAAACTTTGGAAATTTAGCATGAACTAGAAATTAATTGATGTTATTGTAAATTAATCTAAAACCCTCCTATGCAACCATACATTCTGTGCCAAGTTGTCCTTTCAGTCAAAATCAATCAAGTGACTTTTGTCAACACATAGCTCTCCCAGCCTACATAAAGCAGGATTGACTGGCTGTGACTGTTTATGTAACTTCATACAGCTATGCTTTGACTGTAGGTGATTAATAAGCCAGCTGTGCCTACCACTGGCCTGTTTGTGCCAGTTGACTGAATTTGACTAGTTAGAGTGCTTGCTTGAAATATAATCCGACTGGTGACTAGCCTGTGTAAAAGGAATGGCAGGGGAAGAGGAGTGACTTTTTTTTGACTGTCTGTGACTGTTCAGATAGCAGGAGGGTTTACGTAATGAATCATTGATATAGCCCTTTGTCTTTTGCCAAACTATATTTGTCACTTTGTGAAACCTGCATTTGTGGCCGATAGTTTTCCTATGTCATGTTTGTAGTTCCAACTTTCAGAAATCCCTGGGCTACCATGTTCGCAATGCTTGGTGGAGTTGTGCCCCTCTTACAATTTATAAAGCAAAAATTCTCCTGTTTGTTTTTCAGAAACCGCACTGCTGAATTGCCAGTTTTATCTTCGAGCCCATGCTGGGAAATACACTTTTTCAGAGCATCTACCAGACATGGGTGAGTAAGACAAGAGTTCAGATTTGTTTATAGATATAACATGAACATCAACAAAATGGATTTTACTCCTAACACATTTTGACCTATGTGTGTTTCATTTTCACTGCTTTTTTCTCCATGTTTGCCTATCAGCAACCCTCTGAAAACAAGCTCGATCGAACCGCGGGAGCTGCAGGCCAACAAATTCGTGTTCATGCATGAGTTACGTGATTGTGTCATGTAATTTCTGGAAGGAGTAGTGTTTTGAGTTTAAAAAAAAAATCAGGATTTTGACCTCAGTGACCCCATGATGACCTTTGACCCCAGGTTGATAATGTGACATGTTGGGATGGGCTACTGATACTGTTGACAAAGTTTGGTTGAAATCGGTCAAAATATGTAGGAGCAATAGACAATGTCAACATTTGTTGCTAACTAAAAATGGAGGGACGCAGCTAAGGCCAAAAAACAAAAGTCTCTGGTTTCTGGTACATGTATGCGCGCGTGTCGCCGTAGCCATGCGCGTCGGCAAAATGAAAAAGTTATTTTCTCAATGAAAGATGATGTCTCAAAACCGCCAAACTCACTGGTTTGACTGGAATTCTGCTGCTGCGCAATTTCAACGTGTTTTTAGATGGGGTTATGATCGAGAATAAGCTTTATGTGGCCTCTCTGGACTCCCATATATTGCACTAAGTTTAGTCGGGCACCATTTGCAGTCATCAGCCGACATTTGAAGCAAAAAAGTCGGGTAAAAAAAAAAAAAAAGCCGCGTCGCCGCACCACTTTTTGGACAAGCTCCATACCAGAAACCAGAGACTTTTTTTTTTGGCCTAAAAAGTCTTTAATATTTTTAGTTGTTTCAAGTTACGCACAAATAGATCTGCCTTGCAAGTAGATTGGTTCCTGGTCCCTACATTATCAACCCTAATAGTGTACCCAGGTGTGAGAACGGATTTACTGTTCGGCCTTAAGTAATTCAAAATTAGCTAATTAATTATTCCACAACTCAGTTTTGGCCGGTTGTTTTCATACGATGTCTCTTCAAAGTAAATTACTTTTGTATTGCTAGAAAAATAGCAATTTAAAAAGACAGTCTTTGGGGTAAAATTCAAAACTAGCATGGACAGTACATTTTTAACTCTCAGTGCTAGGTACATGTACATGGCAGTCGTGTAGAAAAGGACTAGCCCACAAAGTTCACTGAAAGAAAACAGTTATAAGGAATGTACATCTTCAGCTTTTGCTGTAATTTTCAGAAATGGACTATCTGAGGGGTTAGTATAATAGACCAAAAGTTTTGAAGTTTTCTGTTCGATAATGCTGGAAAACAAAGAAAAAACAAAAATGTTCAAGTAGTCTGGTTCCCTGACTCCACTAAAGATGAAATGGATCAATTTATAGATGCCGGAAAATTGTACGGTAAGGGAACCAGTCTAGCTGGCCTGCACCCATTCATGAGCATGTAACCAATAGTAAACAAAATTTGGACTGGAAAAAATGGTAAATTTGGAGCAGTAGTTAAAAAAGTTAGGTTTTTCCAATGGCCGACCGTGCACCTTTGGAAATTTATACAAAAATACCACTTTATATAAAATGACCTCACACCTGGTGCCATAATTTTACAGGATGCTTTGGACTGTCATTTACCAACATCCCAGTAAGGTATTTCGTAAACATTTGGTAGTTTTGTTTTTCGATGTTTGCAAATGTTGTATGTTCCCTTTAAACCCATTTTTCCCTCTGTTTACAGGCAGTCGCGTTGACAAACACTGGTTTCTTGTCCGCTACGCTTCACAAAACAAAGACGTTCTCCTCAGCACTTGTAACAAGGCTACAAACTGCACCATTCCGTTCACTAGTAACACCCACAAAGTCCTACGGGAGCTTCTCAAATGTGTCAAGGTATTGAAAACAAATAAACAACAACAAAAACAAAACAACACTTTGCCGTGATTGCTTCTCGATACTCATTTTTTTATTTATTTATTTTCTACCAGTGTTGGATTGTCTTAGTAGGAGATGCAACAGGTTTCATATTCATTGTTATTCGATATTACTATACCTCATACATAATCATCATCGAGAGCCGAATTCTCACTGGTCAATACACCATCACGTGCCAGATGTTTTTTTTTGCTGTTTACCAAGCGCACGCAAGTATTCATGCACGGGGTAAATATGCATTCTTGTAGACTGTCACATGTGTTACCCGTGCAACAGTCTACCATGTCTACTATGCACTGTGAAACTTTGATAAAATGTGTCATAACCGAAATGTTGCGCAGAGTAAAATGTTGCACAACTTGCGCAAGAAAATTGTGGCACAAGTGGAGGTACGCCATTGCGTAAAGTTTCCTGAAATCGGCTGCTGGAGGCTTAGCGTAAAAGTAATGGTTATTGTTTACCTGCGATAACTTGTCCTGTGTTATATCCTTTTGTCCAGCATCCATATCTGTGGCCGGTGCTGGATATTGATTTACTGGAAGAGCAAGACATGGAAGTCCTGATACAGAGCTACAACAGCAGAGGGTCCTTGAAGGACTACATCTACCATGTGAGTTCCTCGGTAGTCTGACCACTGCCTCGTTATCTGGAGCAGATTCAATTGAGATCTACGGCACATTTGCAGCTCTTGCACTTTTTTGAGTTTTTCAGTGCTATTGAATACATCTTGCATTGTTGGGAAGTTCGAAAAAATATCTCAAATTCAGCATTTTTTGTTTCTCACCAAGAAAAAGTGTGAAGGGGGTGATCCAATGCCCCCCTCCCCTGGGATGTATCCCTCCATCCTCCATGTGGATCCAATGGCCCCTACACCCCCCCCCCCCCCCCGGTCAAAAAAGGTGGGGGAGTTGTATCCCTCCATCCTCCATTTGGATCCAATGGCCCCTACCCCCCCCCTCCCCCAGGTCAAAAAAGGGGAGGGGGTTGTATTCCTCCATCCTCCATGTGGGAGGGGGGGGCGATCCAATAGCCCCTACCCCCCCCCACCCCCACCCACGTCAGAAATGGGGGGGGGTGTATCCCTCCATCCCCTCCTTTCTCCGGATGTATTTCCCTGATGAACTGTAAATGGCAGTTTGTGACCACCCACATGCAGGATTTTTGATCTGAATGTGCACAAAGGTGTGTTGTCCTTATAAGGGCACCAGGCAATGACGTTTTCCCATTTGTTACAGGAGAAACCCCATCAAGACTGGGATAACAAGTACGGTGTCAAAGGTCGAGGGCTCGCACTGAAGGAGATCCAGCTGTTTGGCAGGCAAGTCCTGGAGGTCTGTATCTGCCATTGAAATTTTGACTTTTTGCCGATTAAATTGAAAAGCAAATTTTCAAATGAACCACAAAGGGAAAAAGCTTTGCAAGTCCCCCCCAAAAAGTGGTTTTCCAGATTATATTGCTATTCAGCGGTGATTTTGTGACTAAATATTGAACTGGGTTCCAACAACCCGCAATCTTCTAGTCTTGTTCCAAGGCTGGATATGTTTTTTCCTTCCCCTTATTTAGCCAGTCCCTGCAATGAAGCAAACCTAGTTTTAGGAAGTTTGGCAGCGCTACCCAGATATTTCCAGTGCGCATGCGTGAGGTATGCTCGGACTCTCCTTGTATGGGTAGGGCTGCCGAAGTTCTCAAGACTGGATTTGATTCATCTTGTTGATTATGACCTCTGCTGCTGCAGCTTGCTTCATCATGCTTGTCAGGTCTGGCTGTATAGGTCTCTCTCAAATGACATCATTTCCTACAGACCAGCTACGTGCATCGGCATTTTGAGTGTCAGCTTGCATAACGCGCATCGGCATGCGTCGTATTTCTAACACATTTCGAGCAACAAACGCTCGTGTTTAGAACATTTTCAACACTGCGCAATGCGTGCTTAATTGCGTAAAATACGCAGATGCAGTTCTCCTACAGAGATGGGCGTCTTTGAGAGAGATCTATTATGCCAATAAAATCTTAATCTTCTCTTGGACCTGGTAGTGGGAAAGATAGGGAAATATTTGGGGGAATTGTGCCTTTGAAGATGATACAATCATGGCATTTGGCACACAGTCAGAGTATGTCTTCAGAAAGATATTTGGCCATAGGGCCATTGCAGATTTGTCTTTTGAAAAAATATAGGTAGAGTAACGGAAAATTTCAACATGGTTGCCATTGCTTGTTATTCTACCTACATTTTTTTCGAAGGACAAATCTTTGATGGCCCTATTAGCCAAAAATCTTTCTCATGACATACTCTGACTGTGTGCTAAATGCCATGCTTATATCATCAAAGGTACAATCGCATCATCTATCTGCCGAACTATAGACTATATCTTCTAGCGATATTTTGTGAAGTGATTTTTATGCTAGATTCTTGGGGTTTTTTTAGGCATTGCTCTACCTTCAAGACGGTGGCTTTCCTCAGCATTGTCACGTACAGGCTGGTAACATCATCCTGCAGAAAGGCACATGCAAGTAAGCACAACTCATTTCTTTTAAATAATTAGATTGTTTATCCTACTAAAGTTGTCTCGTAATTGACAAAAGGCACTCTGGTTTAAATTACGAAGGCAAAATTTGGACGACAAAGTTTTAAACTCAAAATTTTCCTGGTCCTAGCCAGAGATTCATTTAGTTTGCAGTGGATTTGTTTGCCTATAAGGTGCCTTAGTATTAAACAATAGACCTGACCACACAACAATTATTAACTTAACCAATTAGCACCTGTAGGTACATTGTATTACATTGTATTTATTCCCTGACAAAATTGTCAAGACAACGGGTTTGAAAAAAGGGGATTACTGTCCATTGTGAATCATCATCGTCGGTTTTGAGGCCGTCGTCCAGTCTGTTCTGGGTTGGCCTGCTTTCTCCCTAAGGCTCCTCTCCACTTGGCCCTGTCCGTTGCGTCCCTCGCATTGACTCCAAGCAGACGCATGTCATCTGTCACAGAGCTCTCTCCACGTGACCATACCACCTCGGCCTGTGCCTCCTCACCTATCCCCTCCACACCAACTCTCCTCCTGAACGTACACTTCAATGTTTTGCTTCTCTCCTTCATTTTCAGACTGTCAGGTTATGAGAACATTCTCTTGGGACACACCTCAAGGCTCTTCCCAGTACTCTGCAAGAAGCTCAAGGAGATCCCTGAGGTGTTCGACTCTCTGGCTTTTGGTAAGTCGCATCGAGCCTCGGAGACTAACCCTGTCCCTGCCAGATGCAAGACAGTGGTGTTCAAGTCTGCGAAACATTGTTGCATTGGGCCCAGACGTGGTTCTATTGGGGGGGGGGGAGGGCTGGGGGGGGGAGGGCCCCACAAAATTTTGTCTAGCCCCCCCCCCCCAAAAAAATATTCCATAAAAAAAAATGGCAGTAGCCAGTTGTAAAAGTTGACGTGCGAATTATCCTCCCCCCCCCCCCAAAAAAAATGTTGTGAGAAGGGGGAATTTGTACACTATATGGTATTATAGGGTGCATGAAAAAGTGGTACAAGCCCTCCCCCCCCCCTATTGATTTTCGGAGGCTTAAGTGTCCAGAGAAAAAAAACGGTCTACATTTCACCCCTGCTTGCCCCCCCCCTCGCAAAAAAATATAGGCTCTAGAACCGCGCCTGATTGGGCTGTTGACAGCAGTGCATATCCGCTAACATGCTTATGCATTTACCCACTTTGCGCCAAGATTCATTTGTGAGTGTAAATTGTACAACAATAGGCCGTGCACAACGGCCAATTCAAGATCAACACATGGTTGCCCTCCACAGACGTCATGGACTTGGTGTGTGTACAAAAGCCATGCCTGTGTATAAAAACTACCAGTACGGGGGAGATTCTAGCATAGGGCTGGATAGCTGAGTTGGTAGAGGGCTGGTATGGTATTTCCTGAGGTCGCAGGTTCGACTCCCATTCCAGTCAATTTCTTTGTTCCATTTTGGAGCGATATGTATCAAGTTTAACCCTTTCATTACCACATTGTTTATTGACTTGGCTCCTCCCATGACCAAATTGTTTGCTCAGTCATGCCGAAATCACTAGAGCGTGAACAAAATGACCACAAGTCCAAAACTCACTTTTTTCAACCCAGATTTTCACTGCCAAGGAGTGATTTAAATCATAGGTGTTGTGTGTAAAGTTTGTTCCTTGAACTGTACTTTTGTATGTGATGTAAAAATGAAGTCCATATGTGTAAATACAAGAAAGTTATGCCTGTTTGTTCATCTGGTTCCATTTATCAAACTGCAAGCCATTTCACCACATGACCAAATGGCACTCCATACCTCAATTTGTGCGTGGATACTTCTGAAGCACTTTTCTCATTTTTTTGTAATGGCAACACTATGAATAAACTACACCATTAGAACGATCCGAAAACACTCTTTCAGCTGGTATATGGTTGATGTATGGGCAGCCATACATATCAACATGCTGCCTTTCTGAAAAGTAGTGAATATATCTGTGTTGAGGGTGTTCTGTGTGTGGTTTCCTGGTCGACTAAAGTCACCCATGGGAACCAGCAGGGGGTTCTTCTTGTCGACAAAAGTCGCCCATGGTAAGGAAAGGGTTAATTGAATTGTCTCACTGTTTTACCACTACCCAGGTCACTTGTTGTACGAGATGGGCGCAGGGTCTGCCCTGGAAGACACTGTAGCAATACCGGAAAGGTCACACTTCAACAAGCTGAAACACCAACAGGTTGTTGAGGTACGATTGTATTGCGCCGCACAAAACACCATTTAAAGCTATAGTCCATCATTTGCAGCCATCCGAAAAAGTAACTGGCGTATTATTGTTGAAAAACATACTTGGTTGACAGATAGTAAGTGGACTAAACTTCCTGTGAAATTAATCTTTCTGGCGAGCTATCATTTTGAAGTAATCAACGAAAGAAGGCCTTTCCAACGGTGCGTCTTAAGACGCATCGTAGGAAAATTTAAATTAGTAGTTCGTTTTGTCATTCGGCGCAGCGCGCGCAAGCATTGGCACGACGCACAGGCGCGCGCGGTTGCTATAATTTGTCGGATCAGTGCGCGACATCGCGTATAGCTGCAATTCAAATCAATTCAAAACATGATTCAGCAACTTTTGATTTGAAATTGAGATCCTAGAATGCTGTTTTTCTCGGAATATACAGCTGAAGCTGAGCTGAAACTTCATCAGGTTAGTTGTTCAGTATCCTTCATTAGATTATGAACACTTTTGTTGCTTCAAACGAACAAATGCACAAATTACAAATGATGGACTATACCTTTAACCTTTAGAAAAGGTTCTGCCGGAATTAATCAAGGCTTCCTTTAATTATTCCATTTTTATTTGTTATAATTGATATTAGGGATTTTGAAACTTTGGCTCCCTCTCCAGCTGGGGCTGAAGGATATTTTAGGCTCTGACTGTGGGGACTCTGGCTCAGTAATAATGATGTGCATTTATATAGCGCACGTATCCAACAATATTTGTGCTCAAGGCGCTACATCATTATTAGCCTGCTCATTGGGACAATGAAACATTGCAAGTACCATCTCAGCTCCCTGGGGAGTATACAGCTCAATCCTGCCATTTCGGCACCAAAAAAAACAGCTTAAAGGGACTGTACAACATTTGCTTTTGCTTCAGTTTTTAGAAATAAATGGATTTGGAGGATTAGTATGGTTTAACAAATTTTGTTAAAATGACTCGTTTCACATTTTGGGATTGTAGATGCAGGAAAACCATTATTGTTCTTGTAGTCTGGTTCCCTGACCCCACTCAAGACGAAACAGAGAATTTATAGACTTTGGGGAATTGTAAGGTCAGAGAATCAGTCTTAGCAGGCTTGTACCCCTTCACAGGTGTGTAATCAATTGCAAAGAGTTTTTGCAGTGTTTGCAGCAAAGAGTTTCCAAGCAGTTTTTGAAGAAAAAAAACAGTTTTCTCCAATGCTTTTCGACCGACCAGCGTTGGAAAAAATACCATTTTGCTTGAAAATGTCAGCACACCAGGAGCCATGATTTTACAGGATGCTTTAGACTGTCATGCCCTAACAATCTAGTAAGGTATTTTGTGATAATTTGATCATTTCGTTTTGTGATGATTGCAAATGTTGTATCTTAAAATCAACTTTTTCTCAGGAAACGCTAAGACATTGGGTTTGTTTCCTTTCAAACCAGACCTTAGAAATAGTATAAGTAAACAATCCAAAACAAGAAAATTTTGGGGATTTTGGGCTGTAATGCCCCATTAAGAGTATGCTGTTTTTGTTGCTTAATCCTATCTGATTTGGTAATTACAGATCCTTGAATTCATCTTCGACGCTAACGGAGCTTACCCAAGTCTGAGAGAGGTAACTATGATTACTGTTTCTGTTATGATTTTTATTTGTGTTTCTTATCAAGAGAAAGGCTTAGATTTTTAAAAGTGTTTTTATGCCTTATAGTGCCCCCTTGAATGTTAAATGTTAGGCGCCCTTCACCAATGTATTTTTATAAACACTGTTTACTCAGTGTTGTCCAGAGAGATTGTGGGAAAAAAATCACTTGGGATGGGACTCAAACCAACGACCTCCTGCTTACTAGTGCAGACGTCTTGCCACTGGACCACCGAGCTTGCCGGGGTCGGCTGGCTGGTTGGAATCTGATATAGCGGCAGGTAGCACAACCAAACTATCCATAAGATGGAATTCAATATTAAGTTTTGCCCTTCACCAACTTATTTCTATAAATCCTGTATACTCAAGTGTTATACAGGATACATGAGTGTTGGAGAAAAAAAATCAGTTGGGTGGGACTCAAACCCACGACCTCCTGCTTACTAGTCCAGATGTCTTGCCTCTCGACTCCCACCAGAGTGATTTCTTTCTCACAATCACTAAGGACAACATTTAGTGTTTATATAGAAATACATTTATGAAGGGCAAAACCTAATATTGTATTTTCATCATCATCATCATCATCATCAGTCTCCAAAAATCCAGCTACGGGACGTTGAGCCACCCACACCAACTGGTCAGTCGAGGTGTGCCACAGGTCAGAGGCTGACAGAGCATGGTTGGCCTCAAGCTGTCGCACCCAGCTATTTCGGGGTCGGCCACGTGGTCTTGACCAACCAGGATCAGGCTTGACTCCTGTAGATGCATCAACGGCCAGCTTGAGGGCAGCTTGTGCTGGAGTGTTGCTAACGAATGTGCCCAAAGATAGAGTGACGCCGTGATGATATGATGCAGTGAATATCCTCCAGCCTGGTTTTGTGAGATTTGGTCTCGTTGGTGATAAAATCAGACCATCTCACCCCAAGTATGCGGCGTTGACAAAGCATATGGAAAGCTTGGAGTCTACATGTACGTCCATCCTCCTTGAGCAGCGACCATGTCTCAGATCCATGTAAGAGGATCGGTAGGATACAGGTGGTGTAGATCCGGGTTTGGGCTCGGAGAGTGAGGCATTTGTTTCTCCAGACACGAACACGCTGGCCCATGGTTGAAGAATATTTACATCATTCCGACATAAACTCCATCTTATGAATGAAGTTTCGTTCATTTCTTAAACATTGGGAGTAGATATTAATGCAAGTATTTGAACCTGCAGTTACAAGATCTTCTCAGGGAGAAATTGGTTTTTGTTTTTGTTTATTTTTTTTTTTTTAGAACTGACCTTAGTTAAGGGAAGATTTGTATGAAGCTGTTTCTCTGATTCGTTTCTGTGGTGGGTTTATGTCAGTGATATTCCCTAATTGTTTGACCTTCTTTTATATAGATTGCTGAACATGATTTCTTCCAAAACGTCAGGCTGAAAGAACTAGAAAAGAAACCACCAACAGAGGTGAATATAAAACTGGAAGTTAGTTCAAATTTGTTTATGTTTTATACAGATGCAAAACTATAACGATTGTCCTAGATTTTACAAGATTGTCCCTATGTATGTTTTTAAAATACCAACAAACCAAAATTTCTGAAATTTCTGAGAAGTGGAAACAAATTAGAATAATTAAAAAATATAAATTAGATGATATATAAAGTTGCTGTTTCATTTTTACTTTGAGGCAAATCTGATGCCAACAACCCCTTTCAAGGGAATGGTTTTGAGAATCAATGCTTCAAGTTTTGGTCACAGATGAAATTCAAGACTTTGGACTGTCACTTAGACATTCAACTTTCAGGACAAAAGTACTTGAAACGTACTTTGCCGAGTCCAATTCATATGCCCGCCTATAAGTTCTTGTGATATTATGAACAGATTCATCTGACGTCTGCAATGAAGAACCTCTTGAAGACGGTCAAGAAAGGACGCATTCTCAAGACTCAGTCCATAAGACGTGGAACACCTTCCAAACACACCAGGTAAGAATGAGATCAGACACATATCAGTTCCAGATACGTTGCTTTTTAGATAAACTATCGTTTTTTGTTGTTTAAGGGTGTACACAAAATAAATTGCGTTAGATTAAATTATCCTGCCTGACATTAGGCCCCCCCAAAAAAGTCTCCAGTTTTTGGTATGGAGCTTGCCCGAAAAGTAGTGCGGCGACGCTGGTTTTATTTTTCCCCTACTTTTTTTTCTTCAAATATCGGCTGATGTTGCAGATGATGCTTCGATCCCCTTAAAACTCTCAAATATATTCTTCAGAGTGGAGCTTGAGGTGACCTCAGTAAGGCCACAAGGCTTAAGAATTCTGCAGCCACTTATGATCTCGACCGACACAAACACTCTTCGAGAAATTTTGATCAAGACAAAAAAATCAGAGAAAACGGTCGTACATCAACATCGTGCATGAGCTGCCAGGCTGTCCATTAGTCTGCTCCCTTACATACTGCGTTGATCAAAAAGTGTTTACAGGTTCCAAATACAAGTCCGGTCACATGTGCATCAAAATTCGATTCGCAAGTACTTGGTTCTTGGTTGGTTTTTCTCCTAAATACTCCGAAGGGGGAGTTTTAACAGGAGGCCAGAAATGCCGAAGCAAACCCCTTCTCTTAGCGATAAGTGTTACTGGGTTCTTTAACTTGCATTTCATTACACAACACACGGGACCTACGGCTTTATGTCCCATCTGAAGGACGAAGCAATAATGGTCAAGTGCCTTGCCTAAGGGCGCAAGTGTCCATCGGCGGGCTCGAACCCACGCCACTGTTGCCTTTGAAATACTCCGAAAGGGAGTTTTAAAATTAGGCCAGAAACACCAGGGCAAACCCCTTCTCTTAATAGCGATAAGTGTTACTGGATTCCTTTACGTGCATTTCATTACACAACACACGGGACCTACGGCTTTACGTCCCATCTGAAGGACGAAGCAATAATGGTCAAGTGCCTTGCCTAAGGGCACAAGTGTCCGCCGGCGGGCTCAAACCCACACCACTGTTGCCTCTGAAACACCAGAGCATGAGTTTGGTGCGGTACTCTTAACCACTGGGCCATGACACTCCACTGGTTACAATTAACGGGGTTAAGGAAATGTCAATTGTCACAGTTCCTTTGAGTTATTAATGACTTAACCCTTTCCTTACCATGGGCGACTTTTGTCGACAAGAAGAACCCCCCTGCTGGTTCCCATGGGCGAGTTTAGTCGACAAGGAAACCACACACAGAACACCCTCAACACAGATTATTTACTACTTTTCAGAAAGGCGGCATGTTGATATGGTTGGCTGCCCATACATTAACCATATACCAGCTGAACGAGTGTTTTCGGATCGTTCTAATGGTGTAGTTTATTCATAGTATTACCATTACAAAAAAATGAGAAAAGTTTTTCAGAAGTATCCACGCACAAGTTGAGGTATGGAGTGCCATTTGGCCATGTGGTGAAATGGCTTGCAGTTTGATAAATGGAACCAGATGAACAAAACAGCATAACTTTCTTATATTTGCACATATGGACTTCGTTTTTACATCACATAAAAGAGTAAGGTTCAAGGAACAAACTTTACACACAACACCTATGATTAAATTCACTCCTTGGCAGTGAAAATCTGGGTTGAAAAAAGTGAGTTTTCGACTTGTGGTCATTTTGTTCACGCTTTAGTGATTTCCGCAGGACTGCATGAGCAACCAATTTGGTCCTGGGGAGAGCCAAGTCAATAAACAATGTGGTAATGAAAGGGTTAACTTAGAACTGTATGACCTTGGACTAGATGGGACTGGAAATGAAATCCACTAAAACACCGATGCAGCAGTGATGTCTGCCTCATTGGAACTGCAAGTAGCTTTGATTTGTGGTCAGATCTGGTTATTCCTTTTATTTTTCCGTCAGGTCAAAACGTAGATCGTCCGGGTCCTCGCTCAAGAGCAACGAGGCGGAAACAGTACTGTCCCAGGAGCCAGTCAATAATGGTACCCTGCCGTCGGCATCTGATGGTTACGCTTCTTCCCGGGTGACTCCCATCCCAGCGGCCATCACCCCAACACCTCCCCAAGCAGCACCGCTTGCTCCTCCGCCTCCTGCCGTAGCGGTAGTCACCCCAAGAGCCCAGCCTAATCTGCCCAGCATTTCTGAAGAGAGGAGCTCACTACTGAGCGACATCCGGAAGGGTCTCACTCTGAGGCCGACAGGAACAAGCCAAAATGTGTAAATGTAGCCAGCGTCTCACCAGCATTATTTCAAGGTCAAGGGGCGGTATTTCCAGTCGCGGTACCAGGGTTTTGTTTGCCGTTGCAAAATAGAATTGTCATTGCACTTATAAATTAACAGACCATCCATGGTTAATCATCACCGTCACCACAAAGTGACACTAACGTCGAAAAATTGGTATTTTGGGATTTTGATTTGTTTTTTCCCTGATTGGTGATTAATTACACATAATCTATCACCTCAAGAAGTTACTATACACAGGGTTAATTAGTTTTGTCAAAATATTAATAAGGGAATAAATGTGTGCTCTGGAGGCTTTTATCACTCTGTTTAAGACCACTTAGAGTCTGGGTGCTGATAATTACCCGAGCCGGAGGCGAGGGTAATTATCAGCACCCAGACTCTAAGTGGTCTTAAACAGAGTGATAAATACCGACTGAGCACATATTTATTCCCATTCATAAATACCTTTTTGGTAAAAAAATATCAAATAATTCGTTCAAAAAATACCGATTTGTTCAACAAGTTCACTTCATGCTTTTTGAAACATCCCTCTAGCAAAATAATGGAGTGTTCAGCTGGCGAGTAAGATGTAAACAGCCCTTTTATGGAGATTGGCGCGCGCGTGGCATGTTCTGAGCGATGTCGCGTTTTGAATTTAGAACTATAAAATTCTGACTTACTGGTAGAGTTGCGCATGCCTACGTGAGGATTGTGAACGTTCAACCAATGAAACGGTAAGAGGCACTGGATTTTTAGGGGTCTACATTTTATTGCGACACTGGAAAAGTGTTTAAGACCAGCTAGCCATGTCTTTATCATCCGTTTAAGACCGGCCACGTGACGGGCTCTCGACCAATAGGAATGGCTAAACTGTATGAGGTATTTATGAATTAACATTAATTAACGTTTGTAGCTTCATGAGTCAAAACGACGGTGTACTATACCGTTCTTTCGCATGTAAACTGCCTGCACACTGCGCGTCAAAATCGGGTTTTGCATTTTCACGAAGTAACACAAATGTCACGTGATATGCGCGATTGACTTCTGGCGTTTTCACAAAGTCACCCTAAGCCCATAGCTAATACACGTTGGTAGCGTCACTTTGTGAAAACTCCAACAGAGGTGTACTTATGATTAATAGTTATTTTGTTTAATAAAAATCGGACATTAACGTGTCATTCTGGATCCCAGCTTTCAGACAATGCAACTACATTGTATTAAAATATGAATTTTGAGGCTAAAACGATATTCAGATCACCATTTCAAAACATCGTCAACTTAAATCACTTGTATCTCGAAACACACATTTTCCACTCTGCGGGGTAAAGGTCACTTCGTGTTGACGGTGACGAAATGGTGGAGAAGATTTTTACCGCCGGGCAAATTTGCAGACGGACACATGATTTTTCCGACAGGCCGTTTTTTCCGTCCCGATTTTGCTTCCATCAGCATCCCGATTTCGTTAAAAATCTCTAGCCCGTTGCAACCTGCCACTTTGCAACCCCCTGGCTTCGCCACTGGGTATTTCATTTTGGTCGCCAGCAAGTTGGACAGCAAAATGTTGAAAAAATTCAAACTAGACATAAAGTTTCAAAAGGATTTGATTTTAGAAACTAGCTAGTTAGAAAAAGTCATATACTTGAATTGAGAATCTTGCCAATTGGACAGAAAAATGTTACAAAGTTTAAAGGTAATGTACAACATTTGTCACAAATTGTTTTTCCAAATTATTTAAGATGTTTGAATTTTTTCAAAAAAATGTTGCCCAACATTTTTGGCCGCACCCCTATCAAATTGTGGGACAAAAAAAAATATGATTAACCAAAAAAGGCCCCCCCCCCCCTCCCCGGTTGCGCCACCGACTCAAAAAATATATTTTGAGAAGCTGAAGTTTAACAGAAATAACTGCAATTCTCAGATACCACCAAAGATACAATTACTTGCTCATGTATTGGACTGAATGGCATGTGTAGTTGTAGTGTAAAGGTCGTTTCTTTTCTTTTAAATTATACACAGACTTAACTTGCAAATTAAACAATTGATCATTGTATCAAAGTTGACACTGTGCAGTTTTAAATTCTGTGAAATGCTGCTGTATTCTTTAAATTGAATTCATTCATTCATTATAATACGTAAGTTGACTTTTTTTTGTAAAGAAAATATGAATGCCAATAATTGCTTTAAAGAAAGATTCTTACGTGCAGTTTAATCATGCAATTGCTCATAATTTGTGCCTTACTTTATACCTTTCTACATTGTTTAATTAAATGTAATTGTTTGTATACTGAAAATAACCATGAAATATTAAATGCTTTTAATATCAAATTGAAGATGATCACTGCGTTTAAATGTTTGAAAAGAAGTTTTTCCATGCTCGCTTTTCTAATTTTGCCTTTTCGTTAAAGAATTATTTCTGTGCCTTATGCAACATGAATGGCCACATTGTATATGCTTTACATGAAAACTAGTCATGTTCGCAGTGGCGCTTATTTGTGTTGACGAATTTTTGGGGGGGCACCCGCGAAATCCAGGAACTTTTTCAGACGTAATTCGAAAGCGGTGCCAAAATTTGTACTGGAAGTGCATTTGCTAAAATTGAAAGTATCGACTTTCTGCTACACTGAACCAAACTGGTCTGTTGCGGGTTTATATTTATCTTTTGGACCATAATTATAATTTTGACAAGAACACATATAAAAAAAAACACATGAAAGTGATACGGTGAATCACACACAGTGTTGCCTTGAAACTTTAAATTTATTTCGGAAAAATAACCATCACCTCAAAGGCTTAAAGTGAAGATATGAAATAAAAAAAATGCAACATGAACGACTTCAAAATACAATTGATTTGAGATAACTGTATGTAGAGAGAGTTTTAGTTTGCTAAATATTTCCAAATAATGAAACGGTTTGGTTTGGTGTTTATATTTATCATTATATCCAATGTCACGTTAAGATTTGTACCTTTTTCTCGACTTTATGTACCCAATAGAATTTCTAGTTTTGCACAGCAAAATCTCGATACTATCGAAAAATCAAACCGTCATTCGATCCAAAAACAAGAGCTTTGTACTCGAATTAAAAACAATATATACTTTTTTCTCAGTTTCCTGGTAAGCACCGATGTTCCAAATAAAGCGGATTTAACAAGTTGTGCACAGCAGAACAGATCAAAAGAACGAATTATAATTAAGGCACTGTGTAAAAAAAAAAGGCAGTGTATGCTTTTCTACTGCATAAAATAACAGTGTCTTTCATTTCTCAATCGTCTTTAGACCTCCGCTGCCTTGGTGCGTTTACAATACGGCCCATACGGTCCATCTGGGACACAAGGGATTCCCGGAGGGCACCTTCCGAAACCACATGTTACACCTGTGAAAAAATAACAGTCATTAAATGCGTTCCTCTCAATCAATTGGCACGATTTTCTTAGTAGAAATAATTGTGCCGACTAGGCCCTAGGCCCATATCAAAGATTTTGGTTTCATTATGTTAATGTCCCATTCACGCAGTTTCTATTAATTAAAATGTCGTTCTTTTAAATCCTCACTTGTTTGTTTTGAATGTTGTTTCTATTTCTACTTTAAATTTAATCATAGTAAAAGAATTACATGTACATGTACATGGTGAGTAAACAAAAACGAAACCCAAATGTCGGGACTATTGTTTTGTTGAAATTCTGCATGTAGCACTTTCAAAATCTGGGACATGAAAGCCCAATTCAAAAGCTTTCTTTTAGTACAAGAACCATTCAAATCACTGATGTACTTTTCAACTGGGGTTACGGAATTTTAAACACAACAACCGTTTTAAAGTTCTGTTCACGGATAACAGAAAAGGTGTGCTTTCTTTCAGCAAAACTAAAACAATTCACAAACATCCCTAAGTGATTTTGTTTTCGTTTTGCTGAAAGAACACAACTTTTTTTGTGATCCGTGGACAGAACCTTAAAACGGTGGTTGTGTTTAAAATTCCGTAACTTAAAAAGTACATGAGTGATTTGAATGATTCTTGTACTAAAAGCAAGCTTATGAATGGGGCTTTAATATCCTACATTTTGAAAGTGCTACATGCAGAACTTCACTAAAACAATGGTCCCAACATTTGGGTTTCGTTTTTTTTTTTACTCACCCTCCATAAAACAAAATATATTAGTTGCCACGATTTTTAAGTTGCAAGAAAATGATGACCACGCTACTTTGGTGGCGGTGTCATTTTTTGGAGAATTGTGGGAAAGAATGTTGCTTTTTTCTTCATTTATAATCATCTCAATGAAGGTCAGTCATTGCAAAAATGATGAAAAGACATGAATCTTGTACTGAGAAACATTTCCAATTTTCGAGCATTGAAAGTTCGTTTCCTATTCCATTATTATTTCAATTAAATAAAAGATACCTTTTTGAGGCTTGAGTTACAGAGCTCGTATCAGGAGCTTGCGACACCATCACGGCGTCTTGATCAACTTGCAATTTTCGATTATCGATTTCCAATTTGTACACAACCGCTTAAGTAGCGTCGGATTGCAACATTCTTTTTCAAATTGTGATTCATGGTATCCCACTCATATTATTATGACTGTCAATAGCAACGGTTACAAGGACAAGGTGACATGAAATGGTTATAATGTGACAGACGGAAAAGGACAATTATGTACGTACCTTTCTCCCGAACTTGCAGTCTGTCACGCAACTCGAACAGCAATTCCCTCAGTCTTTCTGTGCAGCAAATAATACACATTACAACTTTAAACGGGTGCGTTTCTCTTACGCGAACAAAGCATTAGAAAACATTTGCCAACGTTGATAGACGTTTGTCAACGTTGGTAAACGTTTGCCAACGTTGCTAACGTTTGAGCAAATGGGACCGAATGTTAATTGCTCTCAACGTGTGGCGAAAGGTCAACACCAAGGGTGAACGGTATTCCTGAGTGTTATCTAAAATGACCGACACACACACGATGAACGTAATGATTCTGTCGGAATGAAATTTTCTGTTAAAATTAATTCCTGCGAATACTATACAAAAATAACCGGCTTGAGTTTTTCGATGACATTATCGTTCCTTTCGGGGTTCGCACGTTCGCAGACTGTACATGCTGTACATTCGAGTGATTGGAACGCAATCTGGACAAGAAAAGGCGACAAGAAAATTAAGTCACATTTATGAACCGTTTTAAAGGCAAAACAAACACGGAGAGTTTATCAAGTCCCAAGTCACATGATTGCAAACAGACGCAGCCGGAGCCGCAGACGAAGCCCCTTGTTTGGTAAATGGCAT